TAGTATTCACAAAACACATTTACCCATCGTTACAACCTATTTTTGAAACGACTAATTTCCCACTTGCTCGACTCTATTTGCATCCACAAAACTGCTAAAATGTATTAAATTACACTGGTTATCAAACCATTTTTAATTACGGGTGTTTTACTTATTTGTCTGTTTACGCTAACGTAGCTTTGAGTGTAGCCAAACCATGCTTATTACAAGTGACTGATAACATCTTCGTGAGTTGACGAATTAGTAACGATACTGGGAGCGCTTAAGGCAGAAATTTTCCTACCGCTGAAGGAAGTATTTTACTTGCTTCCTGGAGGTAACCCTACAGAATATTTAAAATTGAAACACTGTTTGGCTTTTGCTTGAAATAAAAATGCCACTACCTAGCAGAGTCGAATCTCACTGGCAATAAAGCTGTGTTGAGATTCCTCCCGGTAAAATCTACTCTTCTGGGCTTTGTCACTTAACTTGCTGCGTATATGCAAAGAACTTGAAAGCAATATGGTAGATATTTGGACGTGGTTTTTTAAATTTACGGAAATTTTGGTTAAATAAATGGAAAAAAGCAATCAACGGGAGCAATTTGTCGACTGCACGCGTTTCGCACTGCCGACCTGAACACCTAGCGGCGTGTGCACGCTGTCCAGACATTATGCACAAATTCTACGTAAACAAATAAAAGGGTCAAATGTGAACTGTGGACATTAAAGTGGGGTTTTCTAATTAGTCTGTCTGTCACCTAATTTAAGAAGGATTAACTAGCTGTTTACAGCCTTCATTTAGATAACATTGGCCTTAGTCGACGACGTTGCCTGTCCGTGGTTCAACTTGGCTAGGGTGGTGGCTGTTTTGTAGTTGCGATAAAGGAGCAGTCTTTCTTATCGCTTGAAGGTAATGCCCATTATTTCAACTACTAGGTATTTGGTTAAGGTCGCAGTCTCTACAGTCCTTATTTAAACACGCTTCAATTATATAAGTAGTGTATTAAGATTGATGTTTCTTAAATTCTACAAGCCTAATCATTTTTTGTCTAAGCTCAATTTTTGTGAAGTATGCTAATTACTGGATTGCAACGTTTCTGACCGCGTGAAGATGTAATTTGTTGAGATCAACATTGGGTGTTTGGCAATTTCACGGCCTTTTTGCTGAACGTCAACATCACTGAGCAATGGGAATGTGCCACTTTATATAATGAAATCCACTCTCAAATCTGACAAGCATGGAAAGATTTTCTAAAGGTCTGACCGAAATAAGTGCGTTGAAAGTGGGAAGTCGTCAGCTGATCCTTGCAAACCAGAAAGTAAATATGAAGTGGAACAGCAGCCCAGGGTAATGGTGGGCTTTCTGGCGGTGTAAAGTGGATGAGATTTTGTAGATTTTATGGTTTATACATTTCAACTGATTGCCAACGATTGTGGATTGATGGCTAAATAGAAAAATTCTCTTTTGGGGAGAAAAGCACTCAAACGGCGATTTTATGTGTCTATCCTAGGGTAATTATGATTGTAATGAGTTCAACAGAGTTTTGAAGCCTCAAATTTGCTAATAAGTTATGGTTTAAGTAAGACTTTGTTAATTTTGTACAAATGTTATTTCTTCTAACTAAATTTATCCACGTTGTATGTACGGAAAATTCATCCTTTTTCTAACAAACAAATTTTTATCTATGTACTTATTATAATTTGTTTACTTCCTTAACATTCCTATTTTCTAAACGACAAAATTTCAAAAAGAAGTCATATTAACATAAAACTATGAAGCCAATAATCGACTTTATCAACAGGTCTATCACGTGAATGGTTGGAATTGGTGGAGATCTACAATTAGTCATTCCGTCATTAAATTAAAGCGTATTATGTTACTTTAATAGGCTACAAATTTTTCCCTTCTTAGTAAACATTCTACTCTAAGAAAACAAAAACATTCTAATTAAAACAAAAATTATTTAGAGACATGGCCTGGCTACTAATTTTCAGAACAATCTGATAGTATTTGAAACCTAAATCATAGCGCTGCAAAATCAAGTATTGGTGTTTCGTTAAGAGTCGACCTCAAAAAACTTGTTTTTAGAAAGAAATAGAGGAATGGAGCATCGTTTTGCAATAGAAAACTGAGGCTGCGTGTATATTTCCGCCAAATACTTATTTATATTCATTTAATATTTGGCAGCCAATTGATCTTCTTAATGAACACTTCCGATGGAGTAAAGTTAAATTGACAATTTTTGTAGAGCAAAAACTCAGGGTCAAGACCCGAGAAACCACTGCCTCCATATAAGCTTGCTAGTGTTGGAGTTGCTCTTTTAAATCTTGTGGCCATAGCATATTTTTATGATGGTCAACAACATTTTTGTTGAACACAACCTCACCTTATTTCCAGTTTTTGTTCTCACTGTCTACATTTGATAAAAAAGCTGTTACTTGTTGGCATTTTACCAGGTCTAAGAGGCCCCTATTGAGCCCACACACTGCGAGTCCACCGCTGCTCAAGTCAGAGTTTTCAATTCCGATGCGACGAGCTGTCCAGTTAGAATAGTTGATTCAATTATGCTCACAATTGTGATTACAGCAATAAAATCATTATTACAAATATTCACGATCCACTGTGGCACACAAGACTAAGCTTTATTTCCGGTGCCCAAAACATTACGGTGACGAATAAACTGATTCATAGCCATAAGTAAATTGCATTGATTTAATTTAGCCCACCAAAACGTTCTTCCAGTATAGGTACTACAGAAAGCGTGCGTCGAAATACTGCTGTAAGCTGTAAATTCTCTTTTATTGCATCCATTAGTGACAAAGAGAGATCAAGTTTCGATGTGACTATTTCCAGACTAATCGCTTGTCATGATTTTACCAAACAAGAGGTCTATCGTAACCAAAGGTAGATCCTTGTCAAAATTGCGTAAATCAGTTTGGCATACCTTCCGTTAGCCGACCTTTACCAAAATATCCTTACTAAAGTTACTTCCGTGTCGTTGCGTCATCTTACTGACTCATACACTGCATGATCGTAGACGCATTTTAACCTGTCCATTTAAAATTTTTTAGGGCTTAACTTGCTAATTACTACTGAAAGGCTTGTCGCTTAAGCCGAGACTCTTATTTATGCAGCATTTACTTCAAATCGAGGCCATACTGTTTGCGAGAAGAGGAATAGGATATCCCACACAGAGAAGTAATTTGTTTTCTACCCGGCCGTAAACTTTGGGAAAATGAATATCCAACCAACAATAGTTGGACAACATTGAATTAGTTTCAATAGCCCTTAAAGTAAGGGTTAATTAAAGTTGTTCCCTAGAAAATGGACATTTTTGGTAGATTCAGTTACTGGAAACACAGACCTATGTTATGTACCCCGTTAGTGCATTTGGCTTGAGGAAAGTGCCTAGATATCAAGCGCATCTGGCTTCGTGCCTCCAATACTCGGTCCAATTTGCAACCGCAGTTTAACTTAAACTTGTCTTTCACTCTTATTATATCTTAATTGAAAGTACTTGGGCCTCCCGGTGTTATTGTACTTATCATAAATTTCTCTAAATTTATTTCTGCTTGAGGGGGACCCTTTCACATGTGATATTTCTTCGATAATGACTTATTAATTATGATAATTTTGTTTAAACTCATTGAAAACATCGGCAGCATGCGTTTTACATGTTTTTAGTAGCTTTATCGCCTACGACAGAAATAAGATTAAAGGTTTCGCTTGGGAAAGGCATTGCTCTATATACGATCACGCAATAACAGTGATAACAATATGGTATATTGTACACGGAGCATTCGGTTAGAGTATCCGAAGTGGGATTAAAGTGCGCGTTCAAATTTTATGCTTTGATTTATGGTATTGTTGGAGGCCCTGCATCTGGGTTACGGGGGCCTGAATGTACTAACAGCTAATATGAGTCAATACACGAGATATTGAGGTAGTGGCTAATTATCCAGTTTTAAAGCAAGTCGCTCATTTTGCAAACGACGAACATAAGCCGCTTGGGCACATCTCATTCGGTGATAGTGATTTCAAGATAAACAACATTTGAGAAAACTAATTGCAAACAGACAAACTCATAGTTATCGCTAAATTAGTAGATTGTAGAGGCATTATAATTATCCACAAGTGTTTTGCTGACACATATTTCGGAAAGGCGCTGTCACGTTTTGTGAGGTTGGGTGCCATGAAATTAGCGTCCACTCACTTTTTATGTCTTTTAGGAGAAGACCATTCAGAAAAGGGAACATTTTTTCTGTTTCCATCGAAAATGCTTTAAAGAAACTAGACAAGAGTTTAGGTCAGGATCTGTGGGGGAAAATGTATAATTGTGCTTAAATTTGTTGCGAATCCTCTTGTTTTATATACTTTGTGGTAGCTTGGCCCTTTAACTAACAGATACATACACCTCTGAACAGTGTTATAATATAATTATACACGAACATTCACGAGATTAATAATATGCTTGCACACCGTGCTTCTGCAATGAAAATTCCGACCCTTGATAGCTCGAACATAGGAACATTAATCTGGTCTTGATCCCTGATAGTCAGTCGAAGGTTTGGCCGGCAGATCTGGGTGCTAAATATTCAAATCCATGTCTAAATTTCTTTAATAATTAAAATTTAAATGTTCGCTGACTTTTCATGCTTTTTTCCAAAGTGCTTTTTTGCAGTTGTCACTTAATAGCATACAAAGCATGTTACATTTAAGTTAGATGGAAATCTTGCACAGTCACAACAAAAAATTTTGTGCGGAGTTTCGCAGGCAAACTATTATAAGAGAATACAAGATTTGGCGTTTAGTGTGTGAGTTTGTGAAGTCCAATCACGTTGCAAATAAGGCGGTGGAAAAACGAGTTCCTGAAATTTATTGTTGACTGTGCTCAATTTGAGCATTTGTATTCTGTTTCTACGCTGCTCAGGCCCCGTACCTTTGAAACTTACACTGCCAGCACTTTTTTACACTATGATTGTCACCTGGTCTTTGTCTTTTAGTTTATTTACCTCAGGCTTGAAAATAAGACTGAAATTAGTGATAGCGTTGAAAACGGAAGTGCCTACACAACCTACATAGTCAAAACTCCTGCCCGCTACAACTACGGCGATGTGATTCGACTACAATGCGTTGTAAGCCCAGATTCTTTGTCTGCAAAGTACCAGTGGACAAAAGACAAAACTGTAGTGGGAACCAGCCCTATCCTGGACATCCCCAGCTTCGCTCGACAAGACATCGGCCAGTATCAATGTCGCGCACTCATTGGCGGGACATATAGCTATGCGGTAGAGACTCTGCCTCCGCCATCAGAGGAAACTACGGGTGAGTGCGGCTCAAATGGCACAAGACAACGCCAAACTACTACTTATAGCCAGCGTTAGCTCACAATGAGCACTTAGACAGGAGAACATTGATGAAAGGTTTTGTGATCTGTGAAACAGCGGTCGTCTCGAGATTATGTGGTTTAAGTAAAACATTCTTCCATGGCGAGATTTTTATCTGATAGGGCTAGGAACATATTACAAAGAAACACAGGAGATTTATATTAACAATTTTAGAAGTCAAAGTTAATAAATTAAGTTTTTATTAAGGAAAGTACATTATCCCTCTGTCTGAAGTTTTCGCGTTTTGTTAAACCTGTAGTTTGCGTGAGACCGCTGTAGATCGCATCACAGACGTTTTCGCCTACTTCAAAATTCACTTTAAATCGTTACTTTGAAGAATAACTGTATTGACATCTTAGAAATAACGTGGGTAAATAAATTGTACTAGGCATCTAAAGAAATCCATAACTTTCGCTTGCATAGTATTCTGTGTTCTTCGAAGTGCACATATTCATAACAGGCTTAAATTTTTGATACGGATAAATTCCCCAGTATACGTGGATGTAGAAAAGTAAAACCATTGGCTCCATCTTCGTTGACGCTGAATTTCCCGATCTCTAATTCCACCTGTGTGACCGTCTGGATTCACAAATCCGATTTCGTTTAGTTCGAACCTGCTTTTTGAAGCTTAAATCCAGCCTGATGCAGATCAATTCGTTGCCACAATTATGGAGTGGTTTTAACGTCCTATGAGCCTGGGAACAAGATGATCAGAAGCAACTTTAGATCCTTTGCTAGCAGACTTATACAAAACACAATTAAATTAGTGGGATCTTGAACACCCTTGAATATTTACAGAAATGACGCTATTGGTTTTGTTAAACATTGGTATCTTGTTAGACCTCAACGTAAAGCCTCCTGTCGTGAACACTACCGTCTTTACCCCATTTCAAATCGAGTGTGTCTCTCATCGTCTGGGCATTCGACCAAGAGTGTTTTCCTCAGGCGTCAACATCAGTCGCGATTTTCAATTCGAGACAACTCATCCAGACCCACAATCGGTGATCGTCTCCGTTCCAGGAGGCCTGCCAGCAATTTACAGTGGAATTTCCATCCAGTACGTTTGTTTAGCAACCTTAGGCAGCAAAAGTTTAGTAAGTTATGGAATGTCAGCTAAAGGGTCTGCTTTCAACACACCGATTTTGCATAGATCGTTTGGATTTCGTTAAATATTTTTCCTTTCAGCTATCAGAAGTCATTGAATTACTGACTTCCACGTCGCAGTGGGGAGAACTAGGGCTTTAAGAATTCTGTTAAAACCAGATTCATCACGATTTAAGATTAAGGGGAATAAACCTTACACTGTGTTATGTGCTAAGTATCGACTAAACCGGAATGCATAGTTCAAACTGTGGTATTTTATAATGAATATATCAGATGTTATTATAGCAACGCTCTACAATGTACACGCATATAAAAGAAGTAAACCTGTGCACATTAAAATATCCTGCCATAAGTAATCGTAAATGTGGTTTGCGTTGGTTTCATACCCAGTGTAAAGGTCACCGGTTTCCACAACCAGCTATTCCTTCTTGACATTTATGTTAAGAAGACGTAATTTCGTGGGCGGCTTAAAGTATCTTAAACATGACTTTGCCATTATCTAAATGAAATGCCCTGAAAGATACTATTTAGCTATTTATGATCAGCTTGGTGCTAGAAATCCATGTGTGTTAATCCTAACAAATTGCTTACAACTAGAACAAGTTCATTTTTATGAGTTTTAGCTTAAAATGATTTCTAAGTTGCGTTAGTTATCGGAGTATTGATGCATCGTATTACGAATGAATTATGCACTTTCGTTGTCTAATTCTGATAGAACATGAATTGAGGCTAATAAAATGGGCGTGTTCAAAATTACATAAATGCAAACCTTGTATTTATTGCATGCATCTTGTATGTTTGGATCAAAAATCATATCCACAACAATCTGTCTCCCTTTTCGCCCAAATCTTTGCTTTAGAAATCTTTCATTTTCAAACGAAAATCCTTTGCGGCACTCAAGCAAAATAATAAATGCAACTGTCACCAAAAATGACTTGAGTTTAAAAAGTTGACAAGGCGCTTGCTTTTAAACTGTTTGCTTTTTTACGAGTTTTGTAAAATCGACTCGAGTCACTTTGAAAACGAAAAGCGCTGGTTCTCTAAACCAACAACAGACATAATTGACAACGGGTTGTCTTACTATTAAGTAATCCATTTAAAACCTGGCTAAAGGGAGAGTCACTAACTACTGATGACCCTTTAGAGACAGGTTTCTGATACAAAGTCGTCGTTAGTTAGCTTCGCACGTCACATTGGTGTCCATGACAGTTTATAGCTATGATAGCGACTGGCAACGCTGACTACTCTACTACTGAAATGACTTAGGTGCATCCTGCCAGATGGTGTAGCGAAGCGGGTACCAATTTTCCTGCACGATTCCTGCCCGTCAACGCAAGTCCGATGTCGCAGTGGCGAATGCGTGGCCGTTGACAGCATTTGTAACGGACGCATTGACTGCAAGGACGGTTCTGATGAAAGTGAGCACTTCTGCTGTAAGTCTTCTTCCTTTGTTTCCAGCTTGCGCAGTAGTTCGATTTTGAACTCCTTCCAACATCAAGCACATATTTTTGATTTTCCGAATTTTATTTACTTCGCTTTATTCATTTGTGAGGCTGATGCAATGGCACCAGCTGACTTCATGTGAAGAGTCATAGATTTACGTCATTGCATAATAGACCAGGGCCACGGCGCATACTGCTTCAAGTGCTCGTCGTTGGAATGGCCTACAATCGATTCGTTTAAATAAATATCATTCTTTAAGCTCCTGCTCTACATACACGCTACTGGTTGCGCATTAGTAATCGTTTATTTTAATTAAAATTTAAACTTTTAGTGCAAACTGCTGAAAATCAATCCCGTATCACAATGTATTTGTCAGAGTAACAGACTTGGAGAAAGCTTAGACTTAAATTGTTGCGATTTTGGGATGTGTAAGATGAGGTTCGTTGTTAGTTGGAACAGACCACCTAACAATGGCGTCGTGATTAATATAACTGGACAAGAACTTGGCTCCCAACCCGAATTACGGTTCGCTGCAGTGCCAAAGGCTTGCTAACCTCTTACTTCGAATTTTTTAGAACTCAATAAATAAACGCTTCCATTCAAAATATTTGGGCTCAAATTAGTATCAACAACTGTTACTATTGTGTCAAGCAATCAATGTTGTATTGAATGGCTTACGAATTTCTCACAATAAGCATTTTCGTATTTGAAACAAAGTCATTCCATGCCCACAACTGCAACTACTACTGTAGACTTGTTCGCTTTTACACTTTAAAGTAGATTTTATTGCAAAATTTGGCATTGCTGTGCGTCATAACGTTTATTTTGATTTGGAAAACACAGTGGTTATAGAAGCAACTTCCAGTCGCTGTCACAAATTTAGCCAAAACCAGCCTACTTTTATTCATTTAATTCCGTTTTAATCCATTTAAAAGCGGGTTAAAATTCACTTGGGGCAATTTGACTATTAAATTAGTCCGGAAAGATCCATAAAAACATGAAAACCTGATTCGGAAAAGTCAAAGTGTCACAAGGCTTGTGGACGTGAGTTGTGGTGCTCTCTATTTAGCTAAGGTGATTTGCATTCTTGTGAATATATTTCCACTGCTCATTTGGGTTTACTCCTTTTAATTTCGCATAGCCTCGAACTGATTTCGATGCGGTTTCGCTAACATAAGACTTCTGATATATGGTATTTGAAATCAAACTAACGCTCATCTTCTCACTCAGATTGTCTGTGGGCAAACAACCGATAAAAGTTTCAGTGAAATTTTGGATTATTAAATGTGCGTAAGTGAGAAACGCTTGGACAGGGGAGCCAGAAATGGAATTGGGTGTCTGGTTGACTTATGCGTGTTCTTTTATTTCATTTCTCATACTTATAGCTCTCCAGGATCGTGTCACGGTATTCTTAGAGTTTTATAATCGAAACAGGATTGTAATTAAAATAACCTGAACTAAAGTGTTCACTTCCAAGTGGTAATGTTCCAGTAGAAACTTCATCATCCTCCATGTTGCGTGAGTTCAGAATGTAAAAATGAAACGCCTGTCTAGACGATAGTGTGTGTATTTTCACTTCCACATATCCAAGGATACAAAGCACAAATCTCAATTTTCCATGCGAAAAGTCATGTTTCGTATTCTATAAGTACATGCAAATGAACCTGATCAAAGCACGAAAAGGCAATAACATTGCTGCCACGAGACGAAAAGTATCTTCTAAAGTACCTTCTCGTGTTCTTTGGAGTGTGTTAACCCATTCAATTCGCTTTTAGCTACTTCGATGGATGAGTTGTCAATCACACCTCAGGAAATTCGAGAGAGACCGTGGGTCGCGTTTACATTCGCGTGTCGCGCTCCTCCTGGACACCGACCGGACTTTGTCCTGGAAGATAGTCAACGGCCACTTGATAAAGACAACCGTTTCTCCGTTTCTCGACCCCAGGAAAACGAAATTGTAGTAAATGTGCCCTATGGAATTCGTGGGGACGATATCAAGACAGTTTGGTATATTATACAAAATTCATTTTACTTATTTTGTTTCTTTAGACCTGACACTAAGCTTTTGTTTTTCCTACCCAATAGGTGCATTTTGGCAACGGGTGCCCGAAAGCGCCTTGACGTATTCATTGAACAAACCTGCACCACTGGCGAATACCAGTGTGCCGATGGAGGCTGTCTGCCAGCCCAAGTTTTTTGTGATGGGAGGCCCGACTGCAGCGATGGTTCGGATGAGAGATTTTGCGAAGGTACATTCGTTTTTTCCGGTATTTCTAAGCACACGCCTTGATTAATAAACCCATGGACTATGCCTTTGAAGTCATCAAACCTGGCCTGATTATTGTGCCTGGATCGATAAGCGTCTACCCAAAACAGCCCTTCACATTTGCCTGCACTGCTGCCGAGGGTGTCAGGCCTGACGTCTCCATGGCGCGCGACCAGCGCCCAGTCTCCTCTGACCGACGATTCCATGTCGCACGACCACGTCTGAACAGCGTTGTGATTAGCTCCACCTACGGGCTCATTGAGACAGATGATATGACCATTTTCACGTATGCATCAACTTGATTTTTGTTTTTTTTCAATAGCCTATCGTTTAACATTGTCTGCTATTAATGACACTACGTGATGAATTATTTATCTACCTCATTTATCAATCTTACTCATTCCGTTGATGAATGGACTTCAAGACAGTGAATTGTTATATGAAGTGCCGTATCTGATGATCAGCGTTATGGCCAATCATTCTTTTCACCTACAACATGTTAACTCGCGACCAAAATGAAGTCCAATTTTGCATTCAACAGTGATATTTTCCTATTGCTAAGACTTTCTATATAAAATGTTTCTTTTTACTAAGAGGCGAGTGATGAACGTTCTGCCCAATAACGTTAACATACAGGACTAAAAATATCCATATCTAAACATATCTGTCTACTTTATAACTATTGAAAAATAAATCAGTATGCCTTTTTTATTAATTAAGTTGTACGACGCCTTCTGGGGAACAGCGACAATTGGTAATTTCTGTGGATCATCCGTGTGGCCACGGAATGTTCCAGTGTGAGGCGCAGACTTGCATCCCCAGTGCTTCAGTTTGTGACGGGCGAAGAGATTGTCGCAATGGATCCGACGAGGACTGGCGATACTGCCGCCGTAAGCACCTATTCTTGAGTACCTTCTTGGCATCATAATGCGTTGGAAGATTTTTTAATGAATAGTCCGTCTAATCCTCAAGTAGTGAAAGGCAAAAGGCAAAAAATAATGTTTTAGTCAAAATACCAGTCGTAACAGGTTTGGGCAGCGCTTATTCCTAACGCCTAAAATGAACATAATTCATGCATTCGACAATTGTCTCGTGTAATAATGTTTAAGTAGCAATAGCAGTGAGGTGTTGTGAACTAAAGTTAACCATTTCATAAAGCAGCATTTTTCCAAGAAAACAAGCTACTCAAGTGATTCATTCCTTCGAATAAACCCTGATGTTTATCACTGCAGTTGCACGTCCTGGCATGGACGTTGCGCCAACATCACTAACCGTTGCGGCCTGGAGCCCTTTCAATTTCTCCTGCGTGACATCTCATGAAAGTCGGCCAATAGTAGTCAACATGGCAACCGGGATGCTTGCGGACAGGGACCCGCGATTCCGGGTGGAAAGACCGCATGAACAAACAGCTCTCGTCTACGCGCCTTACGGCCTTGACGGCAGCACGCATGAGGCAACATTCATGTGAGTGAGATTTCACGCTCCCGACAACAAGGTCAACGCGTTTTGAGCAAATGCTCATAATTGACCCATTATCGAATTTCCAGCGCAGCTGCCTGGTGGCTTTTTAACAGAGGCTTATTCGTAGTTGCCTGTCCGAACAAGTTTACCTGAAGGCACTTACTACCTGCGACTAACCCACATCCAAATGATCTTCAGTGTTTGCAAGGCACAGTGATTATAGGTAAAAACCACAAGCCTGTGTGTGTGGAGAAAATGGCTTTGCATACAATTACCCAGCTCTGTGGTTGGTGACACCATTTAGTCTCCGTTTCACCTCACTCTGGTTCGCAGTTGTAGTCAGAAATGGCAATTGAATTTGCCGACCCAAAAGTGCAGCCGTCCCTGGCACTTTTATGTGGTTCAAGGAGAGCTTATTTTTCGGCAGTGCCAATTCAGTGGATTGAACAGCATTAGACCATGTGATGTAACAACAGCATAAGGTTGAACCAAAAATAAATTATGAACTACATCTCTGACTAGCTTTTGTAAAATCAACAACTCAAATATATCTGCAAAGATATCAGCCAGGCAAGTTCGGTGCCATTTAGGGCACACGTTTTCGACTTCTGGTGTTCTGTGACTGACAGTCACCCTCTTTTTTTCTTCAGCTGCATATCAGGTGATGGGAGTGTGGGGGAGGTGGTCGTAAGGATTGAGTCCCGCTGCGGCGACGGACAGTCCCAGTGCAGGAGTGGCGAATGCATCCTCACATCGCAATTTTGCGATGGATACCGAAATTGTCAGGATTCCTCGGACGAATCGTCTTTATTCTGCCAACGTACGCCTACCACACGAAGTCTGTTATCACTGGCATGTTGGTTGCGTTTCTCACGCCAAATTCTAGATTCACTTAACTTCTAGCCAAAACTAAGAAGGAAAAAGAATGTTTGTAACTAATTTTTTTGTATCGGTTTGTTTCCTTTAAGCAACTCTGTTAGACGAATATCGACGCGAAGTCCTCCCTACTGCTTGGGGGTTGCGGAGGGGTCACGTTGCTGGTACCAGTGGGCCATGGTCCAAAAATATTTCCCGAACGCTTTTCGCGCTTGATTCCGCTGCTTCTCTTCTTGTAACCCTCTCCGGCGGGGACAGTAGCTGCACACAATAAAGACTAATTTCGTACACCGATGATGCCAATGTATACAGCTCAGTTGGCGTTCGGTTTGTTTAAAAAAAAAACACGACAGTTTGCTGGTGTTTGTTTTTATCTATTAGACGGTTGGATGTGTGTGACACCGATGTAACTCCAAGATTTTTGTCCCAAAACATTTGGCTTCGAACTATAGCTGGGGCAGATTGGGGAGATCTCGTGAATACCTCGGATTAAACCGACTAATGCTGCACATTTTTGCCATGACTCAAATTAATTATCAAATTATGCAAACCAGTTTTAAGTGTGATGGGTCTAGGCAAAAGGAAATAGCCCACACACCCGAACAATGCATGTCTTGTGTCAACCAGTCTGATGCGAAATTCACGATGGGGTAGTACTTGTGCAAATCCTACGTATGCGTGTGTTAGGAAAGTTGCTAAATTTAATGAATTGTTACTCTTTAGTTAATTCATTTATCTTTTAAAGTGTATGGCTCATTTGATCATAATTCTTGTGTATTGTAGCACCGGAAATGAGTTTGACTGTGACACCCAACTCCATTCGAACAACACCTTGGAAAGAGTTCCAGTTTGTATGCACGGCCTCCTCCGTCAGTCGTGTTGACCTCGTCTTCACCAAAAATCGTTTATCAGTCCTTAACGATGCGCGATTCAATGTTGTTAAATTCAGTGAAAACATTGTCCTGGTGACTGCACCCTCGGGTCTTCGTGGAATCGACGATGTCACAATTGAGTGCGAATCGAGCTTTCTTTTTAATTCATGAATGCTCTCACTAATTGTTGATACCACGTCGTGAATGTTATCAAGACAACCATTTCCGTCTTTGACAAAAGTACTAGCTAGCGTTTTGTCCTCTGGCAGTGCACAATGAATGATTTGATTCTTTTTGCGTTTTTGTGAGGACATGGCTCAATCACTCGTAACATTTTGTATAACCAATGTTAATGTTAAGATTCTAGTTATTTTTGCGATGATCATTCTGTCTTAATGCATATAAAGGCTCCGCGACACATGACTTTGCCTTCATACTTGCATCTTTATCAAACTACCGCGCACTAGAAGTAATGACAGTAAGTGGTCACTGTCAATTAGTGATGCTGGCAACATTTTTTTCGTGATTCGCATCGCCTTGGATTTCTCGGACACAAATTCAATAATCAATTTACGATAGCAGAGTTGCATTGATCCTAATAGTTTTGTGCCAAAATCTATAAGTAGTTCGATTATAATTGCTCCACAATATTTAGAGTTATCATCGTACACCTCGTTCTGCTTAACGTGGCTAAATAGGATGTTAACAATAACTGCGGCGATAAATACCGCAAACGTCCACAGTAGCCGCGAAGTTAAAAATGTGTGCTTGTGTCTCGGTTGACCTTTTCCCAGAAAGCCTTGTCCCAAAATGGTTTCTCAAGTAGTTTTACTAATAAGTCCCGAACATGACGTAAAAGTGTTCCATGCAGCAAGCTTCTGGTGGTTCCTATGTCTCAGGATGCGTTTAATTCAACGAGTCGACTTCCGGTTACTTAACTTCTATACAAACTGCACATCTTAACCGTCCATGTAGCACTAAGCGAAATTTCATTTCTAGATGCTCACAATAGGGCTTTTTATGCTACCAGTTTTTGCGATTAGAGAAATGAAACTTTGTTTGGAATTTTACCTTGGCCTCTGGTGTATGATTTATTCACATTTATACACCTTGTCTAAGGAGTGTAACTTGCATCTTATCTGGCTCCTCAGCTTTCACGGATACGTTTTATATAATGCCCACTTTTTGGGTCCCTTCAGTAAACTGTGGGTCCCTTTGAAACCTCCATTTCAATGTACTGTCGGGTTTTTGAAACTAGGTAATTTTAAGTGGATTCTCCACAACAGCAACTGAAGCCACCCAAGTGTTTGATTTATGGATTGAAGACAGATTTTTCAATAATTCTGAATTAATTTTCCGGCATTTGAGCATTCAGCCCGAGAAATGTCCTATCTTTTTGTTGAAACGATGCGGTTACGGCTGAGAAATTTTCCAGTCTGAAAAGTGGTTGTGTAAAACCGGTAGTGAAAGGAGGGTTTTTAACCATGCAACGTCGTAAAGGAACCAGTCAGGGATTAAGCCACTTTCACATGAACGAAATGCAATCTCTAGACCTATAACCGCAGAAAAGAGAAGTACACTTGAATTGAGCAATGCTGGCACTGGATACATAGTGAATATATCTCATTGTGCGACATATTAAAGTTCTTCTAAAATAAAGCATCAATCCCACGAGATAAAGGCATTTACGGTGACCCAAAACATTGTGGTTTGTTTTCATATTTGCAGCGTCCTATTTTTACTACAAATTAACGCTCAAATTAATGTGCTAAACCAGATTTAACTCATGATTTATTGTTCCTACTTTTTGCATAGATGTGCCCTTCCCACGGGTGAAAAGGATCACATTAGAATAACAGTTGATGACCCCTGCCCTCACGGTCAGTCCCAGTGCATGGATAAGCGGTGTGTCAGTACAGTGTCATTGTGCGATGGGCATAGAGATTGCGAGGATGGATCTGACGAGGAACCGCGTTTCTGTGGAGGTAAAAGTTGATTCTTTTATCAAAGACTCAAAGGTCTTGAAAGAATTAGCTTAAATAAGCTAAATGTTACAAGTAATATCTTCAGATCCATTGTTGATTCCGAGATCACTTGCTCACAACCACCTTCGTAAACCCTAGTTAAACGTGAATTCTTGTTTAAAAATGAACTTCATTGTTCTGGGGTAGTTTCGTATTTAGTATTTTACGCAAACACCATAAAATCGCATCGTTCACAAATCGTCCGACAGTGCCGTAAGTGCATCTTATTCCGAAAATATTAAAAGTTTATTTAAGTAGGTAAAGGCATTCGCGCCTTCACAAGTTTAGACAATTTAGAGCCATTGGACTTTAGATCCCAATTCATAATTTCTGTGAGTTATTTGAGTCGTCTTTTTTAGACATGTACGGATTTTTTAGTTCGTAGTAACTTGTATCCAAAACCTATAACCTTGGTGCTTTTGCAAATTCTATCCAATGTTAATTTTATTGCTTAGAAATGAAGCACTGCAATATTTCAAAGGACGATGTTGAATAGACACTTGGTACTGTTACTCCATTTATACAGCAACCCAAAATTTGGGACAAATATTAGTAAAGATTCATGTTGGATACTTGACATTCCTACAGATCACTCAAAGCCCTAACGCCATTCTAAAACTAAATCGATGTGCTCTTGACCATTCAAATGAATACCTTTGCTTTTAGTAGTTAAGTGGCCAATGGATTTTGCGATCTTCCCTTCATCAATTGTCTCTCCGCCATGGAAGCATTTCACGTTTATGTGCATAGCTCCACCAGACAGCCAAGCCACCATTGTGTTCCAAAGAGACGGCAAAATGGTTGAGGGTGATCCTCGTTTCGACGTTTTCAGAAGAAACGCCACCACCATCGAAGTGAGCGCCCCATTCGGGCTTCGTGGACCAGACAGTACAGTACTGGAGTGAGCTCATTCTCCTTATAATCACTTGCCACATTGCTAATCTCAAGTAAAAGTGTAACAGATCTCCACACCGCCTAGCCATTTACTTTGTTTATAAAATCAAACTAGTTAGGTGCTGTAATGACGCGTCCTTTAGATTGTCTTATCGTCGTCAGATTTTAGACCCAATTCGGTTGTCATCGAAGTCACCACTCGAGACGGCTTGTGAAGCGGTGATAATATGGTGCTTGAGTACGTCAACAACATTAATTTACCATGTGCTAACTCGTTACAACCCAGACTAACTTAACACCAGAATCGGCAGTTCTGTATTGCTCATTCTCACTATTCCAAATATCTAAAAAATTCTTAATCACTGCATAAGTCAGTGCTAGCCTTTTGGCGCCTGTTGCATTCATTCAATTCTTCAGCCCACTTGTATTTTGCAGTGCTTAAGCTATTGCAACCATTTCGCGCAGGAAACTAACGATGAAGCATTGATAACATGCTGTGATTCCTTGATTGAACGGGGGTTCGCGACCGGGACTAGAGACTGCAGGAGTGGCAGCTAATTTTTAAAAAAACTGACAGGACGCTACTGCAGGCCACGAAAAATAGTACTTTTCATAACAGTACTACTATGTAATTCAGTCTGGTAACTTTGCAATCTAGTAGTACACAGACATGGGTTTTGATCCTGCAATTCTTAGCAGGACTCTTTAAACAACTGTTATCTTATTTTGATTAACGTTTATTCTTTCTAGTTGTTTGCAGTCCTAACAATACTAAGTTTTATTCAGGGAGAACTCATCGTATTTGTTTTTATGAAACTTATTCGATTGACAGGACGGGCAAAAATATTGTATTGCTTTTTGAATTTACCACTGCTAAGGCATTCAACAGAATTCCAGTTTTCACACCATTTATTTGTGATGCTGGCATCCAACTCTGGCTCCTGTGTTTAGTCAACATCGTATATATTTTAGAGAACCTTCTTCAGTTTATGTAATGTGAAGACTTATTCTTGTATTTGGATAGTAAAATACGTGTTTTCGGTAACTTTTCTTTGAGTTTTGTATGCATACCATATTTGAATTAAATTCCTGCTTCCTTCTCTTCAATTTGTTACATTAAGAAATCGAAGGTAGTATGTGTTCAATAGGACCACATTTAACGCTTTGTCGATGACTTTGTGTTAAAATGTTTTGAAGCGTTGCTCAAGTTTCTCAAACGGGCCACCATTACTTCGCACATATTTAATCATCTAAACTCGTAAACATCATTCAGCATGTGGTAGAAAGCGTTTATTAGTTAAGCTAAACTCCAGTCACAAATAGCTGTAACAAATTCTGGGAACGCCAGGCACCGCTTTCTAATTTATCCAAGTTAATCAGATAGACAAGGAAGGATTGATTGAGGAATTTATAAACCCCTTAAAATTTATGGTAGCACACAAATTCTCATGTATTTTCAGACACTAAAATCAAGTTCGTTCATAACAAGAAACTTAGTGCGTTCCAACCAAGAGTTTTCAGGCTACTTTATGTTAAGTGACAACACACATTTTTAACACTTGAGGACGTGGACAGTCCCAACATCTAAATTGATAAATAAATTTAGGAACCCTTGGTTCTCGCTTCACAAAATCTTGCACTTTAGTTTGCATTAAGACCTGGTATAAGAATTTATGCGAACTGAATCAAAGCAATATACGATAGCTATATTGGTTCTACAGACGACTTGTTCTGTTCGTTTTCTGAATAGTACTCAAGTTTCATCGATTCTGCTATAGATGCGTTACTCGAGCAGGGGAGAAACGGCAGATCTCCATCACGATTCAAGACCCCTGTCCTCTCGGATGCACTTCTTGCAGAACCAGCCTATGCATTGAACAGAACCAGCTCTGCGATGGCAGTTCTGACTGTTCTGACGGCAGTGATGAGCACGAGGACTTCTGTCAAAGTAAGTGGTGTTTAAGGGTTTAACAAAAGCAGTATTTTTAGCCAGAACTTCTATTTTGGATTTAATTGCCCGCTTGGTTTGTCTGTACTTGTTGCCCAAGACGCTGGTTGCACTCGACAGCCCTTTTTCAAGGGCAAAATCGTGAGACGCACAAATTATCAGTACAGAGAGTACAGATGTAAGTTTGTTCAACTTGGTCTGTGATTTCTAAAGACCACAAGATCCCCATTACTGCAACATTTTGCTTGAACTGCTGATGTTTTATTGTTAACCAAGCAGAACCACTGGAATGCCTGTATTTTATGCCAAACGCAGCATAACTAACTGAATTAGGAATCTGGTAGACATAATTATAGCAAACGTGGTCACTGATATGTATTATAAGCGTATTTTATGAGCTACTGTAACTTTATATCGTCTGAAATTTTTGATATACAACTCATTGAAAGGAGGCTACTAACGGTGTTATCAGCCACCAATTATGTCAGTAGTTTGAATTAGACATAAGGAACACCAAACTTTACGATTCATTTTAATAAACTGCTTAAAAAGTAAACTTTTCTGCATCTTGCTGCTCGCCACTTCTATCTTTCCGATCTCAGTATCCAACCATGGTGTAATTATTTTAGACTGTGGGTTGATAATGTCATATTTTGCATTTAGTGCGAAATGATCACTGTGTGCATCGCACGGATCCATAATTTGGGAGCTGTGAGCCCTTGACGAACCACTTAGCACTAAATTACCACCAGCACACTCCCTAAGGAATAGTCCTATGTTGTGATTTGAAAGGAGTCGGTCCAACTATGTGACGCTGATGGAAAAATACGAGTGTCGAGATCTTCTGTTACAATGCACGGATTAAATTTCCATAATTTCGTGGTTTGTTTGACCTCATGTGCCTTCACAGACAGGGCTCCTTGTAATCGATAAGGTGCTGATTAGTGAGACCTCCTTGGTGCTGTCTGGCTTTTTCTCTTTTTTAGAAACCAGTATGATGTAAGAATTACTTGTTTACAGTTGATCAGCATGTATAATTCCCCTAGACGAAATTTCGAATCAACATTTCACTAAATCGTTGTGAGCAGATTTAGTCGATTTGTCGATTAGGAACCATCACAACCTTCAACATATACTATTACAACAAACTGGCTTAGTAAAATAATTCTTGCATGTTGAAGGTTGTCAAATAGTTAAATTAGTTTAAAGCGAAGAGATCTTGTCCCCGCTCTCTGGCTGAAATGTTACATTAAAAGACTGTATTCCTTGTACCAAAATATACTTTATACACTTATCTTTCAGAAGCGCGCTGCATCACCGTAATGTACCCTGGTTTTGTTGAAGTGCAGGATACCTAACTCAACCTGTTTAAACCAGCTAGTTCCATAAACCGATATCAAGATAACCAACACAGTACTGCACCAATTAAATTAGTAACAATCAGTTGTAGTGAATCCTATTGATTCACATCCAATAACCCTGTCGTCGTAGATTCCAACACCCGGCCCCCCTTTTCACGGTGTGCCCGTTAGTCACGTGAGGCCGCCGGTTCATTGACCCCTCAGCATGCACCACCACCACCCGCTTTAGTCATGTGACCCCACAGACGCCTGTGTTTATTTTTACATGTCCACTCAACTGTATCAGTTGACACGCACAACTACGTCGAGCTGTCTGGTAAACGGTCGTGCCTGCCATCGCTGGACTTATTTTCTTGCTGGGTTACTTCGCGTGGCAAAGGGCCTCAACACAGTCATACAAGATGTAGAATTCAGAACTAGGTACCTGTGTCAACCTGCAAGGCTGCATTGCTGAACCTGACCGAAAGAGTAAACTGATGTTGCTTAACATATCAGCTACTGTTGAATTGAAAGTAAACTTGATCTCAAAAAAAGTAAATAGTATAGTTGTCACCAAACGTCATCATCGTCATTGACTTAAAGTTCTCAGTAATTTAGAGGTTATGAATTCGAACTTAGGGCCTCAGACGCCAACTCGCATGCAAGTCAAAACACCAATTCAATTCACCGATGTCTGCATCAAGTGGGTTTTTTCTTAACTCACCAATATCTGCTTTTAGAGGTGTACCAGTCAACCGTTACTATCAATCCTAACCTCATAAACGTGCCTGAATGGACTTACTTCAGTTTTGTCTGCAGTGGTCCCCCGGGTGAGGAGCTGATGGCAGTTATAAAGGGAAGGAGGTCTCACGTGGACACTGACCCAAGATTCCGTGTCACTGCCCACAATGCTACTGCCATCGAGGTAGTAGCTCCCATGGGTCTACGTAGCAGTGACGACTTGGAAATCGAGTAAGAAGCGTCCTATGTTTGCAAAGAAGAATCTCTAATATAATTTTAAGGAATGTAGGAGCAGCAACCCAAGGTATTGCAATAGGAATACTATAATAAAAACCACAGGAAACTATAGGGTAACTGACCACCTGTTTCGTGTGTGGTGCGCATTCCCCGCAACCACTGCCTGCCTGAAAGGGGAGTAATCATAAAGTCGCTTTCAACTTCAAAAGTCCTTGCAATGTATTCAACAGTTCGGTTAATGGGATTTGTGTTTACGTAGCTAGTGGGTAGAATCCCAGGTGGTGAATTTACTCAGGTACACGGTGAGATAGTAAAAAGCAGGGAATGAAGGAGTGAATACCAGGAACAGGGTCAATTGGCTCCACAGGGAATTCGAGGAGATAAATAAACATGATGGCCAGTCACGCGTGAACCGAGATGACGGTCATGTATTAGCAAGATTCTTACACTGGAGTTGGTATAGTTACGTCGGTATGCATGTGCATAGACTGGGAGGTTACTTAAACTGTGAATCGAGAGATTTTATAAGTATAAGGTTGAATGGGGCCTTATCGGGCGACTAACACACAACTCTACTCCTTTACATCTGGAATGCTGGTCCTTCAGATGAATGCTTAATTTTTATTTGACATACAACAATTTGATTAATCCATTTGTTCGGGGAAATTTATCTGAAGCATGAGCAGGTTTTTAAAATTCGTAAAGAAAAGCTACTGAATCATTTCTGAGAAAACCGAAAGTACATTCACAGGTGGTTTCTACTTATGAATCTCATCACATCGATAAACGACCTCTCAGTACAATTATATACTGAGAGCACTTTCGTTTATTTAGATGCTTGACATCCACCGGTAAGCGTAAGGACATCGACATCACAATTGTGGATAGCTGTGGCAATGGCGAATCCCGTTGTAAAGATGGACGTTGTATTCCACAATCCTACGAATGTGATGGGATTCCACACTGTCCTGACGGTTCGGACGAATTACCCAGCTTTTGTAAAGGTAGGCTCAAATAACGCCTGACGCAACGACTGCGGTGTTACCGGAGCTGGATTAACCCCTTAATTATTCTTCTTGCTAATTAAGTACATTTCATGCCCTATTTTGCCCCCTGTTTGATCCATGTGATGAGTTGGCTGCTTATCTACCTGTCTGACGTTATTGCCAATACATCTCGTAGGCACGTGGGCGCGTCACGCGGGCATTTTAGGCGCACGATTTTAAAGTTGACCTCTCGGTGTTGGTTTGGCTTGAACCAATCAAATTGTAGAAAGCCATAATTGATCGTACAGCTAGTAACATGCTTCAGCCTTTCCGGTTGTCATCTTTTTTATCAGCTCAGAATCTGATCACTAACTCGCTTCATCAGGCTTGTTTGGGCGCAACATGGTATGTACTTTTAAACCTAAGACTGCAATTTTTGTATTTGTTAAAAATACGTGTTCGATCTTTCTCAAATAATGCTGACTTTCGAAGAATACACTGAAGTAAATTAAACTATTCAATTTGTGTGCAAATGGGATTTCGCTGGTATTAAGCTATCCGAACATCATTCCTCAGACCAAAGCCAGTCAAACTTGGTTCATCTGGTATTCGATATTTGGCAAATAACTCTACTGTAGTGACTGATCGACTGATTTAAGTATTTTGAAGGACGCATCACTCAATTTATAATGCGCTAGCAAGCTATTCCCCTGAAACCTAGTCTTTTCCCACCGAGACCTTGCAGGTTAATGCCATCGTTGTGACCTTGTGGCTAGAATTTTGACATGACAGTCTGACAGCAAATTTATTTTAAGCCTCTAATTTCTGCTTGGTATTGTTCTTTTTTTCTCGTATAAATTCAGGAGGAAGATCGGCAATCAATATCGCACCAGACTCTATCACTATTCCTGAATGGACTCCGTTCCGATTTGTCTGCGACAGTCAAACGGGTCGCGTGACTGCGTACTTCAAAGACAGCGGGGCACTCGTTGAATATGACCACAGATTTCACGTTGCTTGCTTCAACTCAACTGCCATCGAGATTTCCGCTCCTTTTGGATTGAGAAACGTCGATGATATGGAAATTGAGTAAGAACAAAATAATCTCGATGCGTGTATCTTCAGAAATAAAAAAGGACCAGATTAAGGCAACCTGAATTCCCCTAAATAGTGTTATTTTTTTACACAGGATAGGAACTTTTAAAAAATCAATCTAAGTGTTCAAGATTTGAACACAGTCCTCAACGACCTGTTCTATTCTGTTCTATTAACAATAGATTTGACCCATCTTACTTTTTAACATGACGTAAACGGTTACTGCGTAGGTCCAAGGCGCATAATATTTACCCAAACACGTTAAATGAGTGAAAATTCTCCTAAAGAGAGCTCTTGGGAAGCATGTATAATCTTCTTCTGTTATCCCATCACAAATTACTAATGAGCCTAAGGCTACACTGACAGATGCTCTATTGTATCGTTCTCACTTGTAAATACGTTGATAATAACATATTCAAGTTTGAGTTCAAAAGATATATAACTGCAAGGCTTGTAGATCTCCCACCTTACTTAAGCAAATTAAACCTTGCAGCTTCTAAATTTATTGTCCTGAACAAGGCATTTAGTTTTGTGGTAGACAATAACTGGGATTAAATGCGTGGCTTTGCACTCTTTATAGCCGTGGTGAAGGGTCTTATCTAGACGTCAAATGAACCCTATTTACTCGATGACCACTGCTGACAGCCACAATCTTCAAATACCCATTATATTTTGCGTTCTACAGATGTGTATCCACAAATGGAGATCGGAAATCAGTTTTCATTGCTGTTGAAGGCCACTGTCCGAGAGGAGAATCACGATGTAAGGACGGTGGCTGCATTCCCGTTTCACAACTCTGCGACTTTGTTACCCACTGTAAAGATCACACAGACGAAATCCCCGACTTCTGCCTAGGTATGGCTTAAAGACGTTTTTTCTTCTTAGAGAGGGAAAGGAAGGTTTTAGAGGAGGCACAAAGGAAGGAGTCTTTTTAACACTACTAGTTAAACCTGGATGCAAATACTTTAAAATTTTACCCTATCTTCACAACCTCCCTTACTTCTATTGCTCAAATTATTCCAGCCATTTTAACCCTTATCTTGGAGGAAGAATTTTAGGTAGCAAATTTAATGCTACTTGTCTTAAAGGTTCTCACAGCTGCCTCTGAGATCACTTCGCAGTGTTTGCAGTGATCTCACTTGGGCGCCAACACTTGTTTTGGTTTATGTATGTTTTTTAATTGCTCCAGGATACTCAAAACCACCAATAATAATCGATCCACCAATGATAGACATACCAGCTTGGCGATTGTTCGAATTTGTATGCAGAAGTACTGATGGCAGTCAGGTAGAGGCCCTTTTTTCCCACGATGGCTCGCAAGTGCGCGATGACTCTCGGTTCCGAGTTACTGCGCACAATTCAACATCAATTATTATCTCCGCACCAGATGGTCTACGGGACACAGACGATATGCGACTGGAGCAAGTTTAATATTTCTTTGTTAAACAAGTCAATTAGATCCATAATATTGTATTCCGCAATTTTATCTACTTACATTTTAAGTTCTGGTTGACCTCTTGTCACACTACTGATTAATAATTGTACATTTTGGATTCTTTGCATGAAGGTGCGTCTCGTCAGCTGGTGAGAAAAAGGAGACATTAATAACAATTCGAGATGTTTGTGGTCATGGGTACACGCAGTGCAAAGACGGACCTTGCATTCTTCAATCACAACTTTGTGATGGAATTCCACATTGCCGTGATTACTCGGATGAAGACCCCAAGTTCTGCAGAGGTTAGCCAAGTGACACTTGTTACTTACTTGTGTACGATCCAGCAAAGTGCACTTATCTTTTAGCCGAAGTCTTTGTGGTGGAACTACACTTTCATTTATTGAGCCTGCATTTCATGTTGCTATCTGCGAAATAAATATTCAAGGTTTCCCCGGAAGAAGCTTTCAGCTTACTCCTTCCACATCCTGAACAGTTTCTTAGGTTATAAGCCATGTTTGGTACCCTGATTTCGGCACTGTCGCTTGTTCTCACAGCTCGTCATATGCTCTAAATAGACAAACCAAAGTTTCCACTATTTACTCTATTAATGGTGTTTAAACAATTATACCCAGGGTTCACCCAGAGATTGCCTTCTTGTACGTATTGTTGGGCTAGGCGTTTGCTCTAACACTTTGGCTAGGTATAATATCTTTTTAATAACTGTTGCCAAATATTTAAATAGCAGATTCATTTTCAAACATGGCTATTAACTACCACACATATTTTTACAAAATCAATGAAAGTTACACCCCTTACTTGTTCGACCGGAAAAAAAGTTGTCAAAATGCCACAACAATATTTAATGGGAGCCTAATCATGTTGAATTCTTAAATGCAACCAATTAAGATGAATAATTTAAGGGGAAAACGAAATAGACAATGAAAGTAAAATTGGGATCCTAAGATTGTAATTCCAACGTTAGTCAGCATTGCACGTATCCGTCTGTCAGATAAAATGATTAAATTTATTGCGCATTTTTATTCTAGACCCTGTCAGGCCTTCCATTGTAGCCGACCCCCGGCATATCTACAAGCCAGCATGGATGGACTTCGAATTCATTTGTCGAAGTTCAGATGGTGGCCAGATTGATGCTGTTTTTGCCAGAGATGGGTCTCGGGTCGACGCCGATCCACGGTTTCGTGTCACAGTTTATAATGAAAGTGCTCTCGTTGTCTCCGCTCCTGAGGGTCTAAGAGACGTGGACGACCTAACGATACAGTAAGGAAAAAAGAGTTGGTCCAAGAGTATCAGAGTAGATGAGAATTTTCTCAGTGTGATCTAGTACAAATTCGAAACCATGGATCGTGGGCCAAAGCGACTTATTTCGCCGTCGTTTGCGTACTACACTAGACTTCAAAACGTGAAGCTGCAGGTCAGCGCAGGTGTGCGCCATTTCACGACCCTGGCGGAGACTCCTTTGAACCCCACACTTAGTTGATCAGAGTTGTAATAAGCTAGCCGATTATAAATTGGAGGAGACTTATTTTTTAAATAACCTCATCGCACAAATTCTGCCTTTGCCTTCAAATGAACTTTGATTACGATTTAAAACTCAGGTTTTACGAATAAAAGCTCAAAACATCTCATGCGTTACAACTGATGAGTTGTTTTAGCGTTATTATTAAACAAAAATTTCAAGGAATCTGATTTTAAAATAAATAAAGAATTTTGAAGTATCCCTACTTGTGTGCATTATAACTCACTAGCGGGCCCGAAAATCTTGGGAATTGGACAACTGGCACCATCAGTTATTGTGATTACTTGCGTCCTGAGGTTAAGTTTTGGATTCTTAAGATGCATTTCAACGACTGGGCAAAAACGAGACATCGTGATTACCATAACGGGCAGTTGTGGAAGCGGATACACCCAGTGTCGTGACGGGCGGTGCATTCAGCTGTCTCACCTCTGTAACGGCATTCCACAATGTCAGGACCACTCGGATGAGAGCAGAAACTTCTGCCAAGGTATGCATTTCTACATGTCCCATTGGAGATCCACGTCACTTGGTAATTTGCCGACAAACCAATCGCCTTTCAAAATTCGAATTCTATTGACCTAAAGATTGTCACACCACATTTTCTCTCGAATTTGAAGTCTGTTGCCTTTCTGATGTGGTGTTATTAGGGTTTTATGAAATGGTGAAGTTCTGTGTCAGTATTGTCATTGGGAATATTTGAATCATTGGCATTAAAGTTGTCTAAAAAGGCACCAGTCACTTTAGGGTGAAGGGAACGGTCACACTTGAAAAGTAAAACAGAAATGATAAGTGCGAACATTCGAAGTATCTAACGCAAACATAAAAATCTCTGTTGTAAAATTCAGGACCAACCACACCGACATTGTTGATTGCCCCACAAAAGATCGATGTTTCAGCTTGGGAGAACTTTGCGTTTTCTTGCGTTAGCAATGACGGAAGTCGAGTGAGTGTGGTCTTCAAGGCCGATGGCTCGCCAGTCGAAACGGACTCAAGATTTCGCGTCACTCGATACAATACTTCAAATCTCCTGGTCACAGCCCCCAGGGGACTTCGGGACATCGACGACATGGAAATTGAGTAAGGCTTCGGTGATATTCAAAACACACTCTAAAACACTAGTCAAAAACATGCTAAAATAAAGTAAACATTTTAGCCTTTTATTTTACTTAGACCTGAAAATCCGGATTATTTTCCTCGACACGTTTTAAATTCACTGACACCACTCGCCTTCCGATCAATTGATGAATATAAAATATGAAACATTTTAGATGCGTCACTACCTCAGGCCAAAGAGGGGGCATAATAATCACGCTTCCTGATTCCTGTGGATTCGGTTACACTAAGTGCAGAGACAACCGTTGTATTCACGAGTCACAGTTGTGCGACGGAACCGCGCATTGCGACGACAGATCGGACGAAGATCCATCTTTCTGTAAGGGTATGTCGAGAATCATTTTAGTTTACGATACTTTGATGGGTAGTACAGGAACTGGTACATTAGACAGACCTCGGGCGTTAACACTCGAATTTCTCTAGTTAACTTTGCATGCATATTACAGGGATGGGGAGATGTTAAATTTTCATCAGTAATTCGACCATATTGCAATTGAACATATAATAAACTATCTGTAATATCTCTTTATATTGGTTCATAAACTTTTGTCATTTTGTGTAGTTTAAAGCTTGTTCAATGGTATTTTTACTCAGTTTTTCTAACTGGTTAACACGACATGAACTCAAAATATTTTTTTCAAATCCTCAGCCACATATTGACCGGGACGAATAAAAAAATTACCGCGCTAGTCATAGACACTGATATCGTAACTTTTTTGCACATGCGTGCATCGGTGCCTTTGTCCAGGGGAGGCCGAAATTTTTCCGTGGGAGTCTAGATGGAAGGAATGCGCGTTATCTTGGAGGTCAAAGAATCACGCGTGGAGAAATATCTCTTTGATAACCTTGACGCCAGTAATTATTTTAATGGCCATTTCATCCATTTATCTTTTGTGCTAACTTCCACTTAGCTGCACCTTTTTTGCCTATATTCTCAGTAACCATGTATTCTCACTTGGCTTTACTAAGAAAAATCAACTAGCCTTACGGAAATTACATTTATAAACTCAATCAAGACTCTTACGTGACGAACACCTTAATAGACATTGCTTCGAAAATATTTTGGATGAAGAATTGTGAAATCGCATGCTATTTCACAGTTCGGCAGAACTTTTCTACCCAAATAACTGATTCGTTGATTTGCGAGGTAGTTATGTTTGTCTGGCTAAAAATTGACCATTTGTATTCTAATCCACTATTGCCATAACCTAACTAGGTTTCAATTTTCTTGTAGTAGAATCTATTTCTACCCTGGAAATTGTCCCAAACCAAATCGTTTCAAGACCCTGGACGTCTTTCAAGTTTACTTGTATTGCCAGCCTTGGTGAACGTCCATCCGTCATAATTGTTCGCGACCGTAAGCCCATTGAAACTGATCCGCGGTACACAATTAGACAAATCGAAGAGAACGCGATTGAAGTAACATCTCCCCATGGATTAGCAAGTCTTGGACCCAATGACCAACTAGCGTACGTTGGCTTTTTAGTTTCGCGATTGCACCCGAGTTTGGAACACTAACGTGACTACTGATGGATGTTACAAGCTGATCTATCCTTATTTGCTATAAAGGGTGAACATGCGAACCAAGTAGCATTTTTACTGCGTACGTGACTTTAGATTCGTCCTAACTACCACATCTAATCAATAATTTGTCGCCTTGCTCCTACGTGTATCAAGATTAACAAAATTGGTGGCTCGAACTTATTCTAGCTCTATGTAATGACTATGCTTAATTGTTCGAAATAATCAATAACTTTTATCGAACCAGGTGTGAGACGATTACGGGCCAGCAAAAGGAAGTGCCCATCGTCATTACTAACCCGTGCCGTCATGGCCAACTGTCCTGCAAGGATGGAACTTGCATTTCTTCGAACGAATTCTGCAACGGACGCGTGGACTGCAGTGATGGATCTGACGAATCGCACACCGCATGTCCAGGTTTGATGTTGTGGTTGTGCACTATTCCCACTTAGATTGATAGAATTCGCAGTAGAGACTATTTCAGACATCCAGCGACATTTATATGAATTAAATAAGTAGGACTAAAACTAGGTGTCCTCTCTTTAGGACTCGGCTATCTAGAAAAACAGATTTGGATGATGAGATGGTAGATTTGCTGCCACCTGAACGTGTGGCCAAGAATGTAGCCTCGTTCTACACTGGCGCTGGTTTGGCATTCAAAATCTTTTGATTATAAAACTAGATCTTTAACCTAAGCATCTCTTTAAAATACCTGACAAAGCAACATGTGAGTTGTTTACCACACTCGACCGATGTTTCTGTCTTAAATAATGTGTGTTGCATGCTAGATACACCGACCGGGGTGCGCGTGATTCCAGAAAGAATTACCACACCACCATGGAGCGAATTCGTTTTCTATTGTACGGACACTATGAGCGGGGACCCACCAACGGCAGTCATGGCTGACAGTCGGAAACGCGTGGATTCAGACCCGAGGTTCCGAGTGACGCGGGTCAATTCCAGCACAGCTGAAATCACAGCAACGCACGGCCTTCGTGGTTCAGAGGACAGCATGAGTGTTGAGTAAGTTTGATTACTTGTAGCCTAAATCCACGTTTAGGGTTCTCCTGTAAAGCAGTGGTTGATATGTAGACTGTTCTATTCTAGAATTTCACTAACCCTTCATCTTACATGTCATTGTAGGTGCATTTCGAAGAAAGGTGACAGCGCAACCGTGCTCATCGTAGTTGAGGATCGCTGTGGCCCTAGAAGGCTTCAATGTCGCAATGGAGATTGCTTGCCATCCAGCAGCTTTTGTGACCAAAATTTCGATTGCTCAGACGGCTCTGATGAGGGGACACCTCATTGCCAGCGTGAGATTCACTGTTTATTCTGAATTTCTACCTTTCGAACGTTGTAGTTAAGACACCCGTTTCTATGTGAGCTGCTCAAAATAGGTAGGTTGGGCAAGTATCAGCGGTTACAAGCGCATTTAGAGGGCTTTTACGACTATTTACTGTGTATGGCCCCTGTTTTTCTTGTTTAGTTAAGGGTATTCACACTGAATCAGAACTTTACATGTAGTACTTAATAAGAGCTTTCAGTTAAGTGGTCCGAAATTTGTGAGAGTAATCTGAGTTCGTATTTAAACACTGCAAAATCTGGATATCTATGACATGGCAGTTAATTTCACAAATCTTTTAGAACTGGAGGAAACACTGACGGTCACTCCCGGCCACATCCGCAATCCCCCATGGGTGCCATTCTCGTTCACTTGTATTGCTCCAATGGGACAGAAACCCGATGTTGTTTTCGCAGCTGACAAGAGACCTGTAGAAGACGACCCGCGATTCGCCGTTCGGCGTATCAATATCAGCACAATCGAAGTCACGGCTGAACGCGGATTGCATGGTGACCAAGCGGTTGTTTTGTTCGAGTGAGTGCACCTGCTTCCTGCGGCTGCCTTGCTTTAATCACCGACTGCTCACTCACCAAATTTTCCCCCAGGTGTGTCACTCCAAGTGGACTGCACAGGAAAGTGTCCGTTTTAATCGACGACATGTGCAAACCGAACTCAATGCAATGCCGTGATGGCCGCTGTCGGCCAATTGACAACTTTTGCGACGGAAAACCCGATTGCACCGACGGATATGACGAGTTAAGGGAGTTCTGTGAAGGTAGGCTTGAGCCAATATCTGATATCCCTGGGACCGTCTTTGCCAAAAAGGAGCCGTGCTTGTTAATGTCGTTAACAATTCACACTAGTTGTCACAGCATAAGAGCTTAGCCCCAGCTCCCCGAAATATTTTACCAGCCAACCTCACCGACCTCATTAATGGTTAAGCGGATCCCTGTCAATAATTGCGAAGGAACGAAACAGCCCCTATAGAGAAGGATACGGAACCGTCTCCCACTTCACTCTCCGCTTCATGGTGAAGGTAAGACGGACTCGCTGCTAAAGAATCCTAAGTAACCCTAAGCACCCAACAAACAGAAGTCTTATCTACGCATGGAAAAATTAATCGAAACTGAATGAACACCGCTCGTAAACCAGAACAATAAAGCTCCTTGGGACACATTAACAATCACAAAACTTGAGAACAGATGCCTCTAATAATGTAGACAAGATGACAAAACTACAAGTTTGTGCCAACTACAGGGAACCGCTCATTAAACGACAGCGAAAAGCCGACAGAAATAGGCACCGAGTGTAACATATTTGTTTGAAGACGCCAAACGGGTCTTTAACAGCGGTCCGCAAAACACAAACTTGTAACTTCTCACAAGCATACACTGCTATTAATTATTGCTAGACCCCACTTAGAACAAAAAGTTACGAAATATACATAGGTTTCTCAAAAAGACAAAAATATAAGTACAGAGGCCCTGGATGTCCCGTGGACCACCACCAACGGCTTCAGCTCAAATTATGTACAATTGTTCCGGTTTCATCGAATAGAATCCTCATAGTAAAGGATATCGCCTTTATGTACACGATGTCTAAAAGTGAATGCTTCAGTAATAAGGTGACTTACGCTGAAACAACATCGATACGACCTCCGGACAAACTATTATTGCTATGCTCCTGAGGATCAAGAGCGATCAGCCGTTGTCGCGAAGGTAGGTCGTCCCAATCCTCGTATATGGACTGAATCACCTCCAAGGTGCGATAGAAATGAACGTCATCACGGTTGCAAACAAAATCTGCAAGGTGATTGAGATGTGGTGAGATTATTTCAAACTTTTCTTCGCGGGTGAGAGAGGACCTGGATCGCGGTACCAAGGGCTCATCCGGGGCTGAACCTACTGAACTGGAGTTTTCAAGTGGATGGTTGGGTTCCAGCGATTTTAAGCATTTTCTTGGAGGCATCGGCAAGCATTCAACATATTCGCGACCGACTACATGGCAATGACGCATATCGAACCGAACAACACGCAGTAGATTATTTTCGGCGCGTAAAACTATGATAGAATTACACCCTATCTTGGGAGTTCTATACAAGCAATTCACAGGAAGGCTCGAGAACTAACCTGTTACGACTATTCTCGTTTTGTCGGCTTTCTCCGTAGTGGTAGCATGCGTAGGTTAAACGGCGGTAAACAAGAGTACTCCGTTCAGGTCTACTTGCTCGGAACTTATCACCCTTCCATTTATTATAGTGTGTTCCTGAGACACGCTCAAAATTCTTCAACCTGCTTTCAAATTCCGAAAAGGCAGAAAACCACATCTGCGGAAATGCTTCCATAAAAAGTTCCGTTTGGTCATTTTGATCGTCACAAATAGCATGTATTGGTATGGAACCATTTTCCCCCACTGTCGCGGTATCCGCAAGTCTAGAGTTCAAATTGATGGCACACATAGAGTGATTATGATTCATGTTCCAGTCAACAACTGTCAGAACGCCGCCAGCACCACTAACTTTTATCTGAGCAGTGCAGTCTGTACCACGTTTTCTGTTTCAAACATTAATCCATGCAAAGAATGAATACTTGCGATTTCCCTTGCCGTTGTATGACGAGCAAAAATAAACAACGCTACGGTACACCAAAGTTTCCCTCAGGGGATGGCCCTCCTTGAAGCGATTACTGTTCCCTTTTATGAAAACATATCCAGATGCCTGCATGTTAAACTAATACGTAGGGAAAACAAACCTCTTGAAAAGCTCGAAGACATTGCTGAAATGCGTTAAATGTGGGATATTTCCTACAAGCGACCAAATCACGAAACCACCGACTAGTATCCATCATGCGCGAAACAGCGGAAAAACAGCGCGCGCAACCTTGGCAATCGATGAACAGACATACAAGCCACTAATTTGCTCTTATCGGTGATTGGTCAACGCCTCGACGCGAGAACCAATAGTAATGCAGCAACATCAGTAAATATGTGTGTGCACGTTTCATGTTAGGGTTTATGCCCGCCAAAGATCTCGCCATCTAATCCACATGGTTTTGCTCAGCGTTTGTCAGATGTTGCAGTGGTTGCCTCGATCGGAGATAACCGCGTCTCTGACGCATGTAGACATTTGATAGGGTTGTACGAAGCACGGTTTCTTCTTGCTAATCATAATTTAAAAAAAACCGAAAGTGGTTAATCTTTGAAGGGGGGATAAAAATTTTCGAAATGCTTATAGGCCTGGTCTGATGTACCCCAATTAAAAGGTGCAAAAATTTGTTGCCTTGAGATCGGTAGGTCTGCTGTTTCTAGTGTACAAAGAATCAACTTATGCTCGTTTGGTGAGGGTTTATCACTCCATTTCAGTTATCCAATCGTGATGTTTCCCGGTCTTCATTTAAATTCATCTATTAAAGTAGTAATTGCGAAACGTTATGCCTTATGCAGTCCTGAACTAAGGCACGTCCTGGTCAATGTGCTAGCTGTAACTTGTAGATAGAAGGAGTTCTGTTTTCAAGGTCACGCCCTTTCTGTACGTATATTAAGTTTCGCAAAATGGTTCCCAATGTGGTTTTCATTTGTTCCAGGTACCCACCTCAGTACTTAGCAAGTGATTTAACTTAAGCGTTTCCCTGGAATATGGAGGGGTAGGTACTGCTTAAGGTTGTTTTTCGCTTTTTTTGCTGTAGAACGGAATAATTTGTAACTAACATTTGCAAATGCTCTTTTGAGCTAGTTCTTCGTTTGCATCTTGGTTTACCATGTTACCACTCCTCAGAGTCGAAAACGACACTAGCTGTGGCTCATACCCATGATTAATTCTTGAAACTACACATAGACCCAGATATTACCAAGCGCTCCAGGAAATCGTGGAAGCCCATTTTGGTTTCTACGACAGTCACTATGCAACTGCGCATTGATGCAAAATTCACCGTATCGTCAGACATTTAAGCCAATGATTTAGAATACAACAATGCATTTAACTGTAAGTGGAACAGGTCAGGGTTATGTTGAGGGCCCCGGCATGTTGTCTTGAACCACGCCGGGGCCACTGCGATTATCTAGGCCGAATAAGTTACCCTGCGTTCCCGCGAAAATATAGAAGACCGGAGTGGGGAAGGCACAACCGTTTACTAGACCGCTCAACCAAGTTGTATCGTGTACTTTTACAGTTGAGTGGACATGTAAAAGTGAACACAGGCGTTTGTGAGGTCACATGGCCAAAGCGGGAGATGGTGGTACATTCAGAGGGGTAATGAACCAGCGGTCTCACGTGAAAAGGGGGGACGTGTGCCGGAAGCTGCGAGGACAGGGTTATTGGACGTGAATCAACACGATTCACTACAGTTACCTTACATCTTTTTGCCTCATCCGGCTTTGTTTTATTCTTGCACGCTCAGATGGTTTATGGGCACACTAAAGTGTGCCTCTGTGTGTTCATTCAACTGATTTCTTTGAAGTAAACTCTGTTTTTATTTTTGTAGGACCTGCATCAACATCCCCATCACCAAGTAGAGTGCGCCTTAGTCCAAGTAAGCAACGTGTGCGTCCTGGGCTGGAAATTCGCCTCGAGTGCACCACACTCTCTGGTAACGTGCATCAGTTCCCGATCATTGAATTCGCCAACGGAACGCCTCTCACAAATGACCCGAATTTCCGCGTGGAATATCCGAAACCAGGTCGTGTCATTGTTACTGTGCCCAAGGGAACTGATATCCCATGGAGACGCAGAGAGTTCCAGTAAGTTGAGACTTTCCGTCTTTGATCTACCACTCTTTTAATCGCTAGTTGTTCAGTTTATTCCACGATTGTGCAAAAGTCGTGCAGATAACAATAGAATACAACCGTAAGCGTCATGAGGGTTAGCTTGATGTCCAACAGACTCAGTTGTACCTCGAAATTTGATGCACGCTTTTGTGCCGTTCGGTGATTACGTAGTCCACCAGAGTCATCGTCCCGTGGCCAAAGCATCCGTATGATCTATTTACCAACACCGAACCTTAATATCTGTTTCTCTTCCATAATTTTATTCTTTATAAATCAAAAACCCATAGCTAAAAACGGGGTTTGTCGGAACACAGCATATAATATATGACTCAAAATTGGTAAGTTTACTCTATATTGAAACTGGTTAAGTTACTCTCTAATATTTTACCATTTTTAGATGTTATTTACCAGGTGGTGAGAAATCCCATGCTGAAGTCATCATTGATCAGGCTTGTGCTGTGGGTCAAAGGCGTTGTGACGACGGACAATGCATCTACATTGGCCAGTTCTGTGACGGCAAACGGGACTGTTCCGATGGCTCGGATGAATTTAAACATAACTGCGGTAACTCAGCTGTTGGAAAAATGTATTACATCGACTTATATTAGAAAGTAATTTGGTTAGCACAATCATTCACCTGTCGGTCCTATTTGTAAAATGCACTTGTTGGATATTTTTAATTCCACTGATTAGTACATTAGCACCTGTAATTTCGGAATCCCAAATGGACAAAATTCTATAAGCCAGATAATCCTGAACAGATTTATTAAAGTCCATATTAATGGAGCGTTTAGCATGCAAGTTTTCAATCTTATGCTTATTAATATTATTGTTAAAGATGTTTGCGATCCTATTTCGCGGCCGTGTGGGTCAGTGGACGGAAGAAAAGCAAGCGTTCCTTACTTCCAAGAACACTGGCGTTGTGACGGTGAGAACGACTGCGGTAACGGTTTTGACGAACTCAACTGTGAAAATTGTATGTTCCGATGTCTTTTAAGCAAATTATCAAATTCTTCCATGAGTTTCTTGCATATTTTCGGATGAAAACCCAGACTACTTCTTTTCAGTTCTCCTGAGTGGTGATTAATTGATCGCTGTTCTTTTATCCTTGTTCCTCTTTTCGAAATTCCCATTCAAATTTTGTGAATCCGTGGCTGTAAATGGTAGTTGTTATTGCTCAGTAATTATCAAGTACATGCGAATTAGAGAGCATATCGATTAAGCGTTCGCACATCGTGAGTGTCGACACTTGTGTTCCTGTGCCTTGTCAGATACACGTGTGCCAGGTCGAAACTGCGGTAGCTGGAGGTACGACTGCCCACAGCGAGGTCCCAGGATTCCTCTTGCTTATCAGTGTGACGGCCAACCTGATTGCCCCAATGGTGAAGACGAATTGAACTGCAGTGAGTTTTCTGAAAGATGGCTCGTGATATTACTTCAAGGTCCAATCCACAGACATCGGAGTGTGGTTTTGGTATAACACCACCGTATCCAAATTCGTCTGTTCGAAGAGGAATTTCGGCTCGTTTTGTCGTTACTGCTGACTAGCTTAATCAATGGACTAAAAACAAAAATTCCTTAGCAAACATCTAATTTTTTTAATGTGAGCAAATTTTTTGCCTAATAAGAGCTATTTGTTGTCTATATTAATGCAGATTATTGTATCTGTGTTTTGTTCTTCAGCTGGTTTTCCAAATACTTAAGTCGATTAACATCGCCACTTTCGGCCAAATTTGACTTTTGAACCTGTGAGCACTAATTCAAAAGTGGGACTTACTAGGCACTTCTTGCATCAAAATCGGTCGGTATTCATCATACGTTTTTGCAACCTCTCATGGCTTCCTCCAATTTCCCCGCAGACTGATGTGTGTTCGGACGATCCTGAATGGCCCTACGTATTAGAGTATTGTTTTATCCATGGGGTTTGTCCTAATTATCTTTTACGTTTGCTCGTAACCAAGAAAACACCCGGTACCCAGATCCCTTGTCTGACGCTAGAACCGAGGGCCCCACGATAATGCAAGGCACGACAAGACCTCGTGCAGCCAAAGGCCGGGTGATCTGTCTGAATGTCAACATTTACACAGTCAAGGGTGACCTTGGCCTGATGGATGAAAGCGGATTAACACAGACGGGATCGTCAGTAGGGTGCCGTGGGTGACACCAGCTCACGAGGCGTGGTTAAGGGATTAATGTAAACAATGAGGAATCTCGGATCCCCAGCATCATAATCTATCGACTATGTTGTTTGTGATCCACTGGTGTGTCTTACTCCGGACTTTTTTCGCGACTTCAACCCTGTCTGATCAATATTTTATCTTGTTGAAGTAAGCTCTTCATCGGAGTTATCAATTTGTTGGAGTTTACGATGGCCCGCATTGCCTACCTGTCGCTCACACTTGTATCGGTGGTGTTGTGAAGCGAATGTGTTATGAGGAAACATTACACGACATGAGGATAAAGTTTAGCATGGGAGAATGGGAAATACCAAGTGGTGCCAGATAAACGAAACTCAGTGCAATCTCATAATAAATTTCAAAAAAAAATATTTTTTTTTGCGAGTCATCGGGTACGTCTCATACAAGGACGGCCATTAAAAACAACACATCAGGGTAATATGGGATTCACGTCCGTCGATAAGTGATTTATCTCTTTGAGTTTGGTTTGAAATAATTTGTACCACTACGAATTCAGTGCCTAATTATGGCACGCAGGAGTTGCAAATACCGAAATGCTTTTGTAAATCTGTGAGTCAACGCCGCTTTTTCTCAGGCTGTTGGACCGTTCACGTCAATGTTTCGACACAGTAGTATACCTAGCAATAGGCTCTATGCGGTGCATTTAAGTTTTGCCTAACTATTGCAGTGCGCCCGGCCATATACTCCGAGGGTTGGCAATCACGCTATGAGGTTCGACTTGGCCAGAAGCTGGTGATGGAGTGTGAGGTGCTCGGCGTTCCCCCACCAGCTGTTGTTTGGCGTTTCAACTGGGGCTGCCTACCTCAGGGAGATCGCGTTCGCGTCGAGCCAGTGGCCAGTGGGTTCGGCTGTTCCGCCAGTCGCAGTCGCCTCACCATTCAAAGTGTACAGGAGGGCGATGACGGGATTTACAACTGCGAAGGGCTCACCGGCGTCGATCGCGCCCTCTCGCAGGACATGTTCGTAATTCTAATTGATTAAATACTCCTTTCTCTAGGCGCTTCTTGTAGTCTTGTTTAGGTTTTTTCAACCTCTTCATTAAAATATTCTTTTTCCTTCGTCCAGGGTACTTGAACAAATTTCTCCTTACTAGGCTGATGGCTCGTGACGCTTCCTGTTTTTAATGTTAACAAAATTGTGGACGTACCACTGTGTGCGCTAGATGATATAAGAAGTAAAAGGAATAAGATAATTGTGAAGTAATTTTGATCAAATCGAAGACAGAGCAAGCAATAAAAGTGAAATTCACTACAATAGCCCGCGCTTTAAAAAAAAACTTGTCCTTTTGAAGTGGTCTGTTTCAAGAAGTCTTAATGCGGCTAAATGTGTGTACTCCTTCCAAAACAAAAGCCTTCTGTGGTTATTTATAACCTTTTAACGGCCCACATGCTAGTTGACGAAAGTTAGGGCACCCGTGGGCTGCTAGAGATGCATCACACTGGGGATTGAAGACGCATTAGTAAATTTTATGTTCAATTGTTAAGCTTTGGATAAAATAAATCATCATTCTTTCTTGTGCTTAAGCTTTATGTTGGAGAACAACCCGGTTCTGAGATCAGATATATTATTTAACCTTAGGCTCAACCAAACTAAAATTTAATAGCTCCAATCATCATCCTTGGTGGTGTTTGGGTCAATATTTGGTGCTTGATCAAGTAGCTTGTTCAAAACTTAATAAACACGTGTGCTGAATGAATGCCATTCTGTTTAGGATTCGTAGAGGCCTTAAGGAGATTTCGCAACCCCAACGCAATAAATAATGATGCCATTTATTGGAGTTTATGTATAGCAAAAATTTGAGTGCACGGAGCATGGAGCTACGATTCGAAAGACGGCACCGGACGTAGACAGCAGTTCCTAGGCGTTCCAAATCTTCTTTGAGATCCATCCAGGCGAAGTGTAAATCAAGAGGAAAACTATTAGCAAGATAAGGAAGGCGATCAATATCTTGATGAGGATCCATTTCAACTTGTACTTGATCAAGTAACGGATAGTGTTCAGTGGGCCAAAGAAGCTCATAAATGAACTGTCCGGACGACTGAAAGAAAACACAGAAAAAACCTGAAGCGATGTCGTTAGTGTGTACTCAGACAACCCCAATAAAGTCGAGAAACACATGCATACACTTTTCAATTCAATCGTAAGCAGTTACTAATTCACTTAATCCGTGCTAGAATAAAGCGAGCTTCTCAAATTCTGCTGAGCTACGTGAAGCGATTATCACCCACACTTTCTGATTGGCAACTAGAGCTGTGAGTGCATTCGTGGATAGTAGCCCGTGGACTTAGGGTGACAAATCCTAAGTATTTTTCTCCTCTTGTTTGAATTCTTGTTAACTACCGGCTAGAAGAGGTAACAAGGTAACTATGTTGACATGATCATCATTGAGTTAATGATATACATTTTGAAAAGATACTAACACTACAAACGATAGGCTCAGATGCTTCTGTATACAACATTGTTTGGTGATCCGGGGTCATCCGAGGTTAAGCACCTCAAAATTCCAAATGGGCACATGCGCACCGCATTTATCAAGCGAATTCGCCTTTTGAAGAATGACTAATAGACACTCAGGAAAACCCCAAATATCAACTGTGCATACTCTGGTTGTGGCAGTGCCTCTGGTTCCTCATGGCCCTTGCCGACAGGAGAGGCTTCAGCGTCCTGTCCCGAGACTAAATGCAGTTCCACTTCGACTTTACCCTGCAACAACACAAGGCTTTAAGTTAATTGTCGTGCACGTCGAAATGACACTGGCAATGTGTGTGCTCTTCCTTATTTGCATGGTGCACATCAACTATGGGAGTGGCTAGAAAGTCATCATTCACCAATTCAGTTAATGTTAATTTTAGCCGCCATGATGTGTCCTATGCTGGTTAGTTGTCTCTTTGTCTTGAGATTTATTTGAACCTAAACGTCGACTGTAACATATATCTGAATATACTGTGCTGCAAGCAGGTGTAATTTCAGTGCCTGTAAAAATGTAAATCATGAGATTTAGGGACGCCGCCGAATAGTTTAGGGATACTTGACTAGTTTTGGAACGGTGATTCTATCATGGAGATTTTAAAGAACAGCATAAGAAATTCATTTTTTTAGAGCAAATGTAATGTTGACATCGACTTTGACTGAAGTTCAAAATCAGGTGATGACGCACGCTGATAGAAGTTGAAACAATTATGGTTAGAATAATTTACTCACAAACCATTCAAAATAATCCTACCTGAACTACATCACCTTCTTCGTCATCATCTTTAATTACAAGTGGCCACCAACCGCGGATTTGCTTGTTTTCGAACAACGACAACGAAGGACAGGTTTTTTCTAGCTGATGGAGACCACACGTTGCTGGTGTCTTGGCAGGTCTTGGCATATGAGAGAGCTTCAGTGCAATAGAGCCTTTAAAAGTAAAAATTGGCTTATTTATTTGCTATTTGGTAAACCAGGACGTTCTACTCCCCTTTGTCCTCCGCCTAGTTAATGTGTGCATATATGTGTTTCTTTTTTTAAATATCTACATCAAATCGAAAAAAGTAACAAGAACTTGCAAAATAATACACTTTAGTCAATTAGCATCGCTAGATTTTCGGAAAAATTCAAATTTTTAATATGGGTTTTCAATCCTCAAGGTCTAACTTACCCAAAAACTTATCACTTCGAACAAGTTCGTTATCCCAGACTTGCAAGGTGAGATCGCAGGGCATTTTGACCTCCTCGGGATCAAGATCAAATGCCTTTTTCCGGGAGAAAACAATCCGGTCCTCATGACGCATGTAATTGAAGGGGAACACAAAGCGCCAGTTGAAATTGCCTTCTCCTGAGAGGGATCTGGGTGCAAAAAGCGTTTAACGGTTAAGAGGCACATGTAAGGCCTAAAAATGCATTGGTGGGGATGTGGGCATTCCATTTCCCTCCCATTAGTAGCTAAAACCCACTCATACCAAGAAAATTCCGAATCTCTGTTGCTTAAATGTTGAAATACGGGTCTAGGAAGAACTTTGTAAGAGCACGTAAAGCGACCTGTTGCATATTAGAAGTAGGCCTCACCCATAAGCAGGAGCTTACCTGTAGTGAACGTCGGTCTTTTGGTCATCCTCACCAACGCCCTTCACCCATCCACGCACATAGATGTCTGCGCTCTTCTCATTGGAAAATAGTGAAGTGTCATTGAGGACGACCTGAAAACGCAGGTTACTTTCTTAGCAATCGTCGCAAAAGCGTTTTGCATACAGAAATATTACGCAAAAGATTAGTTATGGATTTAATTTTCGACGAGTTTAAAACGCATTGATCCAATCCACATGACATTTCTTCCTCTCTCATGAACTGGACATCAAAACGCCATAAAAAGAGTAATTTTCAATGCTGCTGAATACGTAAGTGAAGCTAAGTGTAGTACTTTTAGTCTATGAAGTATTTATATCATGACCCTGACCACTGCACCACCAATCGCCCTGTCACCTGGGATTCGGAACCGCTTCAAAAGTGGAAAAAACAAATAAACTAAAACAGAGGGATGGGAGTCTGCAGTTCATATAAGAACACTGATGGCTCAGTTTTTCAAAAAAGAAAATACTCCTGCTGGAATAGTATAAGCGCTGCCTAGGAGCAGTTGTTACTTTTGCTAATAAGAGTTTAAACGAATGGGCTTTTCATAGAGCGTGTTGAACGTTAAACTATTATTAGCAAAAGTCAGTACTGGAGTCGCAAATAGTCAAAACTTTACAACAGTAGGAAAATTATCAAATAAAAGACGATTAAGGTCAAGGTGAATTAGAGAAGCTACCAACCTCAGCAGTGTTGTAGATGATGCACCTAAGCTCCCATGCCTCAGGTGTGCGGGGAGTCACATCAATCGATGGTGGTGGTCTCTCTTCATCCCGATCGAACATGTCAACCCACATCATCAAACGACCTTGCTCAAGGCTTCCCTTTTCTGGGTGCAGCAATCTGCGGACCTCCACATGCTCTGGCACTAAGGCGATTCCCCCAGGCACTTCATCCCAGTGATTCAGTGCCGCAAGGGCTAGCGGCTCGTTTGACTTCTTTTTTGTCTCTTAAAAAAACACGAACAATTAACCAACTACAAACTATGAATAGGCAAGAAACAAGTTAAAGCACTGCCTTAGGTAAGACAGACAGGATTCCTGATTTTGATTCATTCCCTTTTACTCATTCTTTTTCTATTTAGTTTCAATGAAAATAATAACAACCGTGGGTATACGCAATTAGCTGACTGGTGTTGTCGCGGCGCCGTTACATGTTCAAATTGTAAAATTGCCAAAATAAGTTACCAAGGGAAAACAAACCTGTTTCATCCACAATCGTAGTGTCAGCATAGAACGCTTTTCCACCGACTTTAACAGTGTTATCGATTTGGGCGTACACAGGGGGAGGAATGCCGCTCTTTTTGCACAAGTCAGCGAGAATCTCGGTGGGTAGTTTGCTGTCTCGCCATTGGGCGTAGCTGTGGCTAAAATGTTGCATATTTAAATATACAAAAGTGAGTCAAGGAAACAAAAGCAGCCCAATGACATGATAGCAACGAAGTTATGCCAAATTCAAAAGACAAAAGGTGGTGTGTATTTAAACAGGACCATTGCGTTGGAGGGCAAGTTTTGTTCTTTGATGAGATCCAGGCACAACTTGTGAAAATCGTGATTCTTTATTCGATCGATTACAGGCTTGCTGATGCCGCATAACCCGTTGCCAAATATGCCTCTATCATTTCTGTCATGTTTTCATTTCTCAGGCGTAAGGTGGTTTAACTAGTTGAGGGTTGAACTATGTACGTGTACATCAGACAATAAATAAAGTACAGAGACGTTTCTAGAAAACCAAATAATCATCATCTTCCTAACCAAATGTAAGTGGATCAATAAAAGCATGTCTAATAATTTTAAAGGCAAACATTCTACAAGGAAGGTATTTACAGTAGATTAGCTTACCTGTAGTAGGTCTTAGCAAGACCACAGGTAGCCCGATGAGGACTGTGAAATCTGCTTTCAAGATCGATGACAGTTTGTCCGATCATATCGTCCGACCCCAATATGTCGTGGTCCATTACCTAGGTCAATTTGCAGCCAGTCAAATTTTAATTTTAGACATGTGAAATCAGAAACGTAGCTTGCTACAAACGTCGAAAGTAAGAACCTGGACAAGTTTTTGAGCCAAGTAGACTATGACATATTGCTATGCAGTCCCTCTTAGTAGAACAAACCAGTGAATAAAATTAGTGAATGGTGCTAGAATGGAGCTAATGAAGTAGTAATTGCAGAAAACAGGCAATAAAGTAACGTCTGATTTTAACTTCAAAATTATTATGGAAAGTTTTTTTAATGTATAAACTTCTGGACGGACCAAGGGATTTTCAAGTACTTAATTAAAAAAGCACGTACACTTAAATAAATTGTGTAAACACTAAGCAAACAATGCTATAGAAGTCAGAAAAGCAAAACACAACAGTTCGCACAACTTTGTACACATTATGAACATTTTTTGTGATTTGTTCATCATTTGGATTTCTCCATTTTTGCAATTATTTGCTACGTACACCGCCGGGTTCTAACCGAAGGAATAGGTCCTGCTCACTAACTAGACAGGACGTCGTGTGGGATGAACAACTGTGTGAATATGTAATTAGTTTTAAACATGGAATAAGTGTTTCGTGATTGACATCGAAGGGACAAAAAACTGTTGAACACGCCAGATTTCTAATGCTTGCCAGATGTTACAAACTATCATTCAACAGTAAAGGAAAGTGCAATCGTACAAGTTTAATTTTGGGCTTTCAGCTTGCTTCCATTATTTAGACATGACTTGTTGATTTCCGTAAAATTAACCTCACTGCTATTCTTTTGCCATCTGAAAAAATACTCCTCATATTAAGCTTAGGCTGACGGCCATGTAAGAATCCAAAATGTCACTTATCCCCTAATTCCTACCTAAAAATTGGGAGCTGAGTAAAAAAACGAAGGGGATGGCTAAAAAATTTTAGTTTTGAGGAATGATTAAAAATTAACCAAAAAAACCATTTTTTCATTGAGTCAACGTTTTTGGTGAGCGGAATTTACGGAGACTATAACAAAAATCGAAAGGAAAATGATGCAAACATAAAACAACCAGCATTATTAATCGACGAATTTTCGGCTTTTAAAATAAATTCTTTCAACTTCCTCTTTAACCATGTACGCAGATGTGTAAAAGGGACTTTACCTAAGACTTTTGCTGTTTTCCAAATTTTCAGCAATATTTCATTAATTTCGACTACGTTATATATCTACACCGTTAAATTCCTTGAAAATCAAACTTCCTTGGGAGAGACGAACCCCAACTGACTGAAAAACCTATCTGACAAGTATATACCTCTATGTGGAGAACCGTGGTCGTGGGGAATTCCACCTCAAATTGGAACATTTTGCCAAAAGTCGGGCGCAGAGTTTTTGGTATATAGTTGGATTTGTCGTTATAAACTTGCTTTCCCATACTGACCACGAGGTAGGGATCTGCGAGTCCAGTAGGATCTGCTGGATGGAGGTTAAAGGCCTAGTAGAAACAAAAAAGCGAACGAGTGAAAAAACAGCCAGTGGGAGTAACTTAAATCGTCTCACAAACAGTACAAACTCCTGATAAGGAACTTACACGAATAATGTAACAACGGACAAGAATTCGCCAGTTGAACCTTTGGGGCAGCGTCGGAAATGAGTGCAGATCCTCTACAGATTCTGGAGGCTCAGCGTCCTCAGGAATGGGATACAGCTTTATGTTGCCCTGTAAATGATTTGGATTTGCAAAAAATGAGGAACTAGGTCGTGAAGGATAACGTTGGGTTGATGCTAGGTAGGTATGCCGAGAGACGTTAGTGATGGACATTCAAAATGGAGAGGCCTAATTTTGAAGTTCATTAAATATGATTGGTAATTGTACTAGTTTAATGCGTTCAACTCCAATTTTAAAACGGTAGGTCATGCCAATGAAATCAATCCGAAGTAACAAAGTCGAAAAGGATTAATTGTCATGACTTCATATTCATCAATCCTAATTATTCTTTGACTTCAAGAAATTATTTCATTCCGTTTCCCTCACTAGTGACATGCGTGAAGTAATATAAATCTTCAAAGATAAACAGTTAGGGATTTTTGAATATTGAGGTAAAGAATAATACAACTTTAACAAACCTTAAAGTAACCGACAGCACGTTCTTCAGCTAGGGTATCATCGTCATCCTGTTTTCCACGAAATAGCTTAAAGTTCCGAATTGGCGTGGAGAAACCTTGGAACTCTGGTACTTCCTCCAATTCAGTTGAATATATCTGAAACAAATTGACAGATGTCAGTGCATTGACGGCGTGTCCCTGAGTATTTGATCATATTTACTAGCATTCTTAAAAATAGCGTATTGTTTGTGTTGAATCGATCCACGTACACCTATTAGCATTACTGGAATATGTGCTTCTAACACGATCTAGCTTAGGGGTTTCCTACGATTCCATTAACTAGAATAAATTTGATTTATATCTTACTAGGTAATTAAAAAATGGGAGGATTATACAAGAAACATGAAGATTTGCCTCGAAAGAGAATTAAAAAGAAGCGAAAATACTGACCTCGGGAAAGTAAAGTGATGAAGTGTAACATAGCAAAAGTGAGGTAAAAAGGGGAGGGTAAGGACGTGAGGAGCAAAATAGCGAGACGTTCACTAACTTTTATGCGTTCGATGAGACTCGGATCAATTCCAGCAGTGGTGATGACAATATCTTGCTCTAGCTCTCTTAGGAAGGCTTTCTTGGCATCTCCGCGCTAAAATTGGATAGCCCAAAAATTAAAGAAATTTTCGCGTTCACTGTAATTAGTACTTTAGGATTATTTATTTTCTAATTGTCTTACAGAACAAGAATATTTTCTCATTATTTTAGAGCTTCTGATCACACTTGGTCAAACCTGCTAGCAATAGTTAAAAAAACGAATCACAATAATCAGCTACTGTTCATATTTAAGCCTGTGGTTAGGTCTAGAGTATACAGCTTAAAAAACAAAATTCGATGCTATGATGGGTGAAAGACAAGCAACAAGCTCTTCCACGTGTTGGGATCAGATTTGACAAAACGTGATAAAGACAGCTTACGATTTTTCGAAGTATTTTTGGTTCTGATTTTCCCTTCTTGTTTTTCTTGGCCTTCTTCTTTTTCTCCTTCTGTTTCTGCTTCTCGAAGCGCTCGAGGGCTGTAAGCTCCTTCTTTGGTTTCAAGTGAAAGAATTTACGGATTTGATTACGGCGTGATTTTCGGCCACCCTGAATCACTACTTCTTCCGGGATTTCAGCAACTATCACCTCCTCGTCTAGGAATCAGAAACCCGTGGGTGTGGGCTCAGATGTAATACAGAGTGTCCTTGAAGTTATGGGACTTGGGTAACTCTGCATGTTACGATTAAATTGGCTGCACAAAAACGAACTCAGCAAATCGTGGCCGCTTAAATTATTTTGGTGCCTCATCCCATCAGTATCGCAGAGAATAATTTAAATGAAGGTATGTTAAGTTGAAACAGACTCAGACAGGTGTTTTGGTCGAACCGGAGATAAAGGTTTAGTTAACACCACCACCTTAACTTATAATGTCAAAAGATAGCTATCACCGTTTTTACCTTGTTCAGCATCCTCTGGCGGAAGTTCAACATTTTCTAAATTGTCCTCAAACTTTGAGTCAATTTCATCCGAATCACCATCGTTTGACGTCTACAATAAGATCAGTGACGAAACCATTTGAGCGAGTAGCACTTCTACTTGGTATCGTATCACATTTACGAAATCAGTGATTACAACAAAAGCTTGCAAGTATACTTTAGTTAAGTGCTGATTTGTGAATCAAACCAAATTAATTTTAACGGCATAGCGGCAAAGTGGCTAGTGAGGGTGACTTCATTTCGACCCATCTTCTGATAAAAAAACAAAACTTGATAAATGGGATTCTTTCAATCTTGAGACGCTCACAAAAGGCACAAAAAAGGCTTTGTTTATAGCTTCCTAACATCGAGGGAAGAGGTCGAAGGCGCTGACAATAGGAAGCTTTAGTTTCTTCAAACAATCTTCGCAAAGAAATAATTTGTTTAGTTGCAGTTGTTGGAGAAACACTAAATACTGCTGTCTGCCAAAAACAATTGTATGCAATTTTGACACTGATTTGAATCGGTCGAAACGAGCAATTTAGGGAAATATTTGTAGGTTTGTGGTTTGGTGGTTAAGATTCTAACAGAGGGCTGCATTTTATCATCACGATGTCAATGCTAGTAACTGAAGTATGTGTGTGCTGAAAATAATGAACAGATGATGCTTGGTGAGAGAAATATCATTTTGGCGGATTGCATGAATTAAAATAGTTGGAGTTCATTCGCGTTGCCAAATTCTATTATTTCAAATTTAAGATCTGAAACTAAGACCTTGAGATAATATTAGTTGAAAATTAATTTCCTAGTGTGGCGTTAACATTGTAGAGAAATTGGAAGTAGAGGCATAACAACACACTTTTGGAATGATCGCAAATAATTATTTTTTTTGCATGGTTGATTACTTTGTAGGGAAGCGCTTTTGGTTGAATTGAACACAACTGACTATTGGGTTAAGTGTGAATTTGCTGGAGAAGGAGGGAATGTCAAGATGACCCCTACTTTCTCAGTGGTGAGTTGTTTGCTAAATGGAAGGCGGGATTTCACAGATAGGGCGATACCGGTTGCACGGACGATTACTCTTGCAAAGGCAAGTTGCCTCACGTCCTAATAGAAGTAAACCAAGGCTTCGCCTTTGCGGGCGGTGGTGGCGTGGAAACCATGGTTTGAAAAGAGCTTCAATTTCGGTTAAAATTCCCACAGTTCTTAAAAATTACAGCTAGTATCCTATGCCGCTGGAAGTCATTATGGCGTGCCTGTACACAAAAAAAGTCGTCGCTGAGTAGAATGCACGCAAAATTCATTCATCCCATTCTGATTTTCCGCTTCGCATAAAGCCTAGGGCCATGTATCAGCTGTAATTATTTTGAAAAGAGAACCTTTTTGCAATTTTCGAATGTCAAAATGTAAATTGATTAATGCGAATTAAAATTAACCAAGATCCTGCAATTGTAAATAGCTAAATTTGTGGCAAAAATAGGCAGACTGAGGTGTTCTGTGACAATACAGAAATGCTTAAACTAATTAATAGAGCTAACACTTCAAATCCACAGCACACGTTGTAAGTTCAGGAAAATTATTAAACCTACAGGTGAGTTTGCCTGTCAATAACGCAAGCACACACGCAGCTTGTCAGCATAAAGCCATCTAACCCATTTTCAATGAGATCGACGACAAAAAATGGGTATTTGCAAAGCTCCCAAGTTAGAATATCCCTTTTTCCAAAAAATTAGCCGATGGTGTTAAATCTGAGTCTCCGCTTTCCTATTTCTACGTATGCGAGAGGCTCTTACTTTGTCCCCGCACGTAGCCCGAAGTATTCGTTTTGATTGCTAACCTCGTTAACCTTTGGTTTCCTCTTGACGGAAGGAAATTAAGGTGTTCAGTAGGCCAGCAAAAGCTGGGAGTGTGAAATCGATCCTAGCAATGTTTCGTTTTTTAGCCAGATGTTTAGATTGTAGGGCATTCATTGGGTGTTTCGGTGCTGCTAAAACAGCCATCGATTGAAATACTGCTTAGGTTTAAATTAATAATGATGAGCTTGCACAAATGTTAGTCAGTGCGTAGCATCTTGACCCACGTGGAAAGTTATACCAATCATACTGTAACGACTCTGTCACGACCTTTTCAATTGCGTTATACGCGTTGGACGTTGCAGGCGGTTTCACTGGATGGGATCTCCATAAATAATAATGCATTTTTGAATTCAGGCTAACAATAAACAAAAGACATGTTGCTTACGTTTTCGTCGAGATCAATATCGTTCAGTGAAGCAAAAAGTCTGGACCACCAGTCAAGGGTATTGAGGTTTTGTTTTGACAGTTTTGTCAGTGGATTAACCGGAAACGTCTACAAAAGGCAATTACAATTACTGGTTTGCAGTCAGTTATCAATGGCGTAATTTTAAATCACTGATGTAAATTGACTTAAGGCAAAATTCCACAACAGAAGCTTGACTTGTATTTGTAATCTCGTGGCTCTTTTAGGTGTCACGTCACCAACAAGCCTGTTTCACACAACAGAAATGCTTATCAAGTTAATGATTCATCGCAATTGATATGCTTTGAGCAAAACCTGATACCCTATATGTCCGTCGTTGCGCAGTGATTTTGGTACTTTGCCATTCGTCATGTGGAAGTGTGGTAATGGCATCCTTACTTGCCCTCCATTGGCTGAGTTTCCCACTCATGCTTATATATTTTTTTCTATTTATTTTCCGATTTCTGGCAAAGAGATTAACGAAAAGTGTGAAAAGGAACTTGTTTACCTTAATCCCAGCCTGGGGTGTATCCTTTGCCAGAGGTCCATCGTAACCTCGGGGTTGACCCGTAGGCTTTCCTGGAGACCCCTTCAAGATGGGGTCTCGCTCAGTGTACATGCCAGGGTGCGACCCTGTCGTCATGCTGACTGCTGTTGAGTCCTTTTCCCCAGTTCCACTTTCTGAATCGCTATCTTCATCGGCCTCTGCACTAGCCCCACTGTAGACGGAGGGCTGCTGTGGAGCTCCATAGCGGCCCGCCTGAAATGCGGTGTCTTCTGCCTGAGGGGCGAGTTCTTCAGCCTCCGGTTCACCCATGCCAGCCAATGCCTTCGAAAAGATCGGGGCTTTCTCCTCCGGCGGGGCTTCAGACCCAATTGGTGTGCTGCTCTCGTACTCATCGTAGACCTCTGCGGATGGCGAAAGATATGGACAAATGAATTTCATGAACCCTTTTCTGAATACCCCACTTTCTCGTGTCTCAACTTACATATTTGACCTTTCAGGCAAATATATCTACCATTATTAAACTATTGTAGTTTATAATTGTTTGTATTTTTATAGAAAAGACAAGTGCATGAATAAGACAATTTCTATTTGGAAATCAAAAAAAAAAGAAAAATATTTAGAATTGCGTCTGGTAAATGCTTGAGAAAGTGACATTTTTCTATGCCTGGATTATTTTGTAGATACTTTGAATAAATGAGCGCTCCCTTTTAATGTATTAGACGTTGAAGCCATGAGGACATTACTGATTACGGTTTAGGAGGATTATAAATTATTTGGAAGAAAAAAGTATTCTAAATGGTAGGACATAATTTTGTACCAGGTTGGATTGACACAATTTAGTTCAGAGAGCATAAATTCTTTGAGCCTACTACCTACTCATTTAGGAACATCACAGTCACTTAAAATTCTATTCAATTAAAGACTAATTACACTGGATGAGACGAACTAATGCGCGAATGTATTTTCAAAGTAAGCATGCCTAGCTGGATGAACGGACCCTCAAAGTTCACCGTATGGACATGTTACGATGGCTATTAGGTTTAAATTTTTGTAGATAAGCGTGCTAACACAAAAGGCGTGCTAACGCATTACACGTTAACCTGATCTTGGACTGTAAAAAGATCTGTCGTTTTCTGGTAAAACTTAACTATTAAGATCGGTGTTAAAGTCAAACATGTTGCTCCTAGAAATGCAAGGCAAGATATAGCAGTGATGCAAATATATTGTGACAGATGCAGCTCCAAATTCGAGAAGAAAAAAATTATCCCGGTGCTGTCATGAAATAAAAATGACTCTGACAAAGAAGTAATTTTCTAAAAAGTTGAATATTGCCATAACTTGCATCTGTCTGCAAAACGGACGTAGACTGCAGCCTATTAGTGAGAGACAAATGGCTACTTCAATAGAATGCTTCTCAGTAAGCGTGGTTTTCTTTATAATGTGGGCGTTCGGATATTTAGGCGATGTTAAACATTCGTGTGTGTTAACTCAGTGCCAAAGAGGGATTGCATTTGCTATGTTCTCAGGGCTTATTTTAAGATCGTTTTCGAGCCCACTTATTCAAACTGATTATTTGCGAATAGGATTTATTCTTGCCACCTGTCATCATCAAGCGAACTCACATTTGAATCAAGGAAGCTGCAAAAAAACCTTCGAGGCACAAGTCGACTCTAATTGCTTTATTTATTATGTCACATTTCAGGGCTTTATTTAATGAAGTTAAAAAACAGAAATTGAGTTCGTTTAAGGAAGGTTGCAAAGAATACCAGCTAAAGTATGACAAAGTTGTTTCAAGACACACCAAAAACTTGTTTTTTCAGACAGAAAAGGTCACGTTAGAGAACCATTTCCGTTATGTTAAACTACATGCTGAGCAAAAGCCAAAGTCATTACAGCTGACATCCCCCTTCCCAATTTTCGTATGGTGATATGGATATCTTTTAAGTTTCGATTTGTTTGTGGAAATCGTAATGGGTAATTAACTGTCCTAGGATTTTATTCAAGATATTTTCACGGCAGTGAATACGTGATAAAGGTTAGATCATGGCCACTAATACAATAATCCCAAGAGCTAAAAATATGTAACGGCATGTCTTTAGATATGTTAGAACTAGATTTTACAATGCCTCATCAGAACCAACGTCCTAACCTAGTAACCATAGTTTTACAAGACGCATAGTTAAAAAACCGATTTCGTCATTATTTACACTAATTTCCTAACATCTGTGTTAATTCGTTTTTATCGAACAGGTCAAGGTCACCTTTGACTTATGTAAGTGTTCACTTTATCACAGATCACTCGGCCTTTGGCTGCGACGATTAAGGCTCTCTGCACGATCTCTGGTCTTGTCTTGCATTAGCGTGAGAAGGTGGGCTCTAGCTTTAGACAAGGGATCTGGGTATCGTTTACCTGAGTGGAATTATCTTGGTTACGGGCAAACGTAACAAGAACGAAAACCTGAAAAAGTTGAATACCTAGATAAAAATAAGGAGAAATACAAAAAAATGAAATATTGGTGTACCTGACCTTGCCTGTACGATTGGTAGGCAAGATCACTTTATAATATGAAAGTCGTACCTAGGTCTTTCTTTTCGAAGAAATCTGTCGGATTAGGCAGAGTGCACAACCCAACAGTAATAGAAACTCCAAACATCCGATGATCGTGGCACATAACAGTAATTGGGGGCCAAAGTTTCTCATCCAGGGGTAGATACTAAAATGAGGATGAAAGAGAAACGTTGCCACTGCAAATGACCTGCACTTTCGCTCATATCAAACTTTTTATCCTAAATTTAGTTTTTATTAAACAAAAATTTTCCTGTTTCCACATCTAAAAGTTGGAGGCAGGGCCAACTTGGAATGGAAATAAAGAAATTAAACTTTGATCATCATATGAATTGTTACCTTTTTTCAGGAATAACATTGGAATTAAAAACAACTTAACAGTCTAAAAATGCGTTTTATTAACATCCTTGGTTGAGATACATTTCCTTTTAGGGTCCTTAATAAACGTGTTTTAATGCAAAAAATGATAGGGAGAATATTTTTTTTGACTGCCAACAGGCCTTAAATCATCAATAAACTGTTCATTTTCTATATGTGTTATAAACTGATTCGCCATGAAGCCGAACGAACTTTGATAAGCAACACGAGTAAGTGCTCCAATGCATCATACATTGGGGAAATGAGAGGTACACTTAATAAAGAACTTACCAAATCAACATATTTAAGACGCTTTTCAAATAGTGGGTTGATTTTAGCGCTGCGAAGGAGGTCAGATACAACTTTTGTTCCACCAACTTCGATTGTGATAATTGGCCGGTTGACCGGTAATAGAAATTGACGTCGTAGTTCGCGGACACCCCAAAATACCTTAGGCGTAAATGAGGCCAAATAATGTTTTTTTTTAAAAAAACACATACTGACGATACATTAAACACATTCTTTTCTCTAACATGGGCTTTTCGTGCTATTTTACCTATATATTCTGGGCATGGTTCAATAATTCTATTTTTTTGGTCAATGGTTTTGTTTTTGAAAATCGAACTATGTCATTTATAAATGATGATATTTTAGATAAGTGAAAAGTTATTCATACTTAGCCTTAACTGGTTAGTTTTAGAAATACGATAATGCTAATATAGGTTTTTTTATTATCCATTTTTTTGAAAACATGCCCACCAAGATATTGTGTTAAATTGTTCTGCGCTAAATCCTCCTCTGATGTAAAACAGCCGCCCCGAATTGGTTGGGTCTCAGTTAACTAACGCTAAAGTGCTAACTGATGAAGGTGAACTTATAGGGCTTACGTGCTACAACTAATGAACCTCTTATAAAACCAAAAAGTAGAGTCTGTCGTACTCTTCTTAAAAATTCCAATTACGTAAACGTACCACCTCCAGCCTGTATCTTCCTAGAGGAGGCCTGATGTTTTCCGGCAACCGTAGAGCATCATCCGCTCGCCAGCGGACTAGATCAGCTGTTGCCAACCCGACCTTCGCCTTCTTCTTCTTTTTTCTCGTCCCTGTGGTTGCTGTGGAAACGAGGGTTCCGGACGTGCCAGCAGATACTAGGCTCCGCGTATCTTCCATGTCCCCATCTAAAGGAGCTTCTAATTCTGCCATCGCTTCTTCGTCAAACAGCCGAGCTGCCTGTTGGATCTCATCGTCCCACTGCTCTCCGTATTCTTCGTAATCATCCGAGTCATCGGAAAAGGGAATCCCACAGCTCGGACCAAGAAGAATGCGCTCATTAAAACGTCTGGTGAAGTCAGCTAGATCCTCAACTGTTGGGATGGCGTCAATGTCGTCCAGAGCGTCAATCTGTGGAACATATTATAGTGGTATCATTTTATACTGCTGCCTCTATATAGTCAAACCTAAATGACACAAACTTGGATCTTTTGAAGTAATAGGTAGGTTAGTAACACGACTGTTCATGCGTTAAAGACAAAAAATGCTTTCAGATTTCTGTTTTGCTGCGAGAAGGAAGGATGGATGGAAGGATGCTGCAGTATTGCATATTCAAAACGTCTAAGACCATCGCATGACCTCTTTTTTCTCGGTTTATCTAGCACAGCAAAACTAACACAGAACAAAACAGTTGCAGCACAATTACAAACACAATCCAGAACTTGCGATAAACTTGTGTTTCTTGACAGGAAACAGTTCACGCAAAAATTAAATTCTGAGCGAAATTGTCCTCTTGAGGTTATTAAACTCGAAACTTCATTTGAGTAGTTTTAGTGTTTGATGACTGGCTACGATTCAAATTATGAAAGAATTGCTGAGGTGTTGCATCATGACTGATGATTCAAGTCGTTATTCGTGAGCCAAGAAGTGATGTGCCTAGTCTAATTTACACAGGCATGCAGCAAATGATTAGGTTTCGCAAGTAGAAAAACGTGGTTGACCACATGTAAAACGCATTTCCCAGACTTATATGCGAAGTACCTGAATAAGATCAAAGCTAGCGAGTAGCTTTCCAGCAGTCGTTTGGCCTCGATAAATCTGCCACCATTGAAGTTGTGGAGGCTGATAATCGGAACCCTTGATCACAATGTTGGGCTCACAGAAACACCGCCCCAGGAAGTTGGACACTTTCTACAAAAAAACATTAAAAATATACATTAAAGCGGAAGTTGGGAGCAGTCCCTCCAGAGGAGGGCTTTGGATTTGGAATTAGAAGTTACACTAGGCAACAGCACCACAAAATGTTATGGGCGGGTACTAAAAAGCAAGCAAACATTCAGACAATACTATGAATTTTCAGATTTCACACAAATCTGGTTGTTCAGGAACTGCTTCTGATTAGTCCTAATTCAGTTTGTCCAGTCCTGTACACAACTAAGCCGTCGCATGCTCGAGAAACCAACTAGTTTTATAAAGCTAATTTTTTTCAATCATTTCATAACGGTCAAAGTTGTGATTGAATAGAGGTTATCAGGACTTATTTAAACCAAAGTATGACCACCACAAGGTGGCTTCGACCAGGAAGCGAATTCGCCCAAAAATAAGTTTTGAGGATATTGAAAATTTGATTTTTAAAAATCTGAACTATGCATAAACTTTACACGGTCAAATGAGTACTGACTGTGGGAGCGTATAGTCTTATCGTAGTCCGATTTCACTACCTTACCTTTAGTGTCAGTATGAAATTGAAAAAAGTTAGGAAACCATCGTCCAAAAATCGAATAAATTGAGTTAAGTAAGCAAAGGAACCAAAGGAATGTTGTGTTATCGTCAGCGTTTACGTCCAAAGTGTTTAAGTTTATTTCTCGCAAAATTGTGCCACTTAATGCCAATTATCCGATAAACGAGAAGCCTTTGACTTTGCTATAGATGAAGAGCATTATTAACCCTATTATGGACTTAACAAACATGGTAGAGTTACCAGGCTATTTACTTTCTGGATAAGTCCATCATCACAAAATCAAATCCTTCATTATAAAACTCGGTTTGCTAAGTTGTTTAAAATACGCGACCCGTGGCTGCAGTTTACTCCTGTAAACACTGGAGGAGTTATTACACCCGTGTTCTTAATGGCATTTCATTAAAATGACATTCTAATCAAGAAAAATCACAAATTATTGTGGACTTTCGAATAATTTTTCTTAATACTACTAGCAGAAGACTATAGTGGGCAATAGTTATTTTTTGAGGCTACAAGAAAGAAAATTTTTTGATAAATTTTCACAAATTGCAGCAATCATGAAGTGGCCCGTTGTGCGTGGTGGAGTTCTTTTCCAATCAAGCATCACCCCCATGAAGAGAACACGAATTGAGGCAGAGCACAACCTCTCAAAATTAGGTCAAAAACTAGAAAATAGTACACATCTAAATAGGTTAAGTGCATTCTGACCGAGTTTGCAGATTACTGTTAGTTTTAAGTGCAATTTGCTTGCAAGAACAACCAAGGTTATCAACTGTAAACATGAAAATCACTAACCGCTGAATCCGTTTTCTTCGCATTTGACTAAAAGTTTATTCAAAAGAGTACATAAAATACGAGTTAGTGCTCTGAGGTGCTTTGCTTTAACCGTTTAAATCATAGCAAAGGAACATGGGATTAAAAAGCGGGAACAAATGAAAAGGGTGTTTCACACTAGCATTGAAAACGGAGAATGCCTGCTAATGACTGCTAACAAAAACTTTTTGATTAAACTCAAGAATAAAAGCATTCTGTGGCTGCGTGTTTTGCATCAAAAACTTATGATCTACTCATTTCACCTTTCTAACCTGCGTCCAATGCATACATGCTTCCACTCAAGTACTCTAGTTCTGAAAACTCTTGAACTCAAATATTACTTTTAATAGGATATTTGATGAAAGGAGATTGAGGAATTGACACAAACACCGGCCTGTTATAATTGGATGAAACTGGGAGACATAGGTCCTTAAACAATGAGTCGTCTTAGAAACATTTAAAGGGTTTTTGCAATATAAGTTGCATTAAAAATCAAACTGTTGAATTTGGCTTAGTTGAAAATTAAAATAATCGAAGATTTGCTGCTCATAAAATAAAAGCCACACTTGAAGACGGAGAGAGTAATATGAAAACAAAAGTCTGTTGAAACCCACTTACTCGTACTAATTTATATGACAGCGTCTCTACACCATACTCAAAGTTGTATTTCACGAGGTTTCAAGGTCATCAGAATGTGGAAGTCATATTAGTGAAGTGAATCGTGTTGATTCGCGTCCATCAGACCCCCGACCCCCGTGCGTCAGCGCCTCCTACGTTTGTGCTGACATGCATCGGCGCATGCCTCCACGTCACTCTGACCAACGTCCCGATGCTTGTACATTAACTAGTACGCCCGATTCATTTGGTAAACATGTTTCTCCTGGGTACGTTTGAGACTTGCAAGAATGAACGCACAGTGCTCAACTAACAATAGCATATGTCCAGGCTGTTCTGATAAACAATTAATTCTTTCTCAATTTTTTGGGGACTTCACGCCACATCATGCCACCACAACAAGCCCTTGAATGCACATGCACTCCATCTGATTAACAGACGTGTTGCCGTCATCTCCAGCGCTCTTAAAATCCCCTGGCTTCGGCATAGTTTAATTAAGCCCATATAATTAGGGCGACCTCTGTGTGAGACTATGACCACACCGGATTCTTAACCAATGCTGATCTCGAAGTGATCACCCAACTACGCACAAGTACCTCAGGTTTACCATTAAATCATTTCTTTTAGTGCTTCAGATAGAAGTCAGACATGCTTTTGACGGGGACGAGCCTGCGAGATACCACGAAACCATCGACCGTATTGATTTGATTGTTTAGGAAATCCTGTACATTTGTGGGAGGGTCAGTATTATATGCAACTAATTGGTGTTGCATCAGATAATCGGATCCCCAAAATTATGAACGATTAGCCTTGAAAGTGACTGACTATGGTGCATTAACGGTGTAAATTTGCGACAGTGAAACGTCTTTAATATGGTAGTAACGACTGTTTGAATGGTTACATAAAATTACTGAAGCCTAATTGCTTGTCCGAATTAGTAGCATTCTCCCCGTTGCTGTCGTTAAACAGCCGAGTCTCGTTAAGGTGGATTTCGCTTGCTTATATTAGTTCGATCTGTTAGCTACTCGTGTTCAATTTACACGAGAACGAGCCTTAGCTGTAATTGGACAAAAAGATTAAGCTAAATTAATCATGGTTTATTTAACTCAACACCCACTGAGTTTGTCCTAAGAAAACAACTGAATTAATATTCCCATAGGCTGTAGAAACACGTGTTTTTAAGAGCCAGACTTACAGGTGCAATTACGTCGAAGAATTCCACAATAATTTGTGGTGGGTTCCTCAACACGCCTTCGGGTAGATGATAGAAGGTGATGTTGGTTTTGATTAGAGTTACGTCCCACAAAGGACTCATCGTGTCATAAATGGGAAATGTCTCCAACATCTCATTGTCGATTAAAACCCGAGCCATCGGATCGGAAAACCCTGTTTTGTTGGATGCCAAAAGATTCTTCGCCAAGTAAAGATAACATCTCAGCTCAAATTTGCTTGAATCTGGTAAAGAAAACACAGCATGATAAAAACCTGCTCGAAAGCATTTGTTTACAAGGTCCAAAGATTCCATAATTCATGGTTAAAGCCTGAAATCATGATAGTTGATAACACAAACAGTTCGCAACTGAACTTGTCCTGTAACAGTCAATTAAGGTTACGCTGGATCTGCTAGACGACTATCAAAATTGACTATAATTGTGCTTACACAATCGAACTGACTATGTGGACAATATGTTTAACGAAAGGGTGGTTGGTATGCCCATTTGGCATAATTTTCATTATCAAGGTGATGCAATTTAATATTTTTTGAGCGAAATAATTTGTGCAATTCAAGGATTCAACGATCCACTTTTGGACAAATAACGAATGTTTACCTCGAATTTTAATTACCATGAAGAAACCTACCTACGTAAATTAGGGATTTTGGGGGGTCAACTCCAAGCACGCACTCCGGATCATAGCCTTCTGGCAGCCCACTCTTGTAGGCGAGGTAGTCCTTAACAAGGCCCAACCAAGTATACATTCGCAATTGGCATTGGATGCGCCAGCCCTTCTCACCGACACCACGGTGGCCGGGTTTCTAGTGAAGAAAGTTGTGAGTCTTTCAACAATTGTTTTACTGCATTGCACATTGTTGGTGACGTACTTACCCGAACAAAGTGAGTGGTCACTTGAGACGTGAGTTTTCCTCGCTCTGCATCGGACGACGAGTAGTAGATGTCCCGGGCTGGGATTCTTACAAAACCAATACGCTTGTTGTCCAAAACCATCGAGACAAAAACATCTGGCAGACCGTGCTGTGGCTAAAGTGTGAATCAGAGCGGCGTTTCCAAAATCGAAGCTCACAAATAAGTTAAATGCGATTTGCTTGGATTCAGTGCACGTATCTATCACTCTTTAATAAACATTCCATGTGGTTAAGGGCGTCGCTGCCACATGGTTTAGGGGTACCAGTATATTTTTAGACGTACTTTGGTTGAGTCTAATAGGACTGCTTTGAAATGAGGGATTATGTGACTTTTACTTGAAAATCGTTTCTAAATATGGCAGACTTTCCTACTCCAAACCAAACTCAGACTGCTGGAATAATTTGGAAATTACGAATACTTGAGTAAAACCTACACAATCCATCAATTCAGAGAGACGGTGAATGACTGCATTTGCCTCCCTTATTGCCTCGTAAAGGTTCGCGCCGTTGAGTTTCCGCCCGAGTCGCTTGAGTCGAATTTCGATTCGCAGTAAGTCAGTTCGGACGCGTCGCTGATAGCTTAAGTCGAGCATGGTCTTAGGGGCTGTGCCACGGCAAGAGCGCACATCATTCGCTGCCTTTCGGAAAATACGACTCTTGTACAACAGAATTTGACGCAAGCGGTGGCGAGCGGAGCCTGGTTTGCGACGATGAAGAAGGTAGTGGATCTGGTCCATTGCACAAGACTAGAAAAAACGTTGTGAATAAGGAATAAAATGCTATATAATTTAGCCAATCAAGTACTGAGAGCCGAAGGTATAATATAGTCCATCTGACCACTTCTTGCTATTCTGTAGCTAGAATTGCCATAAAAGAAAAGTGAATTATTGTTTTTCTTAAATAACTTGCCTTATTGACAAGTTAAAATGTTTGTAGCAGCAAAAACACTGCTATAAATTAAAAATATTGGGCTGAAGACAAGGTAATTGTGGCAAGTGTGTGCTGTTATTGAAGTGACTTTATAATTCCATACACTTCTTTTTAATAACGAACCAGTCTGTGCAGGCCTCTGCGTTCAACTAATATATCCACTTAACGAAACAATCTCAGCGATGCTATAGCGTTCATTTACAACACTAAATTTGGTGAAAAGTTCCAACGAAAAATAAATTTAATTGAGTCTTTGAAAATCCATTGGAGCTAACAACAATTAAATCGAAGTTGGACCCTTTGTCTTTACCCCAGCATCTCGATAACCGACTTTCTCATTGACTTATTTGAACAATTCTTTGTGAATAAAATCTATTCGCCTAAGACGTGCAGCTCAATACCCTATATTAAATGGAGTTCGTAGGTTTTTGCCTTCCTGAATATGGATTTAACAATCTACCACGCGCCCCGTCTTATATCACAACCAAAAATGTAAGCCTCTACAAAATCCATACAAGCTGATGACTAATGCATCAGCGTTATATGCAGACGTGTCTCCAGTAAACAGACCGACAAAACGAATAAATGCCATAATTTGACGCTGTTTAACTAAAAATTAGAACATATAAATCCGAAGGTAATTTAAAAAATCGAAATGATTAACACCTCTAACTTGATAGATGTCTAAGTACATAACGCTCAAAGTGAATACTCGGTAAGCACTCACAAAATCTGTTCTGAGTTTTTCTATTATATTGGGGATGCACATGCGCAATCGATGGTCCTCAAATTCACTCAGCAAGAAGAGACAAGGCTGAACTCCACCGAAGTCGACATGGTAGTATAGTCCATCGTCAGACTTCAGTTCCATTAGTTCTGTCAAACTGTGATCCCACTGGACCCTGGCTCTTGTCTCTGATTTCACTTTATAAACAGTTAAAAATTAGAATGTAGAACAATACTAAAACAGAACGTTATGGTAGTGGAATAATGCAGTTATAAACTAATCTTTGTGGTGTACAACTGCACACACAAATGTGCTTGCGTCAGTGCGTACTTACGTATATTTAGTGCTATTTCAAACTATGACGGCAGCGATGGTTGGGTTTAATACTATTCTCTGTGAAAGGGTTAGTTAGGTCTTTAAGCTACGTAGTGCTGTGGGTATTAGCAGATTTGTTCATAATTCGAGAGGAAGGGGTTTTATTAGCATTAAAAATATTAAATATGCCAACGCGTCAATTTTTGTAGTAAATTTACGTTTCTTTGAAAAACAATCCGTTAAGGTACTATTAGCTTTTCAGGATGAATGGAAATCCCTGTTAAGATGAGTAAATTATTTGAAACAGAATTTTAGCATACGGTTTTGATGAGTCCTAACACCTTTTATTAATTTTTTTTTCTAACCGAGTCCAAAGTCATATTCATCTTTGTTTTAACATCCTAAGCGATGTTGCACTTCGTTTAATTTGATATTTGTGTAACCTAACACTACAGTGATTGCAAAATTGATCTCCGACTTGTTTATTTGCCTAATCGTTGCTTGTCTGCTTTCACTAATATGGCTTCCCACTTAACTTCAGTAAATGTTCTTAACGAAACTTCCAGATGCAGCTTTGACACATTCATGCTCTGATCTACTATGTCCCGAAACGGTAGGTGATTACTTTCAAATAACTATAACGTTCAAATTACTTCAGCTATATTCATCTATTAATAGATAACTACACGCTCAAAACGCGGGCAGTTAAATGTGTCCGATTTAAATCTAACGTCTAGGCTAGATCACACATTCTACACGCCGGTAAGTAGCAAGCGCGTAAGCATTTAATGCTACAACTTGCCTCTGTGCTCAAAGTAATGTTAGACAGGCGCTACCACCCTAAATTTCAATTTTCCTCAAAATTTAATTTTTTAGTATTCAGATGTCATATCAGCTCAACGAAATGAGACAAAACAGTGTATGATTAATAACTAAAATGGGGCGCATAGAAAAATTCCAATTTGCTGTCGCAAAAACATGGGCAATGGAAAGTAAATACTAAAATAATCCGGAAATTTATGGGATTCCCTAAATAATAAGTCTTCTTTGTGAGTAGGCTTTGACTAGTGAGATTATACGACTCAAACGGACCTTCAAAAGGTCATTGAGAACCGTGTAAACAAAACTTAGCTGTCAAATATAGCTTCAATTTAAATACCTCCAATGAGGTGGTCAATAGAACAAACCCCAAAAATGCAACACTTTAGCTCTAATCTGGATGTAAACTACATCAAAAATCGAAAATAACTGCAAAAATTAGCCTCTCTTTTATGTCTAGAGAACGGAAAAAATCATAATTGATTAAGTGAAAGAAAGTGGTAGATAAGAAGAACAAAGACCAATGCATTAACAAACCTACCGATAACATATTAAAAGTTCAAATTCTCTTAAATATGTATCTTTTGGTTTCTTTCGGAATATTTCTAACATGGAAGAATCAACTTGCATTTGCTTATATGTAAAAGAGTAAACTTTCAAAGCGTTTGTGTAGGCGTTTCTTCAAGACATTGCAAATCCCTTTTTTAATAAGGGCGTGATTTAATATGTTACCCGCGTGTATTAATGGTTTATGATAGAGCTCCTTTTTTAAAGCAAAGTATAAAGATAATAAATAGTCTTGTTTTGTGGTCCGACAACATCTAATTATTTGGCGTCTTTTAAGGGTACCCAAAAGCAGGTTTTCTTCTTTGAACATTGATAAATCCACGGGAACTTCTAGATTTAATTTCGATTATTGACATCAGAATGTGGGGAGTATTAGGTAGGAATTAGAATGTCATTTTAAAAAAAAATTGCCTCCCTTATCCCACAAAAAAATTGATTTGGCAAATATTATTACAAAAGGACTTGCATATACAAACAACCTTCTCAATTATACTAACTTAGGCGTTGTTGTTTTTTCATGGCAGAAGGTTGGATAATTTTGATTTGAGAGGTAAGTTAGCTTGACATATGCATTTCTGATTTATCAATGAATTTTGTGCTCGGTTGTTTTCAAATTTTCCGTGAAAAAGTAACTTGTGTAGGGTAACATTTATAGGAGTTTGAAAACAAAAATAAAAAGGAACCGTTATCTTACGTGGGGACTGCTCTTTTACGAGTATTCCGCCCTTTTTTCCATCAATTTTGTTGCCATAATTTCCTACAAACAAAATTTGCTTATTAAACCTTGAAAAATGACAATGGATGCATATGCTATCTGTCCGTGGCGGGGATGCGTGTGATTTGCCCATTGGGATCGAAATTCAAAAGTCAGAACCCAATACTACATTGAGACCTCAGCTACGCCGTTGGGTCTCTCTGGAAAATTCAGCTATGAAGATCGCATTGCAATGCTCCAATTATATTTAATCAACGGGCACGGAGCCGAGCAGTTAAAGACAGTAAAACTTATATTGCATACTTTTAACTTTATTCACCAGAAATTTTGTTTTATTACTTGCTGATCCGCGCCTCCATTGAGGATCAAGGCAGGTTAAGAATAATTTCAATGCACTGGTCGCAAATCCTAGATGGATTCATCTTTAAGTAACTAAGGTTGGTGTATAAGATGTTCACGGACACATGGGAGTGTCGTTCTAGAGTGGCTTTTGCGATGTCACGGCAAGTTTACCAATATGTGTTAAGATATTATTTATCCACTAATCTTAAGTCATTCTAACGTCCAGCTCGGCATCATTAAGAACTCATCGCCAACAGTCAGATTTTTTACATGAATTTTATTCCCCTTGTGCATAAACAATCGAACCAACAAGGTTTCTGTACTACCCCTATATTTATATCTTCCGAGCGTTGAGCTACTCCTTCTTATCTTTTCAGAAGATTATCTTTATTACATAACAATTAACTCATGGTAGTAAATCAGGACCATGAATCACCACAGCCTACCAATTGTAATTTCAAATTGGATTGGAAGTTTCTCATTTCCAATTTCAGGGTCTACAACGGAGATTCCGTAGAATGCAACAAACAGAAGGTAAGGGCTCTTTCTTCCGGCAACAAGCTACAACATATGTGATTACATAAAATTAATGTCTAAATATATTCGCGATTCGAAGGAAACGTAGATCGAAATCAAATATGGATTTCGTAATGTTATCTAATGATTCTTTTCTCTGAAGTCAAAAATTTCGGAATTTACATAAATGGTCTTTTGAGTTTACCTAGGTTACATTGCATAACAAGCATAAATCAATGCCGCGAATTTGTAAATTCGCAATTTGTAATTGCATAATTGCACTGAGGAAAAATGACGAAGCCAAAAGATGTGGTGGCTACGTACTGCAAGTTGCAAAAGTTGTCTTGATTTTAACTAAATTTCTAAATTCGAATAAACATAGGTTATGTCGATACATGGTTTAAAAGTTCATTTTAAATATTTTCCAATTTATATGGCTATAAGGGAGTAGTTGTCAGCCTCCTATTATTATCGTATAGAATGGACAATTAATTAAATCCATCTTAGTCTCGCAATAATAGCACGTATTTAAACCACAGATATTATATGCCTAATTATCTCTGCATGTGAATGTGCGGTGTTAACCCTTTCGGGCGTGGATCAAACCAAACCTCAGAAACAGGCGGTGTCCCTCGAAGGATGGCTCCCGTTTTCATGGCATCCTTGCTTGGTTGTGCTTTGATGGCCACAAGCAACCGACCACGGTATGCGACTCCTTCTCCAAGACTCCTATTTAACTCATCCTCAGGACGCTTTGCTTGTTCATAGGTGTAGGTTCGCGGGGCTCCGTACAGGTTTACCCATGAGGGACCAAATGTTGGCATCACATCTGAGAAGGCATGTGAAAGTGTGCATGATGAAATGAGGACACCGAAGGGAGTGATTGAAGTATTTGCTGATGGTGCGTGCCAACATTACAAACTACACAACGAATTCAATAATTTAAGAGGCGTGAAATCCATGATCAGTGCTTTTTGTGGCTCGGCCCCCTGAGTGTCACTATTTTCACGCAGACACTTTGCTTTAGAATACTTTAAAATGCTCAAATGTTGGATGTAACCGCAGTTAAAGTCTGTCTAGTAAATCAAGACTTGGAACAACAGAACCAAAGAAAAATTAACATGGCAACCCGTTTTTATCTTGTAAGATTAATTGACAAAGCGTACAGATTGCTCCTGCTACTGTGGCCTCGTTACATCAACACTCGCCTTCAATAGTAAAAGGAATATCTGTCACTTAAGTAGTGAGTGTGATAGAAATTTGACTTTTACTTTCTTTAGGACAAATACGAAGAAGTAAGTCCACGCTCACTTTCACTACTTTTGTCCAAAATTTTTTTGAGATCGATTAAATGCGTTGCAATTGTCTCGTCCTTCACTGCTTCCCAGTCTCGCACACAGAGTCGAATGGTGTGCGTCAGTGGAGGGAAGAAGTCGCAAAAGACAATTTCCTGGTTCCAAATTGGCGTGTAGGTGAATTTCTTCACCTTTGTTTTTGCCTAGAAAGACAAATGAATGTAAATATTAATATCAAAAATGGTTGTATTCATGAAGAGTAAATTTTTGTCTTCTACGCTTTTACACGCTCATTCCTCCACAGCCCAATTTAAACACCATCAAACATAGAGCCTATAACATAAAAAGGCAAATAACATTTTTTTTCAAAAAAACCACAAATTGCCAAAGTTGTAAGTTCAATAGGCGGTAGGAGATGGCGGCGTATACAGAACCAATTTTAACTTCTGAAGATTTATTTTAGACTCTATTAATAACCTTTTAATGTGTGTACTTCAAAATCTTCACTAATGAAAGTTTTTTATCTTCATATTAAGCGAAATCATTGCACCAAATCTGCAGATGATTATTGAATGAAGCTACACTTAGTTACCGAATGGCCACCGAAGGAAACTTCGACGTAGGGATCACACATCGGGGCTGATTCACCCACGAAAGCCTGTTTGATAGAGGTGACGATATCCGTGTTCATTGGAGGAAGCCCTTCGGCCCGGTAGACTTTCACCGAAAACTCAGTGATGTTTCTCTTTGAAAGATTGGTTATGCCCTTTGGGACCAGTTGATTTCTGGTAAAAGGGTAAAATGAATTGGCAAATCATACGATTGATAATCCTTTAAAATAATTGTCAATAAACCTTATTTATGAAACACCAGACGGCAAAATGCAGGCTTCAGGATTGGAGACGTACCCTTCCAGGCTAATGTCCTCGTCATCTTTCTCATGTTTGATATGCTGTAAAGAAAACCGAGGTTACAATTGTTAAAAGGTATTTTCATAGCAAGTGAAGCTTAGATGCACGCAATGTTTACCTATTTATCCTAAAGGCGTTCGAGATTTACAAACCTCCCAGAGTTGCTTATTTTGTACCAACTGTTTTAAGGTACTCGGATGTATTGAACCGGCTGAAGCATTGGAGTGGAGCAGTGGGTTTGGAGCATGTCGTCACCTTCGGCCAGCTTAACCTAGTTTCTGGCGTGGCATTAGAGCACCCTCGTGGGTATCTGAAGCTCCTGCTCTTGTGTCACTGATTTGTTTCCGCAAATGATGGAAATGACATCATCATATTTTGGATTGCCTTTTACTCTTTGTTTGCGACTTCTTACTCCATGAACTGTTCGGCCTCAATTGAATTAAGCACACTTTTCAAAAATGGTGGTTTCTTTTCACAGCAGCCTGAATAGTCTGATTTAAGATCAGATCAAAATTCCCGGTTTATTTAGCGTCAAACTGTTTGATGGGACACTTGAAGAACAAGATTGTTTTCATGACACTAAAGACTAGAAGTCTGGCTTCCAGTTTGAATTGCTTTACGATGTATTTAAAGAACAATAGGAAGTAATAAGTGCTAAAAGAAAATCAATATGCATCCTGTGTTAGCGACTGTCATTCTTCATGCTTTCAGAAAACAGACCTCAAGTTTTCAGGTTTTTTGAAATGAGCATGTACAAGAGTTTATAATCTTGGCGTTGTGAGATCCGTTTAGTTTTACCCTTCTACATAGCCAAGATTCAAAGTCCAGCTGATCTTGCTATTGTGTTTTGAATAAATGCCAGAAAATTTTGCTCTAATGGAATAGGCACCAAACATCCTCCACTCATGCTTGGAAATGCAATATAACTGACCTTAGGGATGTCGTCTTTGCCGAGAAACGCCATGTCTACTCGCACGTACCCCTGCGGACCACTGAGGGGTTTCTTTGGATCAATCAATACGGCCCATTTGTTTGTGAGATTGTGCCCTAGAGACAGGAACTGCAGTTTAGTTAAGAGGACCTACTTTTTGGCCTTATAAATTGCCTCTAAAAATGCAAAAAAAGCCATGTTCTGCAGAAAAATTACCCAAACTACAAAAATAGCTGCTGTGGAATAGTGAAGCAATCGGGGTTTCTATGTGAGAATGTCGTTTTGCAATATTTATCACTAAAATTCGACCTGAGCTTAAGTTTTCCCTATTTGTTAAAAGATAGGTCACCTTTTAAAGTAATAATTAGTAGAAGACTGTAAAATCATGAACGTAATACGCACCTTTACTTTCGTAGATTGTTCTCACATCGATAACAAACTCGCCAATCAATTTTCCTGGGAGAATTCTGGCAATCATCCGTGAACTGAGGTTGTATACCTACGTGGTTAATAATATTTTATCCACATGCTTGTGTTTCAGTAGAAAAGGTCAGTGAAAATACGATAATGGTCGAAATTACCGTTTCCAAGTGAAGTAAAACATGAAACTTTTACATTTGAAAAACCTCTACATTAGACAGAGGTTTAAATCACTAACTCTGCCATGCCCCCCACAAACTCGAAAGAAACAGGATTTCCATTGTAGGGTGGATAAAGGTCTCTGCTCGTTCCCATCACTCGGGCGTTTAATATGTTCTTTTTATCTGTTAAATGCACCAAACGCTATTTATGACGTGAACTAAACGTCGCATTCAGCTTAAGACCTTCAAAATTATGTCGTGTTTTTGTGACATCGATAAGCAATGAAAAGACTTCGCAGAAAATGACATACACGGATCCAGATAAGTTCATCGAATACGGCTGTTCGAGGAAGGAAGTATTCAAATGAAAGGAATTTGTTGTAGTAAGGATTGTTCGTGTAAAATTTGATATCCGTCTTACGAGTCTTCCCAGCTGCGGTCACTGCAACCATTGGATTCACATTTACTCCAGGTAACTCACGCACCTCCACAACGGTTACAGATACCTAGGCGCATAAACCAATATCAAGTTTTTTTGGCTTTAGCACAAATAAAGCTGGCAGTGAACTATCGCAGTCAATCTACTGAAACGGAAATACGTTGTCGTAACCTCTCGGACTTTCAATTATCAGAGTAAAAACAATCTTAGCATTCAATATCACTGGGGTAATGCGTACTGAAAGTTCAAATCCACAAATATAATGGAAGTGGACCATCTTACCACGTTTAAAAACTTGTCCCATAACCTAAAGTATAAGCTAAATTCAAATGATCTGACTCCATTGCAAAACCTTTGAAGAATTATGACATCATAAGTGTTTAAAATTAATGTAATTTTTTCACTGAGAATGACAGGTTTGCGTGTAGGTATGGTACAGCAGGGTTCCTTTTATAACTACCTTCCTTACACAAGTCATGAACATGTTTTTTACCAAGTCTACTAGAGGCAAAATTATAAAAAATTCAGTGAAGGGATTGCGATGTATTTTTCTCCAGTCCCAAAAAGAGTGCAAATCCTCAACATCACCAGTGTGCGCAAAAAGCCTTTATCGCGCATGTGGGTGACTAGCTTTGTCAGGTGACGCCTTTGTCCTTCATCGGCTATTCGCTGCCAAGTATTTCACAATATGCGATGCTGCTTACAGTAAATGTTTCCGACTTGAGAATGGTTGGATCAATTAGCGGCTTCAGCTTTGGATCTCTAAAAAATAAAACGGCACGGTTCCCATCAATTTGAGGCTTTTGGATGTTAAATTCAGAATCAATGGCTTTACTGGACAACTTAAACTATTCCCTCAGTCTCGATTTAGCGGTATCACCTTTTGCCTCTACCAGGCCTTGAAGGTACTTCGGTTCATCTTAACCCACGGCTAGCTCAGTAATGTTTAGTCGTAATGAAATTCTCAAGCATGCTGCTGACATGGTAAAGATTAAACTGAGAAATGTGGAATCTCCATGCAAACTAATCAAATACCGAAAAGTGCTTTTCAAAGACAACATCCCTCTATGGGCAGTGGTGTGTAAGTAATTTCGACGAATTAGGATTACTAAAGACACCGAGAAAAGGCCTAACTTGTGAAGTCCAGTAACCATGCAATTTTGAAATGTAAGACATATGGTAGTAATTTGCAAGAATCGGAGATTTTCGAATTCGCCAATTAATTTACAATGGCACATACCAACCATAATGCGAAATTTGCCTGGAAAAAGCGCGATCAAATTTGCGCATGTTATGACACGACGTTGAATTGAGGGGTACGCGATATGTGCAGTTGACCTTTCAAATTGCGCTATTTTCATTCGAGAGTTTCTGTTATGTTAAATTCTGTGTCTCTAGCTGCTTAGGCTTTGAGGGTATTCGCCTACCCAGTCAATTTGCCAATCAGAATACGAGATTCGATCTCCTACGACAAAAGCTGGTTTAAACATTTTAATGATCGAACTAAAACCAGTGGACATTCAGTCTATGATGTGATTAGAGTTACGCAAGTTGTGTGTGCAAGCCAAAGTGTGGCCTGAGTAATTTATTCTAAGTTTACACTTCATCCAGAGTAAGGCATAGCAGGTAATTTATTCACGACAAGCGCGATTGGCAACATAGTCCAAAGGCAAGTTCGAGTTGCGTGCATCGAACTGCCTAATGGGCCAATGGCAACTTAATGCTCGAACATCCCCTATGGTAGTGCACAATCAAATTTTATTTCAGGAAATTGAAATAGCACCTACCTTCGAATGGGTGCGGAAAGGTCTGATGAATGTTCCGAGGGGACATCAATTTCGGCGCCGGCGACGTCACCAAACCCGTACAAATTCATCAGGTTGTCTTGTTCTCTTAGAAATAAAAAAAATTTAGACGTTCAAGAGGTTCTTTATTATTTCCTTTTTATCAAATTCATTAATAATTTGAAAAGCTTGATTAAAATCGTTAACTACGTCATTTTAAGAGACTAGACACGAAATTCTCTTCCCCTGTAGTGACCTTCTCCTTCAAGCTTTTTATTGACACCTTGCTGAGAACGTTAGAGCGTAAAAGTGATAAAACGAGCATAATTTATCCCTCGCCAATGCTGGTCATTTTTTTAATATGGAATATGAGTGCGTGAGAGATTTATGGGTGACATCACTTCACGGACATGGCTTGTCCGCTTAGTGCTTTGTTTAGGGCCTGCTGACCAAACCACGGCTGCCTATCTTTAAAGCCCACGTTGAAGCACTTTTAACGAAAGACGCAACACACACGCACTGTAAGTGGCCCTCTTTATTTCTGAAGTGAATATGATTAATTAAGATAACTTGCACACTGCTCAAAATAGGAAGAAATTGTGCATTTTGGGACTTGGAATCAAACGTACCCGAACTCAGCACCGTCTGCTTCTCCATCGTCGAAGTCAAGGTCGTCGGCTCCCCTTATTTGCTGAAGGTCGGCTAGGGGGTGTTCGAATCGACCTATGTCAAGACCGGCTTCCCCCTGGTCTGGTGGGCGGTAAAACAAGTCGAAGGAGAGGGTGGCCTATGACAGATTGCAAACCCACTGATCACTCGTGGAGAATTCGGTGAATTCGAACTTTTAAAGATTAAAATGCCAAACTTCCACAACAGGCCTTTTTGTTTCGCAAACATTTATGGTCGGGTAACTAGATAGCTACTACTAAACTTAGTTGAGCTTAAATGCATAAAACATTTTTTAACTAAAAAAAAAAATATTGAGCCTCTCGTTCGTAAAGCTTGCACAAACAGATACAAAATAACATATTTGGTTTAATATGAGTGCTGTGACTGTGTTGTGAACATCAAGGGAAAAGACTTTTTTCTACAGCCTCCAAACACAGATAGCTCCCTTGCTCTCGATCCTTTCTCATTAACTGGTATTTCAAACGCTTAGAGCTGGTTGAGTTCCAAGCTTGTGACTACCGTTTAGCTAAAAACTCATGATAGGCATTTCTTTCGATAAATGTTTGCTGCTAATCGAAATTGTCGCACTCTACTTCACATAAGTTCACTGGTTCGGAAATTCCGACAGGCTTTACTTAAATTTATAATGATGACCATTAAAATTCAAGAGGGTCTTGCATTTTGGAAACACGTGACGAATTTAGTGCTGCTACTTTGCTGTTTCTGCCTGGACGACAAATTTCCTACCATTGTGTCGGTCACTTGTAGCTGGCAGATGCCGCTTCTGTCGCTGTGCAACCAATCTGTAAGCTCTATTATTGGGGATTTGATAAACAAGTTTTTGAAGTCCAAGTGCTGAAAACCTTCCAAACCTCACTCTGCATAGGGTAAATCAGTGCTTTAAATAAGGCTTCGACTAGTATGCCGAATTTGCGGCCTCTGCTTTTGAAGTCGCCATAGTTGAAAGTGAACATCATGACATAAATCGATTATGATGATGGCGGAAACTATTCTTCCACTGAAGATGTGTATTTTAAACCTTCATGGGACACAGAGACTATACTTCAAACAGACAGATTGGAAGAAAAAAAACAAGAATCTCACCTTTGTAACCATTTTGTTTGCGTCCACAAGTGGCTCTTCTAAGTTGAGAACCTGCCTTTGAGCAAGGGCTGCCAAATTGACAGAAACCGAACCAATTGTTCTGTAACATTAAAAAAATCCAGCTTAGTGTTTTTTTTAAAAATGCTCTTCGCTTTTGCAAAATCATGAGTAATAGCCAGACGACAATAAAGTGAGTAGTGAGATGTTTTGAAAACCTAATGCACGTTTGTTTGTGCTGAAAAATTGCACTATTCCGAGCCACCATCTACAGACTTCTGACAACGGAGTCATTGTCCATTGATAGACTAGCCATGACTGGAGAAACTCGTCACACTAAGGCTCAGACTACAGCACGTAGTACACTTAAAACACTCGCACGACTGAGAGGAAGCGGACTGCTGGAAAACGTCTTGGGTCCAGAAGTTTCAAATAACGCAGCATTTCACTACATAGGAGGCAGCAGATCAGCAAAAAAATTAACATCAAAGATGGATACCTGAATGTGGCTGGTAAGGCTTGGGGATTCCAACGCCTTGTCGAGTTTACGCCAAATGCGAACAATACATTTTTATCAACGCTGTTTCATGGGTTAAAGAATATAAGGCCGTGGTTTTTTAGCAGTAGTCGCTTGTCCAAACACGCTAATTCGAGGATGATTAGCGCCTGTGACTCAATTCTACCTTCCATTAGTTCCCACACAGCTAACTCTGTGTGCTCACAATTCATCAATAAATTCGCATACACTGTGATGACCTTGTGTTTACAGGGTAAGGAAACGCTTGCGTTGAATTAGTCATTTTGTCTTTTTACTATTTTTCCTGGTATTCGGTACCACAGAGGTAAAAATAGAACAGGTTTTTGAAGTGTCAGCCAAATCATTTCAATGTAATCTAATTTCTTCATTTATTTTAATCAATTTCTTCCAACAATTGAGAATTTGGTATAGTTATGCCTGTAAATGAGCCTCTCTTACTTTTTGGGTCGATATTTGCTGACATCGAAGGCTGTAATTATGAGATCATCGTTGGGTTCAATCCGACGAGCTACCTTCCAAATCAATTCTACCCCAAAATAGCATGCGTTTTGTCCTTGTGCGGGTCTTGTGGTCAATTCATGATCTGCAAGAGATGAAAACAGGTGACGTCACATGGCAGCTAAAGCTTTCTCGAAAACCCAACAAGGTCACCAATCAGCCTTATAAGTTAGATCCAAATTTGGCTTCTTCAACCTTATATGCGAAGTGACGTGTCCTAATTTAATCCTAAATCAAACAATTTGTTATAACCTTTTTCATAATCGTTCCAGGACTTTTGGTAAAGTAAGATGAGTGCTGTGGAAGATTTTGAATGAAAGCTTGGTTCTTGTGATTTCCTGGACCAATCAGGTTGAATTATGTCAGTAAACAGCCTTTGTTCAAAAGCGTTATGCACGAAAAATGGTAGAAATAAACAGAACTGAGCTTTGCTTACTAACATAACTGATACTAGAAAGAGCTGTGAGCTATTAAATATCACTTATTTTCAAGAATTAGATTTATGTCTCTATCAACGAATGAAACTACAGTCCATGCTAAAGATTTTCAAGACGACTTGAGTTAACCCTTAAGTTATTATGCAAATAAGACATCTTGAATTTCATTAAAAGGAAAAGGCTTTAACTTGTAACCACACTGAAGGCACTCTGGATTTTGTTTGAGTAGAGAGGGAACCGAAAGTGAAAGAAGCACAACCAAGTAGGTCATTTGGTCGAAACATGGTCCATTATGACTCTACCCAGAAACGTTGCAAGCAATGGTAAAGCCAATTTTATCACGATTTCTTGTAGTTCAGTTCATCTAAACGTCAGTCCTCAATCAATTGTCTTTTCAAACAAGGAAGACTCGAAAACTGGCTAGTAGTAGTATATCAGATATTCAGAAAACAAAAGTTTGGTTAGGTTACTTTTGTTTAGTTGAAAGAAAATGTCATTAAAACTTCCTTAATGCTAACTATGGCATCCCCCTTAGCAACCGAAACAACAACTTCCAATTATACAGGTTTTCTTGTTTTCTGGAATAATTCCTGTCGGAAGCCAGATTTTTCACCAAATGATTCAAATTCCAATTTTTAAAGCTTTGTAAAAACTGTCTAAAATAAGTACGACTGCTCACCGCGAAATTTGGCTCTGATGATGCGCTGCCCCTTTCCTTCCAAGCCTTCTAGTAACTTAACATCCAGCTGCAGTGACATTATTCGAGGTCACCTTTCGTGATGGTAATACCGAGGCTACTTCGCAACAAATGACTAACTCAGTGACACTCGATTTCTCTGGGGTTGTGTGAACATTAAGGCCAATAGGAGCCCAGCGCTGAATTTCGCCTCGGAGTGCTCACACACTTTCGTGTGGCTTTGTAACTTCTAACTGAGTTGAATTCTGTTGTCATTTGGTAGGTAAATGGCAGCGTGAAAGGACCTATAATACTTCAGTGATGCTAGCAACATAGTTTACTTCGTAATGTAAGGCTGTAACATTGGTCATGAGGTGCTTCTAAGTGGATGCTATAAATTGGCTTAAGGTCTTTATTTCTCCGTGTATGCCAAATTACATTTTACCTAGTTTGGAAATCAGTTAAGCATCAGGTCAATAGAACAGAGGCTTCCCATAAAACCACTTTCCGCAATGCACGATGCTAATTACGCAAGGGACTGGTTGGTGAGGGAGGATGCATCAAGGACCAAAACCTGTTATTGGCATTTCATTTCACGTAGCCGAAATAGGATAGAGATCCTTAAAAAGGTTTTTTTTAGTTTATGCTGAAGCATAAGTTTGAAGCATGGGTAATGTAAGTGCTTAGCAAGATCATGCATCAAAAAACTCGCGAATCTCCTTTGCCGATTCGTCATATGTGCCTTATTTCTAACGAAAAGCGTTTGTTTGTGTGAAATTTAACAATCTACTTCAAGCGTGGGATAGCCATTGGATTGCTAACACACGATAAACACTTTAGAGGAGCGTTGATTTGTCGCATCAAAATCAGCTGGGAATGTGTTGAGTTCAGTTTACCGAAATGCCATCATAAATTACTACAAGGAATTATAACTGGAGCCTTGCAAGGTCCACCACCTGAAGTCCAGTTTTGTGGAACTCCTCTCACCACACCATTAGACCCGTAGCTCAACTAATGAATTCTTGTGCATGATATCCGACCAACGCGGGCCATTAATTTTCAGTCATGGCAATCACTCCTTCAACTAGTATTCACAATTTAGAATTCACTTAAGTACTTGAATTAAATTAGTATCGGCCAAATTTCAGAAAGGAAAAAAAATTCGTCCATGAGTCAAAATGCCTTTCCACTTTACGATGTTAATGTAAACATCTTTTCGGCTCCATCATCAGTGTCGAAATTTTAAAATTCAAGTTCTGATAACTTGGGAAACAGCACTGAAATTCCAAAGAAGGCCACTACATTATCCAAAATACGCTCTTCTAGCTATCTATTTTGCACTATTTATTCTAAAATGTTTGCAAGAGCGATCATCGAGGATTGTTCGATGGCCGATTTTTCAGAGAATCGCATCAAAAAGTAAATATTGCCATTGCAAACTGCTTCGTCTATTTATGTCTCTTCATTAAGAACTTGATTATTACTCACTCAGAATGTCATAATTTTTGAGTAAACACGGCACATTGCAAATACCGGGTCGTGTTCAGTGAGTATCGACGAATCTGATTAAGTTGAAGTTCCCCAATCCTCGCAAATGATTGTTTTGAGGTATTGACTGATCCCCCGAACATTACAAAACCTCTGAAGTACCTGTTTTTACCATTAAAGCTGCGACCTCAGGCCCTGTTTGGCATTTTAACAAACATTCAGAATAACAAAACTAATCCCTATCCCTTATGTATGCGCTATGTTTCCCAACGCGTCCTGTTGCATTTTATTCAAACTACCTATTCTAGGCCTTGGTTTGGTCCATCGTGGGCCACTGGCCAGGCAGAATACCATGAAGTCATAATCGGGCTGAGACATAACAATGAGTCATTTTGTAAGGTGAATAGGACTCAGATTGAATAAGTAATCCTTTACTTGTGCACCAGTTCAGTTACGAAAAGTTGCATGTATTTACCAGATAAGGCAAAATGCAGGCCAATCAGGTTGCACCTCAACAACGATTTTTTGGACGCAAAGTTTATGCGGGCACCTGGAAATGATGCAGAAGTGACCTGTAACACATCGCAGTGAGTCATACCTGTGCAAAAAGACGGCAAACGGATCCCCTACTCAGTGGCATCACTCGTTTTCACCTACTAATCAGCCTGGAAACAGATGTCCTATTATGACGTCTGATCTTTACACTTTCGAAACAAATCAAAGATGTGTTGACCTTCATATGAACTGTAACCCAAACCTTACTTATAATTGAAGAAACTCTTCAGCAAAACAGAATTTTGTCATCGCAAAAGCAAATCTTGGCGCTATGCTAGACAACAGCAACAAGTGCTTGACTAACAGGCAATTCTCGAAGTTATGATATTTACCAGGGTTCCTGAAATCGTTGGTGGTTTCAAAACAAGGTACTTTTGTTTTTCTGAATATATTGCAGGAGTTTTAAGCTCAGAGGCTAGTTCCTTCTCTCATGGTGTAAAGAGAATTCGGGGTACATGATTGTCTTTATTTGCTTTTGAGTGTTTCATATACATGATTAAAGGACCTACAGTCAACTACATTTGCATGAATTCCCGTGCATACATAGAATTTCAAAAAGGCAAAGGAAAAACATTGTTTTTTTAAGGAATTACAATCAGACGTCAGAGAAAACTCCCCCGCTTTGGATATAATTACGAGCTGAAGCAGGCCTGTGACGTTGATAGCGACGAGCTGTTATATCTCCAATGATAGATCGACTAGCTGTGGTGTGACTCGAGAGCTTTTCACGAACTCTCAATCCACCCACCATGTAGGCGCTGGTTTTGCTTGTCCACACCTCCACAAGGGTCTGGAGGCAATGAAGGAGGCCGAACAAACCCACCGTCGTGTCTGCCGCAAGGAGACGCGAGACTGAGAAAAGGCGGTGCTACGCGGCGAGAAGGGGTTTTGACACAACAAAAAATTAGAGAAAAATCACGGATGCCTTGTTTATCCGGGAACATAAATAAATGCATCAAAGTCTCTTTTATTTGTTCATTTAAGCGACTGCTAAATGGGGTCAAGGCATCAGAGTTTTTCGCCATAGGATTATCTAGCAAGCCTGATCTCTGTATAACGACCTTTATAAACACGTTTGCTTTTAATATCATTTTACAACAACATTAGTAGACATATAGTGATCTAACATCTCTGACAGTTAGATTTCTGGGTAATTAAACCAGGCCCAAATATTTTGCTAGGTGGAGTGTGCCTAACTCACATGCATGAACTTTACCGGTTAAATAGAATGCCAAAATCTAGATGGTCGTAAGCAATCATGTCTCGAACACCCAATGTAGCGCCCGACATTGTGCGAAATTAGCAACACGCGTAGCACCCACTTCCGGGTCGAATGCTTGAGAACTGCCGGGCAAAGAAGTTGCCTGGGTTGTCACCAATCAAAATGCACTAAACTTCGATTGCATCGCAAAGCGAATGCTGAGCATCGTGATGCATCAATTCGGCTATGCAAAATTGACACATTGACACATCTTACCACTCTTCACTAGGCTATCCAAAAGGCGGTTTGAACCATCTACCTGCCCGCACTCAAAGGGTCATTTTATTCTTAGCGGGAGGCCAAAGTAAACTGGCGCGGTGGGAGTCATTCACAGCAACAACAGCAATCCAGATACCCAACAACTACCATGTGACTCCCGAGCGTCATCTTGTGCTGCAAAAATGCGTACCTCACGGAGTCGATTGTGAGAGATGCTCATGAAATAGGCCGCGTTAAATTAAAACAACTGAGGGGATTGTTGTAGGTATTTTAAGTGAACTGCATTTGGGCCGAAAATACGCTTTGGAATTTACAAAATGTGTCCTGGCAAACAGTCTTATACGAATTTTTCATTAGAGAATTTTGTAAAATTAATAATTACACACGTCTACCTTGGCTTCCAATATGAAAAAATTAAAACGTCTAAATATGGGTTCCGTTGGTTATGAAAACTGTATAAACGTCAATTCTTTGGCATTACGATAAAAAATCTTTTGGGAAGTTAGAATTCAAAGTTCGTGTAACTCCATGAGATATAATTAGACACAACCACATTTACTTATAAATTTTAAGTAAGCGTAGAATACCTACCTTCGGTATGCCAACTTGGCGGATAACCTCTCGACAATGAAACAAATTTTGACGCGCACGATACTGCCAAGATGCGCCAGTTGCTTCATAAACCTGGACATTAAAAAAACGAATTCATTACACTTTGAATATGAGCACAATAGTAAGTGATCTCTGCAGCACGATTAATTTAAATGTTATTCATCATTAGCGTGTGGTTTCTCAAATAATTCAAATCCTTAATGGCTGTTTCCTATACTGCCATAAAACTAACAAAACAGTCGACTAACATAACAAATCCACCTTTTTAACCGCCTTGTAGCCAAGAAGATTATTCAAGAACTGAGCAAGGTGAACTCCAGTTTTGAGTTCATTGGCCAACTCTTGGGGAGTCGAAGGTAAATGGACATTTAACCGAGACACCAGAATCTATAAAGAAAATGGGAAACCGACTCTGATCAAGCAGATGTCTTAGAAAAATATTGCAACATGTAAGAGTGTGTTCCGATTCATTTAAGTTGACGTTTGCGTTCACAAGCACATCTAGCACTAAAACAGACTGGGACAGACCGGTTAGCAATTATTTTTACTCGACAAATTGAGGCAATGAAGATTTTAAATGTGGACGTTTTGGGTCCAACGTTGAACAATTGCCTAGTGATAACCTCACATGATTATACAAAAGTAATCATTGTTTTAGTAATTAATCTGGCATATTCCATATCATCACCACATTTCTAATGCCCGAGTTAAATAGTGATGTGAACACAAAATTTCAAACGTCAATATTTTTGGAGAGATTAAAAGTGGCATTTTGGAACAGATTGTATGGATTGCGTTTATTTGGTGTATTCTTTACATCAGTGATGAATTATCACAAATAGAGATTACAGTTTCAAATAGAGAGGACCTCTGTAGCACAACCTAAAGCGGAATTTGACTGTGATCAGCTTAGCTAACAAGACATTAATGTGCTGAAAGTTCCTACCACACACCACGTGAGTCGGATAATAAGCATAGTGAATCACGAGCTTACCGAAAGACGTTGGTTTATGCAGCCTGAGCGACGACTTGCTTAGCATGTCATTGTCGTGCCCTAATGCTCGAGTGGTGACTTCGTTTGGGGGCTTTTCAACTAGACAGTGCGTATTTTAGGCTGACGTAACTACCAGAGGAGCCTTCGATCATGTCACCCGTCTGAGCTACTGTTGGGTGGTTATTTGAGGGCAAACAGCGCCAACTCAACAAAAAACTTAACATTAAGCTGTCAAAACTCTTGAAGAGCAACAAGAGCTGTCGAATCAGCGAATTCGGAGTTGTCATTTAAAAAGTGCACAACACTTGAGAAAACACATGCAATGGTGTTTGCGCTGGCAGATAGGTGAAATCGAGTCGTGTCTTACAAAGTGCAGGTGTTCGGCCGTACTCCGCCACAAGTCTGCGTAGTCCGGAGCCTGTGGGTAAATGGCTTGAGTCCCATGGACATGCTCATGTGGAACTGAAGCTATCGATGTTTTCTGACAAGAAATCGCCAAAGAAGCATCCAGACTTTCAGCTCTGTGTAGATCTCTTCCGATTGGAGAGGATGATTGCTGGTGGCAGATTCGGGTACCGTTAAACTGCAGGACGAAGAGGTAACAATGTTTAATGTTGGCTTAAATTTGAGTGTTGCAGTGCCCATGCAAATGAGTCACTATCTGGACGCTCTTCGTAAACCCTTGTGGAGGCAGAAAATGTCGAAACGTTCAGTATCATAAGGGGTCAAAAGTTTATTAGTAAACACAACTGGCTGGCTCAAAGTGCCTTTACCTTGTTAAAGTGCTAAAAAGCATGATTTAGGCATAACCAAACTTTCATGAGATTATCAAGCTACTAGGAGCTTCGGCGTTTGCCAAAATTCAATCTGACATACTTTACACTTATTTCGATTTATCAGAGCTGTGTTATTAAAAATGATATGTCCGAACAGCCGATTCGACAATTTAACCATGTGAACTCTTCCCTATGGCTCAAATTAAGGCCATGTTAACTTCCTAAAAGGTTAGTACTATGTTGGAGATTACATTTGTCGGCTTTTCTACTTTGCAAAAACTAATCCCAAAGCTGAGTCTGTTGTAGGACTTTACTTGGCTTCAATTATGATCCGACTTTTACAATTACCGTTGTTTTCACAAATTGATTGGTCGAAAACATAAGTGTTACTTAACCCAAAATCTACACTATCTAACAGAAGCTATGCCAATTCAAAAAGTTCATCACCTCTTCCCATGCACCACGCCTTAGTGATTGTAAATTTAGCCTTTCCTAAGCTTTGTGTGAGCTTGGAGGACTAAAAATTTCGTGTGGGTACTGTCGCCTCGGATTTGTTCTGTGGTGCAGTTTGGCACTGATAGCAAGGCGTTTTTGTAGTCAACAAGTCTAACTTCATAGCAAAACGACGAAACCAGTAAATAGAACAAAACTATGGCTACACTTTTCCAGTGCTTCATTTTAATGCAATAGATATGTGTTCAATCCATTATTTGGTACTACGATGCCACATTTTTTTAGTTTAATCACAACACATAAAAATGAGTCGCAGAATATTGGGTGTGAATTTGCCAATCCTAATGAAACCTTCACGCAAATGTCCATCGTTATGTCCGTTTTGTGTGAAGATGCGATTTTAAGTTCCTAATAGATTAATTGAGAGTAGGCACAGCATTATAGGAAACAAATTAAAGAATTAACGAACCCAAGTTTTAGTAATCCGGGTTTTATAAGAGGTGATTAGGACAAAATTAGAGTTAAGACGGCCTTGGCTTTTAATGGCACTTTGGCTTTTATTTAAAAAAATACCGAATATAATCACCTATTTTGGTATTTGTAATTTGCCGAATCAACCGACGGAACAAAGGCCAACTAAGCTACGATAATACCAATTTCAAAAACACTGGCATGGGCCCAGAGTAAAAGACTATTAATTTTAGTTAACTAGATTAGGCGAGGAAGTTGGATGAACAAAAAAGAGAAAAGTTAAAATGATAGTGAACTCTAGAGTTAAGATAATACATTTTTTTACGCAATTATAAATTAAGGCGGTAATGAAGCAACATCGATTGTTCGCAGTTGCTGGCGATTTTCAAAAAGCTTTATCCCATAGAGGATACCACTTTCGACATTCTTTTGAATTTTGTATTCGAATTCGGAACAAACCAAGAGTAAAATACGATGGCGTTCAATGATAGAAAAATTTATTTATAAGCCGAAGCACTCTTTTTAGAAGCAGCGTTTACTTAGGTCAACTGGAACACCAATCAGACAAATCATGGGAATTGTCTATGTTCAAGATCACATCGACTACTTTTTTTAATCGACGTACCTTTGAGTTAACGAAACCAGTGGTCTGACTGTGTTTTACAAATTCCTGTTGGTGCTGAGAGGATACTGCTGTTGGAGGAACTGATTCACCAGGACGCCGCAGGGAATGGTGGCCAGGTATCCGTGAAATGCCTTGTGGGTTTCGACCTCGAAGGCGTGGAACTGGTAGATCTTCGTAGGACGAGTCTGTTGAGAGGTCGTCGGAGTCTTCGCCCACATCTGCCGAGGTCTCCGTCGTCTGACGCGAAAGCCTTGGCAACCTGGCAAATTCCGTGGCCCATGCATCCGGCTGTAGCACATGCAACTGCGTGATTACCAATGCAACAGTAGAGGACCAATAAAAATTTCTTTATTAATTCATTTCACAAAATACTTCATAGCGTAATTTCAGAAAGTTACATTTGTTCAATGTTTTTGTGTAGCCTGGCTTGCTACGACCCCTTGGTAGGACACAAATGTGCAGGGACCGAGTGATCAAGTTAATAATTTATATCGTGTGTAAAGTCATGGCTTGCAGTACGGCATGCATGTTCAGTTTTTTACGCGAAAATAAAAACACGAAACCCCAATTTCAATTGCTTTGGCTCGTTTAGGCAAGGTGAGGACTTTACCTCGTTTTTGTCTAACATCCAATGTAATGAATTATTTAATTTCATCATCCAAGATGTGCAAAAACATTTCCAGATACAAATTTAGCGATCATAGTGGCCGAAATATGCTCTACAGTGACTTTTCTCATTTTTGTGAATTTGAATACTTTTAGCTTAGGTACGAGGGTCTTTTCTTCCTGCTTAAACTAAAATACCACAATCTTTTATAATTTATCTAAAAAAGTCTGTGTGACAAATAGTTTATAGCACCGAAGATCCTTTATATTTTTATGCTTCGTGGCACCAAGATTCAGTTTCTATAACATAACATGCAAGTTTTTTTATCAGCCTTTTAAGCTCCATGTGTCTGTATTGGGACTTTCTTATTGCATTAGGTAGTTTTTTACAATCCATAAAACCCAGCAGCGAAATCCCTAATTAAATAGAATGAAATGTTGCTCTAAGAAATTCTTTTGTACAATATACAACCTAATTTGTCACCATACTTTCTAGCTTGTTTTGTTATTCATCATGATATAAAGCTGAGCCGCTCACTCAGTTATGTCTATTATCATGCGTCCTCTTTTCGTTTTCAGCTTGTTTCCTTCCGAGCTTGACTGAAAGACCAGGGTTGGTTTTCTGCAGACGATGGCGTAGCTGCCGCTAGCATGTACTTTGGTGTTTTCCAGTCCTTTAGACATCAGCCGTCTTCGTTCGTACTCAGCGGGTGTCAGCGTGTCTAAACGTGCTGACACCTCGGTGACGCTGAAAAGGCGTCGTCGCTTATGTGTGCTCACCATCAGCTGACAACCAATACCACAATAAAAGACGACACTGATAACAACGATAAGATCTGAAGTTACATGAATTTACCAACTTGGTATGAAAAGCTTCTTGACGCCAAAAATTTCCGTACTTGATATTTCAATAAAAGCGGAGTTAACGAAGAGTCAAACTGACAAGCTAGCAGGGGAATATTCGTGCTTAAGCACCAATTTCGTTCGTCCAAGGTGTAAACTTACTTCAACGTCAAGTAGTGGCTCTTAATAGAAGGTTTCTCCCTTGTTTTGAAGATACACTAACAGGTAGTAGAATTGAAGGCGATTACTGTTCCGTATCATTTGAGCATTTATTTTTAGCCACTGAATTAGTGGGACCTTAGGACAATTTACAGTCGTTTAATCCGTCTGTGTGACAACTAGGACCACGGAAGACTGTGAACGTTCACAGGAAAAATTAGCAAAGAAATGAAAGAAGGAAGGTCTTGAGTGTTATGTCCCTCATCCAATTAAACCTGCCTAATTAGCCTCAATTAAGCAACAGAAGGCCGGGACAGAGTGCACAGTATTTAATCATGAATCACAAATTTAGTTGTTTACTTGCAACTTTATCATGCATTTGCATGTAAATTAGTTCGTTTTCATGGGAGTGACATCAGCAAACAAATGCTCAAATTCCTTTGAAACCAGAAGCCACGATGAAATTTTGTTTTGTTCTCAGGAATGGAAATCTTAATGAGTTGTCGATATAGCTTGGCAATGCTTAGGCAGTCTCAACAACATGCATGTTGTCCAGAACGTGATTTTGCTTAAAGATTACCACGACTTGTTATTAAAAGTATGCGACTTTCTGCTTCTACATAACTAAAGGAGTATGGTATCTTAACGTGGGTATACGGAAGTCTAGTAAGTATAAAACTACATGAGATTCAAATAGGCGAATGTTCATTAACGAATGTTGTGTCTTTACGCTTCGTCGACAGGTTTCAATGCCCCCGAGACCTTGAGTAAGTCAACTTTGAAGACGGCGCTGTAGTGGCTTGAGTTTAACACTACCCTACAACCCTCTAGTTAACGGCCCGTAACAGCTCGATAAGAAGGCAAAACTGATTATAGAAAAAATAACAATTCGTTACATTTGACAGTTCCAGTCTTTTATAGCGAAATCGTGTGAGTGAATATCGAACGTTAACTCTAATCGACAATCAATGACATTTGATCAACTGATTTAATAAGATTCACTCGCGTTTATTTCGTAAAAAGTTCACTACAATGCCAGTGTAGCCATCGAAGCCGGTTTAAACTACTTCGATAATGGTCATCTATGGTACAGGTAGTAGAATTGAAGGCGATTACTGTTCCGTATCATTTGAGCATTTATTAAGAACTAAACCTACAGGCCTCAATTCGCCCTGGGGCGATCCATCTGGTGTGACGCTGGAGAGGGAGTCTTCAGCCGGAGAGAATGAGCGTTGGGGAAACAGGAAGGGTCTTACACGAGCTATTCGCAAATCAATCGAGTTGGGAGGAAGTGAAGAGGTTGTGTGTCGTTTTGGTAGGGGTGGGAGGGGAGAGGGGGTGCGCCGAGCGTCCTCTGGACTCTCCGATCCCATTGGTCGAGAAAGTCTTGGTCTTCGGGGAGGCGGGCTGGGTGTGGTGCGTCGGACGTAAAGTTTGCTTGGATGGGCATTATGTGGAGAAACTAAAGACAATAGTATAGTGTGAGAGACAGATTGTATGCAAATGCGAACCTGACTTTCAGTAGCGTTTTCACAAACATTAAGACTCGAAACCTATCTTTCAGAACGAATTTTTGTTGCGTCCAGTATCGTACTTCAAGGCCGACATTAAGAGTAGGAAGTTCTGATATGTATTTGCTGAAGTAAGGATTACCCTACTAGAAGTCCTAATGCTGCACAATTTTGAAAGGTATTTTGGGTTTAAAAAATCCCAAGGCGTTAAAACACACAAAGGCTAGAGTGCAATAAAATTGTGAAATTTCATATACATTAAACTTCAAAAAATTTTCGTAAGCTCACGGGTTTTTCTTGGCACGGGCTGGGGCCTCTCGTCGGTGTCAGAAAAGAGTCTGCTCCTTGTCTGGTTCATTTCCTAGGAAAGAATAGCCCAAACCTGCATTTTGCCGTATTTACTGTAAACAACCCGGCATCCGCATCCATACACACGCCTGCACACACTCAAACCCAATGTTTGCACTTGTGCGAAGTTTCGGCATGTGAGAAGACCCCGGTGTGAGCTGGTGGTGCAGCTGAAGTGGCTCATTGGCATTCGGCGGGCACTTTTCACGACCAATCCCAGCAATCATGTGATCAACCAGTACACAAATTGAGTAGTCTTGATGAACCATATTCTGCGTTTCCTGCACTTTTTTGGTGAAAAATGATTGCAGCAAAAAACATTAGGCAGGAATGACAAATTATTTCCGATTGAATAATACATGCCACAAAGCATTTACTGACGACTGACTGAAATTCTTAGTTAAGGTAGGAGAAACGCATAACTTAGGTACGAGTTTTTTTGTGTTTAGCCATTTAACGCAAACACGCCTGGCGAGAAATGGCCTGACAGGCGAGTCCTTATTTGCTCTTGATTTCTGACCTGTGTGAAATTGATCGTGTGACTACGAGGAATAGTCGAAATTGAGTACACATTTCGAATTGTCATTTGCAACTGAAATAACTTTTGTGTGTGCTTTCTCCCACTGTAGTCCACGAAAATGCTTTTTTTCTTAATATGCCATCTCTTGGTTGGATTTCATATTACCTTGATGGACTTGAACTACTTTATATTTAACACTGACTTGGGCTAAATTCGCTGGAGTGGTCTCGATAGAGCACTAAAAAATCACTTCCAATAAGGATCCAATAAATACTGTGGAAAATTCGGGTGACTTATGAGTGTCACATACGCATGATCAAAAGCCTTTAAATGAACTACAAAGTGCGAATCGTGAAATTTAGAACACGCGCCAAACTTGAAAGAAGCACATCAAGATTTCAAATACACTTGTATTCATCCAACTTTAGTCTGCGTTACCTGCTCTATTAACCAATCGTTTACAAGCGGTAGCTCTTTTCTAAATATGCACTTAATCCAATAGTGGGCCGGGGTAATGTTACGTTAAACCAGGCTGGTGGCATTCGTGTTTGCGGTCTTTGGTATGATGAGAAGACCTGAGTACCGGTCTGCGAAAAGTTTGCGGGAATGATAGTAAGACCTCAAAGGCAGCGTGCTTGCACGCGCAAGGACCATCCTTAGTACTCACACGGACCACAGGAATCACACAAACATAAGTACCGACGGTCCCCTGTATCCATAGTGTTTCCTACATGATGCTAATTTTTTTCCTTATTGACAGCCAAAAAGAATGCATTTTGGGATCCAGCAAGATTCGTTACATGAAAACTCGTGGCACACAAAGCCACAATACATGCCGCATGCATGGACTTTCGCCATTGACCCGTAGGTCAGAATGTATAGTTACACTTGTCAGGTAGCGCGCGGTTTTAACTGTTCGTGCATAAGATTCGCCCTTCAGATAAACGACTTTCCAAGGCCTCCGAGAGGTTTTACTGTCGTTTTTTTGAAGAAATGCGCACAAAACTTTAAAATTACCAAAGTATTTCAAGCAAAGATTAGGTTCCCTTGAAAAATTTGACACAGGAGATGAATTTTTGTAAAAATCAGAACATGTAGCAAATAACATTTAAAATAAGGCACACGATTGTTCGCATAATTACCTAGAAGCACTCGAAATTCTTTCCCTATGCACCATGTCTTTCGAATACCCAGCATAAAGCAAAACTTGAGTTGAGACCCTGTGCTTTCGTTTCCATTTCAAGTTTTCGGGGCACATGGGGAGTCACTACATCATCCTGAACTGGTCACACCCCAGACGTCGGATGGTTAGGTTACTATAAATATACAGCATGTTGTTAGTTAACGTAAGGATGGAGAACTTTCACCGAATTCCCTCTTTCATCTTATTTCTCTTCGTCTTCATAGGAAGTGACTTTCGGGTTTCACTGACGATGATTAGAATTAGGTATCTCGAGTGACTAATAAAACGGATATATTTTATACAACAACGGAAACTTTTAGAGACTGGTACCATGCGTTACTCTGGTCGCAGTCATTCTGAAGTGATTGGTGTAATGCTAATTATTGGAAACTAATGTTTTGCCCCAACACACATGCACGTACGTAGGCAGCATATTTTTAATTTTTTGATTTGTGCTGATTACACAGCAAGAACTTGCCTTGTGATAGGGAAAACTATCGGTTGAGCGTACGGAAATGGCCACGCCCATTTGAGTCAGAAGTCGTGACTCAGAGAATGATTGATTATCTATTAACAGACTTGCATATGCTTAAAAGGATTGTTTGACAAAAAAACCCGGGCATTTGCGGTCCAAAAAATGGAGAATTTTTACATTGTCTTACACAAGTGACATTATCTATGATTTCCAGAAAATGATAGCGCAATGAGTACGTTGTAGTAAAAACCAAAGGCACCTTCATGTGCCAAATGCATTTTCGGGCTCATGAAGCACAAGGTGAATCAAGATCATTCTGATCATGCGAAACAATTTGACAGTACTGTGCGCATTCAACCATTTGCTACCTAACCTGCCACTCCGCTGGGATACAAGGCGGGGGCATCCTGAGTGCTTATTATAAGTCTGGAGTTTCACGAGTGACGTTTTCGTGGGATTATTGCAAAGATCAAAAATGTGGTTTTCCAAGTCGGGATAATCTTTGGTTGGCTGGGAGGTATTTATTTGCTATTTAAGAGCACACTCTATTCAATTAATGCGTAATGACTTCTAGTAAATAAGATGCCACTCTTTCAACCATCTGCTATTAAGCGTACAAGCTGCAGGAAATTGCTAAGCATACAAATCACGATTACTTTACGTTTTTTATGGCAGTGGACAAGACCTTCAGTCCCGCTAGCTGGCTAAACCGTCAAAGTCCTACCGTTGATTATAGCTTAGGCTGTACAGCTTCCTACCAACGCCTTACATGGCGTAAATTCATAAAACATACCCTCAAGGGAGACTGTGTAATCGTCGGAAATGAAGAGCACAAATAATTTTCTTGTTCTATTTTTCGCATGTTCTTTGTAAATCGTGGTTGGTGAAGTGCCATCGCACTTTCCTCGCCTTCAGAGGACGAGCACGGAGATGGTGTACAGTTGCCCATGACTCTTTCATCAGAACTTTGTTTAATGTACTCCGGAGTACAGCTTAGTCGTCGAGGGAAGTAGCTGGTTAGGGGACTTGAGCCAGGCCTGAAAATTAAAACTGCAGCCTTGATAAAAATAAATGGCCAAGGCTTTGTAATGACGAATCTTTGTAATACAGTACAAAGCCTGAATTTCAAAAAGCATCATTTTAAAAAATACTGAAAGTATGTGGAAGATTGCTAACGGCCGTTGGAATCGCTTTTGTAGATATTCGACAGTATTTAAATTTTCAACCCTGTAATACTACCTGGACAAAGTACCTAGAAACATGCGAAAGCATTACGGAATGCACTAAGATCTATCGAACGTCGTGTGAGCATTTCACCAAAATTCTAAAACGCGAGAAGGTTGAATTGGTGAACCAATTAGGCCACGCACAAATTTTTAGTAAGCGGCTTCACAGCTTAAAAAATCATCTAATAGGAATACAGCAAGGTTTAGTGATAAACTTTTTCGTAGGAAACAGCTCATTAAAATGTACCGTTTTGGAATTATGAGATTAGTCAGTAAATAAATAACTGTGATGCTGATGAAATGATCTTGATATTTTATTCGAAATAAATCTTCGCTGGGCTTACGTTTTTGTAACAAATTAAATTTATCGTAGTGTACATTTTGTGTACAGCTGAGCGATTAATTGCTTTAACGTCTCTGATTATTTATTATTCTGATGCACACAAATGTTTATGGAGCATTTCGAAACCTTAATCTTGGTTTTATTTAAACCTTCATGCAATTTAAGTCAATTTGCATTTGCAACCAAATAATTGGGCATGGAGATTTAATTTGAGCCACAATCGTTTTGAGGGGAGGAACCAAAGGTTTGACAACTGAAGACCTGCATAATTTGTTCGTGCAGTAAAAAATAGCCTCACTGTTTGGGTGTCATCAAGTTCGTTTTCTGCAGCCTGGCTATGTCCATTGCGGAGCTTGGCAGCGTTGGTGAAGGTGAGGGTGGTCGATTTTGCGGGGACGCCTCACCTCGTTGGTTGAGGGTGGTCTGTGACAGCTCGTGGTCGTGACCAGGGCCAGTCTCCTGCGGATCCTCATTTTTGCTTATGTATGCTAGAATGTGCACAAGCCCACGAGAAGCAATCTGAAGGAGAAAAAGGAGGCAAATTTAATTCAATGCTTGGTAACACCGATTGAGGGAATACTAAAATACCTGAGCATTCTCCCACTGTCCGTATCTCATTTGTGATAACCTCTGTGCCCTTAGATGACTAAATTTTAATTGGGCCATGCTTATTTTCTTTGAATATCAAAATGCCGAGTAAAATGGACACAGCATTCTCAACAGAAAACGCTTTCTCAGAAAATATTGGAAAGTGGTTGAAATTGACACACTATATCAGACAAAACTGATAACGGCAACTTAAAGGACGGTGGCTTTTGATATGTGATGATACATTTTGCATGAGTTTAATTTAGGAGCCGCGCAAGGTTAGGGGTACTGGTTCTGTACAAAAATGCATTCATAATACTTAATTTTTTTGAAGATATTCATAGACGTTAAGCCCTTTACGGAGAAAAAATTGAAATATCAGTTGGGTAGATTTGAACTTACGAAGTTAAAATTTTCACTAAAATCATGGTCTAAGCGTGAAAAGTATATTCTGACGGTTTACGGCTTTAACCGCTTTGATTGAAGTAGTAACACAAAAATCAAAAATTTTAATATAACACTTAATAACTTCCTGAATAGTGACACTGATAAAATACCACGAAGGCCTTAATTACAATTTCGGCTTTTAATTTGTCCATAAAGTGGTCGTTTTTGTTTACATGACAACAGACGAAACCGTCAGTACCCGAACTTAAACTAACAGTAATTCTGAGTTCGTAACCAGACTTTGATCCCACTTTGCATGACGGTGCAGTTAGTAAAGTGCTAAGAAATTGTAAATGAGGACCTGGTAAAACAAATACTAAAGGTCAAGAATAGGTTGTTTTGATCTCCATTGAGTGTTTGTTGGTGATTTTAACAGTGGGTTTTTAAAGGCAACTGTCTTATGGCAATATGCATCGCATTAGTTACAGTCATGTATTAACTTCTTTAGTGCAAAGCTAAACGATTTTCGTTTAACCTTCTAAGAAAGAAAACCCATGAAAGTCATTTTTGGTGAGATTAGATTCTAATCCAAAGGAACATAATGTACAACTTACGCTTAACGGAGGAAATATCAATGGGTTTTCTGATATTTCTAGATCCTCAAGCATTTCAAGTTGTGTGATTGAGCTTGGAAGCCGTGAAATATGATTCCTTTGACAGTTCAAGCTTTCAAGGCGTGTTAGTTTATCAATATCTGGAGAAATTAATTGAGGCAATGATTGTGGTAAAACCAAAAATATGACATTCTATAAAAAAGGTTTTTAAATTATATCAAACATAATTAGTGAAGTTTAAATTACATACTCGTAGGATGCATTAAATCAATTCGGAGAGGTTTTTATCCTTTAGGAAGGTTTCACTCAAATGAAACCGTAAGAAATATTGGATTTTTACATCCAAAATTAGCAAAATTAAATCGATATCTTTCGGATAACGGTACAGAAAAAGTAACCTAAGTAGTTGCAAATTACTTTAAAGCACTGAGAATGGGAATACCGAGTATGAGTCACCATAGATTTGTGCTGAGATAACTTTCAGCTGTCTAAATATAGACTAAGGTTTTTTCGTATGCCTTAATTAATATTTAAATAGGCGTTTCAGTGTTTCCAATCGATTCCACAACATGACGTTCATTAAGCGCGTCAGGATCCAAAGCCAGAAGCATTTTTGGAAGTATAATTTCGAAAATCTAACATGATTTTTTTATTCCAAAAAGTTTCGTTTTGGCAATTTTAATAAATAACTGGTTCCTTTAGGCATCGTCCTTGTCAGTGATATTTTCTTAAATAATACGTGTTTCTTCGATGCACTGCAGCTCAAAGAAAATTCAAGTGCTTCAAAAGTTAGGCAAATTCGTTCAGGGTTATGTGATAAATGAAACACTAGCGACAACTTACAGTACTTTACTTTAATTTGGATTGAAGTTTAGCATACCTGATAGGAATACCAGCATTCGAACCTGAATATTTATGTCAAAATAAACGGTCTGGCACTAGCCGTTCTTGAAGCGATTTCGTAAAATTAAATTTTAGAATGTTTTCCGTCAATGTTTGAATATTAAAATGCAAATGAGCACGAAGTAAACAAAAAATAAATTAATTTGAACCTAATTTGGCTGTAAACACATTGCATGATCACAGGATATATGGCTGAGCATTAACAAAAAAGACGCAACGGGTTCATTTATTAAAATCACCTACCATAAGGAAGGAATGAAATTAAATTCTGGCCAACTTTCAGCATTCTGAGCGACTGTATATTCACAAGTGGTGAAATATCAGTTAAACGATTGAAAGATAAGTCCTGTAGAGAATAAGCCAAAAAAATACATACCAATTCCTCCAAGTTGTGTAAAAAGGACCAGTTTAAGGGAATATACTTAAGAATGTTGTTTGCTACAGACAAAAACTTCAGTTTTTTCAGCTGTAACACAACTGATGGTATCTGGAAAAAATTGTTATGACTAAGACTAGAGGCTTCTCATCTCAAATACCTCAAGTCAACATATTTGAGGCGTCGCCAGTTCCCTTCATTAGTTTCAAGTTCTTGCAAATGATTTTGTGCAAGATCAAGGCTTTCAATATTGGATAACAAAAAAAGGACTGTCGGAGAAACCCTAATACTAAGGCCACGTAAATCTTATAATCCGTTATCAGAAAAAATTCAGGCCACGTACTTGCAATTATTATGCTATCGATATGCTCCAAAAACCACGTACCAATATATTTTGATTGACTGCAGTCTACAGAATCTTTGTGTGACTTGATACTGGCAAATTCCGTTTCAAGATACGCATAATTTGACGAATCAACCCAATTACACATTATCGCGCAAATTAAGAAAACCGCATTGCACATAATTCAAGCTTAAACATCAACTGACAGTTTTATGGATTATAAAAAAATTAAATTTTGAAAATTGTTTGCAAAACATAGATTTTCGTTGCAACGAAAATAACACATTTGCACTAAATTGCCTGAGCGAAACAATTGTGTCAAACAAAAAATAACATTTTGTTTTTAAGATTTTCGTACAATAATGTATCTAAAACACATTTTTTTCAAAATAGAAAAGATATTAACTGTGCGCAGATACTTTTTTACATGCCACCTATTCGGGTCACGTGACTCGGATCTTTGTAATGTGAATTCCAGTGCAACATTTTGCAAAAGTACAAATTGAGGTTCATTAAACAGTTCCTCGTCGTCTTCTCTCTACTTATTCTTCACGGGTATCATTATGAGCGATACTGGCAAAATTCTACTCAGCGGCCCTGAGGTGGAACATGGCCGTATGCCGTATCTTTCAATAATCAAAGACTTGTCGATCTTATAGGAGCTAACAACTGGCGATCTTAATGACATGACATAAGTGGTTTGGAAATCACGTTCATTATTTCTGTCTGATTGCAAGTTTTGTTGTGTGATCGTTTTGTATCAACAGTCTGGTTTTTGCTCTTTTTGCTCACCTGAACTAACCTAAGTTCATAACTAGACTCAACTAGATTCCTTTTCCTGCACTGGTTACCTCCGAACGATGGCTAATCTCCTGCCCCCTGTTATGCTTAGGCTTTCGTATGTCTTGATGGTTGATTAGGTTGCATCGGCAGCAGAAATTGACCTCGATCTTCTTCCCACTCCGCAGAATGCAGACAAGCTCCTTACACACCTTCTTCGGATGACTATTGAATTTGCTTTAACATTCATTATGACCACTTTTTCATTGCACTTAACGTATGGCCTACTTTTCAGGAAACCTGTCGAATAAAAATGATCGAAAATTTCTTTGCTAAAGTGAAGAGATGTGGTAAATTATGCTAATTCACCTTCATTTACCCGGTCATTGCATCTTTAATGTGCCCATGCGGGGAGATTTAACAATTGGTGACCCCGACTTGATCCCTTTAACAAACATATAAATGTGTTTGGGGGTAAAGGAGTATACGCAGCTACCCGAGCTAACAAGTTAAAAAATGTTTATTTGCATTTAAATGAGTTCATGTTTCATCTGATATTCCTAATTTCAACAACCAAATTTTAATAATATGCAATATTTTTCTATCCTTTTATGTGTGAAATTGTGCTAGATATTATAACAAATTCAAGATTTTTGTTTCCCATAAGAACTACTTAAGTAGAAAACTCACACTTTTGTAGACCAAGCGACTTCGAATTGGGCCTTTATTCCGTTTCATATAATTTGTTTGCAGGTGCTTTGTAGAGACACCAGTAATGATATTTTAGATAATTCCATTTTACATATAATCAGTCACAATAAAAGAAAGGCTAATGGATTTTGCAATTTTATGCATAATAACATATTTTGTGGCAAGCCAAACAAAATTTAAATGGTTAGAACTTGAAATATCTAAAATGGAATCACACTTTCTGCATCAAATAGTGCTACGTTTCGAAATAAGTGTTATTCGAATCACTAGCCATTTAAATCCTACCAAAAACTAGAGGCAGCAAATAGTTTAGCTTAATACGCAATTAGATTTTCATCCTCAAATATAATTTTTAGGCGTCTCTAAAAACAAGTAAATTGCCGTAATCCAAAAAGAGTTGTTAAAAATTAGGATAAAACTTTCTAAATTAGAACGCATGCTTGACAAAAAAAGGCATCTCAGCTGGTCTTTGTTTAAGTATTAAGCAAAAAAAGACAAGCAGGATCCAAGGATAATAAATAGCACTACACAAATGCAAAATATGTCGTTTAGCTCACACTTGCGCATGTGTCACAGAGAAATTTCAGTTGCGCCTTGGCATATTATCGATCTCTTCCAGGATAGCCGCTGGCAGCATCTATCGGCATTGACTAGTGATCGGTGGCATGACTTTAGGTTCCGAAGAGTGGCGAAAAAATTAAACAGCGTGCCAGAGCTTAGGAGCCAATCTGATGGTGAATTGGCAGTCTAATTAGGAAAAGCGAACAGACCAACTGGAGACCAGGGCAGGCCTAGCGAAAGTTTTTAAGGACCTATTTGTCTGAAGTATATTCGATCTAAGATGTGTGCTGTATCTGCCAACAGAAAAGCTTACCCTCATATATTTCGATTGTTACACATATTATGGGCCCGAATCGTATCGTATTTGACGCTACGTTTTAAGTTGCATTGATACACAATCTAACTAATACATTATTAAACTAATCTTCAAATCAGCTTATTAAACAAGTCATGTAATCACTAATATTAGGACCGCCTAGACGCTAATCTAACCGGAAACATTTAAAAAATTAAATTTCCGCATACATACATAGTTTCAGTTATCCCCGTACAGACTACTGTTAACAAAAAATCCAAAAAGTCAGTGTATGTTTATTCAGAAAAAAGTTAAAGGGCGCTACTTAAAAATACTTTACTTCCAATGTATGTCCAAAATTTTTCCAGTACTCTAGGTATCAGAATAAAAGCTTCACAAAAAACCGTAATTTTTGAATAAAGCTCTCATTGAAAGTGAACAAGTAGATGTTTAGAATAATTCTCTGTTATCAAAATTAATAATAACTCTGCCATCAGTGTTAAATTTTTCCTATGAAAAATGCAAACAAGAAAAGTCGCAAATTAACAGGGTTTTCGTCATTCTGAATGTAAAATGTACTAATGTCCTTTGAAAATGGCGAGAATTGGTCCCGATAAACTGTAACTTAAAAATGGATATCAAAAACATGCTAAAATGAATCGAATGAATGAGTTTATCTTCTACTATGTCATTGCGGTCCATTATTTGCAACAAAAAGGCAAAAACGGTGTGATTACAAGGGATTTCGGTATTTTTTTTAGAAAAAACCAATACAAAATCAGCCTGACTAGAACCCTAATTAAATAATAAACATACTTGCTTTGTTAATTATTTTAGTCTTGAAATTTAAAAAATTGCATTAAACATTAACTATTATCGTTTCTGAGACATTTATATTATATGTATATATATTCCGGTTCACGTTGAAGGCTTCGCATATGTTTCTAAAATAAGAGTTAGCAATTTACTTGACAACGTAGAATTACCAATGGTACTTGGTAATTCTAGGTGTTTAAATGGGAGAAATTTTTCCCTGACACATAGGTAGGTATCTCAATTTTTACTCTGATTGATATGCATCATGAAATCAACAGCTTTGATAGTAACCATTGTCTAACTTTACACATTTTTTTTCTATATTTTGTTAAATTAATCCATTACTGAATTCTAGCAAACCATTAATCCACTTCCATCAAAATCATCTAAGGTCTTCCCTTTGATTTAATCTAATATTTTCCCCGGTTATGCAAATGCTTGCATTCGTTCATTAGATGTTATTATCGTTGCATGCACTACTAGCGCCTCTACGCTGTTGGTTTTTTGTTTAAAAGAATCTTTGATTCAAATTGTATACAGTTAAACGTCCTAATCGAAAAAAATGCAGATTCAATAAATAATTTCTCGGTAAGAGGGTGAGTAGTTTAAAGGCAAGAAAATTTGTTCATGTTGCCAAAAAACTCAAGTTCCCACATTAATAATCTGCATACTTGATAAGATATACATAATTTTTCTATCCTTGTCTTGTTCCCACGTCTAATTTAGGGATTGCCGTTTTGTAATCTATCAGAAATTTAATATCAAGGAAAACCTGCTTTTTTTAGAATTGTAGCCCTAAAATGCAATTATTTGTCTATTTTTTTGGCACGAGAAATTTTTGACATATCTTTCGATAATGTGTTTATACTAACTGTTTCGCTCACGCTCTGTATGTATTTGACCTTGTTCATGTTCGTACCGCACTATAGAGTTACGTGGCTCTTTCGTAAAATCCCGATTACTCCACTCCTCGCATGTTCTCAGCTTTATCATAGAAGAGAATATGTCGTATTTGAGAAATTTAGCTATGGCCGCCGATTTATTAGCAGCCACAGAAGTGGGATAATTACTGTTCCAAATATTTTGACCGCATTACGAATTGCTGCAACCCCTGTTATAGTTTCCTTAATCATCAGACAAGACCTCCTTTTAGCTGCTGGACTGACCGTGTTGGCAGGAATATCCGATGTTGTAGGCTAGTTACAGTTAGTGTGTGAATTCTTAGGCTGATGGTTATATTGCACGCCGCTTTCCGTCTCAAAAGTCGGTTTTGGGTTCTTACCTAGACCCTGTTGCTGATAAACTTTTTGTTTCGTTGCTTGGTGCATCATTAGCATATACTGGCCTATTTCCAGGTTCTATTTGTACTGTTAACATTTGTTTAGTGAGCTTATTCGCGTTGTTCCTCACACGAGACGTACTTCTGTTGGCCGGTGCATCGTACGTGCGCTTTATTTCTTTGCGACCACCGGTAAGAAACCCTGCATCTGACCGTACTTTAGAGAAGCCTGGGTTCTGTGGTTTACCCCAAAGAACCGGTGATCGAAATGAAGCCTACCGCCTGTAGCAAGGTTTGCGGCTGCCGCTTTTGAAATTCCGCTTCGAAAATCCTATAATTATTGTCGTTTTAGCTGAACACGGCCGTCCAAATTACAACCGTGCTAAGTAGTTTAATGGCACCTACCCTGGACCTGTCAAACTGTACCGCAATTCAAGCAATGTGGTTAGTTTCTTTTGTCACCAGATGAAACATTTCCGCCTATGGTCACCGCACGCGTTCCGTCATTTTAGGCTTCTGGCTGCCTGTACTACAATGTACTCTGGTGCGGACTACGCTCGACGCTTCTCGGCTGTCTACAATGAGGCACTCAGAATGTCTTCTTCTAAGCTTTAGCAGCAACTTGACCTTACACAAATCAATAGATGAACATTACCATTACGCAGGAAAAGTCTGTAATTATTTAAAATTAAATCGAAAGACTGTCTTTAGCTTATTGTGTCTCTCATTCATGGGAAAATTCTGTAGTGATTTCTAGTGCAACGGTTTTGACAGGTGGGTTATGAACATGAAGACGCTGTAATAAGTGATCGTTGGTTTTCGTAAGAGTGGGCGCTGCTTAGGCCAGGGATGGCAACTAGGTAGACCCCACCTGTTGAAGAAGGGGCAGATGGTTGTGGAGACGGGAGGTTGGTGAGTGGCGGAGAAGGGGTTAGGGTCCGACTGAGGTAGATGTAGTCATCACTCAGACGCCACCGACACTGGGGGTTACAATGGTGGTGGGGTGGTGGTGGCGTAAGCGCATGTCGTCGGTATGGTTGCTGATGATTTCTGTCAACGTCATTTTCAGGGGACAGTGACGAGGGGTAGCACACCCGAATTTCATCTGGAAAAGGATGAGTTAAGGAGCGTGAGTGCTTGCACATCAAGCCACCTTGAGGAATTACACAGAAAGACGGTCGATGGTCCATTCGTAGCCTGTTCTTTAAGCATATAAAATTAATGTACTACTGCTAGTGACGAACCTCTTAACGGTCCTGATTAATGCTCTTTCCGCTAACAGATAAAGCTTGGGATATAGTAAAACTGATTCCAGACTATTTGTAATTGATACACATCTGGGGTCAATCGGCCGACAAATCCAGCGACGGGTTGGATTCAAGCCAAATTTTGCACAAAACTGCTAGACTGTATGTTTTCGCCTCTTGATTTCCTAGTTTTTTTGGATTTTAGGGAGCATGTGTTGTGAAGGAGACAAGTAGTTCCCAAACTGTTACATTTGGACTATGTTATATTTGCGCGATGACAGCTTACATGTGGCAGTAGGCGAATCAAATAAGTTTATAATGGACTAAGTTAAAAATAACCAAAACAACAGATATGTGAATCGATCGATGGCCAATTTATAGTTTAATAGAAGGGAAGATATTTCCGTACCTGAATTCACCGAAGTTTCTGGAAGAGGAGGCGCAGAGGCAGGAGAACCTGATGGAAGAACGCCGAACTTCATTTTCCCTTGGTCCTGCGAAGTCGAGAAAAAGGGCCATAAACGACAATGCATGTTAGGCATAAATTTATTATATAATAAGACAACTGGTCAAAGTGTTCGATATGACCACTAAATATCAAGAAATTTATTGATTGATAAATAGCATATGATTATAAACATAGAGAATGGATCATGGTTAGAAAGGACCCTATTGCTGAAACAGCAAATCAGTCAATACTGAATAATTGCCGCCTCAACACAATGAAAAAGAGATGGAGTGAAACTTAATTAGCTTAACCTGAAGGTGGTGCTTCAAAGTCATCAAAATTAGAAGGCTAATCGGAAAACCAGTTAAAGAAAAATCAAAGCATAATTGCCACGTCGTAATGTTTGCTGAATTTAATCACTTACTAGAGACTTACTACAAAGGAGCACTTTAATTTCCATCAATGGCGACTAAAAATGGACGAATCCAACACTTGTATGCAATACTTTATAACTAAATCCAGTAAGTTTTTTTGAAATCTAACTGGGAGCATTGCAGTCCAGTTTGATGAGTGCACCATACTAGAAAGCATACGCATAATCGTCAAAGCAACGGAGACTCAGTTCACACGATAAAGTTTAGCAAGAAAATGAGTTAGTAATGGGATGCCTACCGAATGTGACCTGTACGTCCAGGGAGCACGACAGTCGGGACCCATCTGCGCAAGGCTATTTACGTGCTTACTCAGCAAAGAGTGAAGTAACCGTGCTTGCTTACACTTGAAGATAAAGATGCCGGCTAAAAGGGAACGTTGCATGAAGTAATGCACACAGACGATTTAACGCGGAAAAGATCAACAAAATATTTTTTTTAGTAGAAGAGAAGCATGGCTCCAGAAATAACACTGAAAACTATAATGGTCAATGTTTCTGGATGTTTATAATGCGGTATTAAAAGTGCCACAAAAGCGTATAACAAAGTTACGGAATGAAGTACTTAGCCGGCAAATTTGATATATATTCACAGGGTGGCAATTCAGGAAATTTAGTGCTTTGTGACAACTTGAAAAAAATGACCCACGCCAAAAGCGCTGCAGTTTTTAAACTAAAAGCATTAAAGGCAGCTCAATAACGTTGCATGCGTCGTGCCAAATAATTGTTGAAATGACAATAATCCCCGAAACCAACAATAAGCACAATGTCAGGGCAAATAAACACCATATTCAACAAGCTAGAAATCACTGTAGAAGTTTGACGTACGCAGAGAGCAACGCCGACCCGCCTCAAAGGAAAACAGATGGTCGTAAAAGCCATAGCCGCGTAATCCCGCCAGGGGCCATCGTTCAGTTTTAGCCAAATTCCGTTGCGAAAAACGATAAATTAATTCAGAATACGTAAGTTCCAACTTTCCACACGACACCTGTCGACCGGTTTCATTCAGAAGTCGGGCTTTAAATGAGCAATAGATTTTAAGGTCTTGACAAGAATTCCTCCTATTTCGTTGACAAGATGCTACACCTTCATTATCAGCCAAGTCATATTCTCCATCTAAAATGGGGTACCTATCATCCGAAGCACAAACATGCGAAACAAGGCTGCTGCGATACGCACCCATGTTGTAGTGTGGTGTGATATTGTTTGGTGTGGCGTAATTGTGGTGTTGTGCTGTGATGTGGTGTGGTGTGGCGTCGGATCAGGGCGCAGACATGTTGGACCACCTGGCCTCAGCCAATCCCGTGTCACTCTGCGATCCAATGGCATGCGGGAAAGGAAGGCAGCCAACCAGAGAAGGACATGGATGAGATGCAGTATATAACGAGCGGCGTGGCCAGCGTGGCGGACTCGGATGGAAGGCGCCCGACGTGTGGCTCTGGCTTTTGATCGGTCAATAAAGCCTGTTCTGTTGTACCGGTCTTTTACCTATTAGGGCTCGAGTATTCTACACTGGTGGCAGCGGATGCGTTCGAATAACGCAAATCGAACCCCAGCCCCTTCTCTTCTATGGTCAACAGAGGCAAAGACCCTTGAATGCCAGCTGAAATTGTCACGGCGGTCATTCGATGTCCAATAAACTGAATCCATAGACATTGTCCGGGATTAGGACTTCTGCATATGAAGAGGCATTGGCAACTCAGCGACGATGACTTGGACCGTGAAAGTTAGCTGGACTGCATCTGCGAGGGACCTTCAATGGATGATGAGTCTTTCCTGCAAGTCTACAAGAGCAAAGTCCCTCGTCAACTATTCGCATGGGCCACTAT